GCTGCTTCAACAAGGGAGAAAATATTTGATTTACATTTTGACTGAATCTAACAGTTCCTTAGATAGTAGACTCAAACAGTTCAGCATTCAAATGGTGCACACAGTGTTCCCTACTCACACCAAGGCTTTTCTAATTCCCTTCCCTGTCGCATATCAAGATATTTTATACCTCAGTATTAGAACCAGGAGTCATCTCACAAAACTGGTTGACAGGAGATTCAGGACAAGTAAAAGGAATTACTTTTTCAGGCTGTGCACTGTTAAACTATTGAATTTCACTGATTTTGACAAATTCAGGCTGCCAGTGCTATGAGTCCGTATTAGCTTTGTGCTATCTCCAGTTTCAGATCTCTTACATATCCTACTTGATGGGGAACATGGTTGGGATAGTGGTATTGCACTCCTGCACTGGTTCTTGGCTTCCTGTAGGCAACTAGAACAGAACACTAGACTGGATGGACCTTGGTCTGATCCAGAATAGATTTTCATTCTGTGATCATAGCTACTTTGCAACATGAAAACAAGGGGCGATAATAAGAGGTACTTCTGTTTCTAGACAGATGGATGTCAAGGCAAAAATTCTCTGAACCTTCAGGGCAAGAATTTGTAATTAGCAAATCTGCAAACCTAAATAGTGTTTACTGAAAGGCTTGTCTGCTGATAAGAACATTTTTTTGTTTTTCCAGACAACTGGTAGTGTGCTTTGACCTAAACAAGCCTAGCATGTAAAGAGCAAAGTATTCTTGTGAAGAGGGAACGTCTAAATTTAATTAATGTTTTCCAGATTCAAAGGCTTAACAATATTCAGTTGTCCTCAATTTGGCTGCAGTAGAAAATAATTGATGCTTACAGACTTAAATTGTATGGTTCATTGTTGCTGGTGTTAATTTTACTCAAAGTTGTTACAAAGTTGCTTGTAGTTGTTACAAAGTTGCTTCTCATTTCACAGTAAAAGTTGAAATCTGCAAAGCTGTGTATACAAAATACCAATGTGCTGTGGCAAAATAAGCAAACTTTATAAATTACTCTGATTAGTCATAGAGTAGGGCCAGGAGTACTGAAGCTTTAACACATCTAGAAATACTACTGTCCACCCACCATCCCATCCCAGCTTTAGAGATTCTGTCCTTATATTTCTGAATCTCTTGCCACCTATAACACTAGGAGCTTTTTAAAATTAAAGCTTTCAGGATTCATCCAGTAAAACATTCTGGAACTCTTCTGCGATACTGTCAGCCCACACAGCCTTGTCTGTATGTACCTGTTACATCCATTCTCACTACACCTTTGTGTCTGAAGCAAGAGCTAAGCACAAAACACAAGGCTCACTTACCAATTTAGTATATTTTCCAATGCCAAGTGTATAATTCAGTAAAGCAATCCTAGAAGTGAAGGAAGTTGTAGTAGAGGGACTGTAGCACAATGGTTAGATGAACCAGTGTTTCACTAATTATAGGGCAGTTTCCTTCGTTTAAGTGATCTTTCACCTCTTGAAAATATTGGTACTGGCAAGAGTGTTTTCCCCATGCAAATAGATCTGCCTTAGCTGCCATTTGGCTTCTTTATAACACAAAGCCATATGTACAGTTCCAATCAGTTGCCAGGTTGTAATGTCCAACTTGGTTTCCATCTTTTTATCTAGTACACCATATGAAATTAAGCTAGCATGTTAAGGCTATTCCTTTAACTCCTTTCTCTGCCATCCAGGAGACTTGTGTGTTGTCCCTAAATGCTGCTGTCGAGGCAATGGGCTGCTTCATATGTTATGACGTTGGCTGAGAATTACTATCATGACCTGTTATCTCCTTTTCTTGCAGCCTGACTACATATATAGCAGTTTATTTAAACTACTTTAATTTCATACTACAGCCCAGGCTATGAAACCAGGGTTAGGTCTGCAAGCTATGTCCAGACACTGGAATTTATCCCTGCAATTTATGATAGGATGCATATTTCAACAAATGTCTGGAATTTTCTCTTTTCACATAAGCAACTCTTGATGCTTTTCCAAGCTGGAGCAAGATATTTTAGTAGAACACCACCTATACCAGCTTTTCACAGCCTGTGCCTTCTAGTTCTGTCAGACTACCAGTCCCACCATTCTCAGCCAGCAAGGCCAACACTTGCTGGAGATTATAGGAATTGTAGTCTGACATATCCAGGGGGAACTAGATTTGGGGAGGGCTTGTGTACCATGCCAGCCCAGCGCCAATACACATGGCATCTGTGGGCAAATGGGCAGACACTGGAACCCAGTTTGATGGTTGCTGGGCAAAGTTTGAGCCCTGCATTCTTTTCTTGACTGGCACTAAAAAACTGGCCCCATGCAGTTCAACTGCCCTCAACTTCCATTTTTACTCCCTCATAACTTAGTCCTGCATTCACATGTTGGCTCCCTCTTATTGTGCCCCTCTGTGTACAGCAGTGCACATTACAGCATTGCATCATGGGGAAATTAACAGTCGGCATGGACAAGGCGAGTAGCTTGGGTTCGGTAAAATGCTGCTGCTACTCGGGGAACCCATTGAGGGCACATTGCCTTGGGCACCTTCAAATTTGGAAGCAGCAGTGGGCACACTCCAATAGTGCATCATTTCCCACTGTGTGCAAGTACATTATATGTCCAGGGGACCAACCCTGTTATTTGAACAAGAATTAGGAATTGCCTTAAGGAAATAGCATAGCACAAAGGGTTTGCTGAACAATAGTGTGAAATCTTAAATCTAGTATCTAAACCTCAAATAAAAATGGCATTAGGGAAAATCTGTTAACGGATATGCTAAACTTATGACCCTTATGTCACTTGCAGATCAAGAATGCACCTCATAGTTAACATATGTATGTTTTCGTTTATCTTTTTTTCTTCATACACTCTCCACCTTTAAAAATAATCATACTACAGAGAATACTTCCAGAAATAAAGCAGATATAGCTTAACTGTTTCTGGCAGATCTGTTCCATGCATGCTGATGACATGTTACTATGACACTGCTGTGCTATCTCATCTTTAATAGTTCTTAAATATTTTGGCAAGGATATCCACTCAAAGTTAGATACAGATATAGATTTAAAACCACAGGGCATAATAAAAATAATGCAGATGATTATATCCAACACAGCAGTGTCTCATAAGTAAATTTGCAAATCTGTTTTGAGTTTCAGTAATTGTTTATATCAGATAATCTTTATAGCAAAAGATAGTAATTGATTATAGAAATGAATGGTTAATATATTGTGTTAGTAGTGCAAATCATGCTATGTTTAGATATTTCTGGATGGGAGTAGAAACATTTTCTCTCTAAGCTGTAACTCCCATCAATTCCAGCCAGCATGGCCATATTGCTTCTATTACAGAAGCTTCTTTTGATGAACCCAGGTTCTGTTGGAGGGAAGACTTACATTCAGACTACTGGAAGATCTTTTTTTTTTTCAATAAAAATTGTAGGTGCTAGAGACCCAGTCTGAAATGGACTCTGATGTGGGGTAGGGAGGGAGGCTTTAACCCCACAGTTGTGACCTCCCATGCCATGAGCCAAATGGGAATCTAGTAAAGGTTGCATTTGGTCTACAGGTTCACCATCCATGGTGTATGGAACTGCAACCTTAGAATAGCACTTCTCTAATGTATTCCATCTATTGGCATTTAGTTGTATGTTGTCTTATCTTTACAGGGCAACATGGATAAAAGAATAAAAGATATGCCTTTTTGTTAAATTGCTCACATCCAGGACTTGTAATTGATTTTTTTTTCTTTAAATGGAGATTTATTCTAGAAAAGGTGTCCCCACATCTCCTTCAAGGATGCAGCATTTTATTCCTACTTGTTTACCCAGTTTGAACTTAGGAAAAAGCTTGCGAGCTGCTAGTATATATAAGGAGGTACCACTGGAAATTACAGTGTAGCTCTGTCTCTTTCAGCAAAGCTATTCATTATTTACTTGTGATTGCTTAGTAATATTGGTTCCAGTAATAGATAACCTTTGAATAATTACAGATGTTTTGTTAGAAATCTGTTTCTAAAAGTAGGTGAGGTTCTTAGGCAACATAATAGGGTTTTTGTATCAAACATTTTGAGAATAGTGAACTTCATTATGTTTTACCACCGCCACTCCTTTTCCGTGATTGGTTTTGCTTTTTCCAGTTGATATTTTCAACTGAAAATCTTACCATGAGATTATAACAGTTATGAAGAAATTACAGGACAAACATGAACATGTCTATGTAAATCTCATTAGGGTCAATGAGATGTACGCCCAGGTTGTATGTAGGATTGCAGCTGCACAGTGCAGTCCAATGTTCTTCATCATGGCCTCTGCATCACACATATGGGTGCTGCGCCTGCGCAGTGCCTAAGGCCAGAAAGATTACAAAGCTAACGGTTTTTGGTGGGAAAACTCCGCTCCCCTCCCCCTCAATGATATAAATGGAGCGGAGTGTCCGCCATTTTCTCAGTCTTTTGCAACCGCTGTTCACAGCTGCACAGTGCAGTCCAATGTACCTACCCATAACCCTCTGAACTTTAAGGATTATGGGCATCCTGAAAAAGATGGACTACAAAAGTTGATTCCATGCTTCTTCCACCTGCAAGACTGTCTAAGTGTTTTATCATAGAGCACAAAAAGTCAAGTATGAGTACAGCACAAGGATGCTGCATGTGCTGGCAGCGCCTGTCTCCTCTCTACTTTGCCTCTACCCCAAAACAGCCACATCACGCTATCTCCAGGGTCTTGCTTGGGACCACAGAGATGCATCCGGTGTAATTCTTTCCCTGATGTTTGTGAGGGTGAAGTGAGAGTTCTCTCAGTTCAGAATTCCAGCTCTGACTTTGGAGAGAGCTTCCAATGTTGTAGATGGGCTTCCAAATTCTCTTATGGCCATCTAGACAACATCTGCTCTCCATAGGATTCTACCCTTAATACACTTTTCAGATTTCAGAGAGGGAACTATCAAGTTGTTGGGACTTCGTCAACCAAATTTTGTAAGTGCCACTTTTCTTGTAGGTTCAGTCGAAGAAAGAAGAACCTTTGACACCATCTCTGAGCCAAACCATTCCAACATTTTATTTTCCTTATGGCTGTCCAAAAGAAAAAGTGAATATAGATGCTGTCATTGCTAAGATAGAGAAAACTTTCTCCCAGTTTCCAAATGAGCGAGCAACATTAGAAGATATGGGTAAAGTTGCAAAGGTGTGTAAAGAGTCTTTTGCTTCTTCGGCATGAATCCTAAATATGAAACACTATAAATGTATTGGACTGTTGTAATCCTATGCATGTTTGCTCAGTTATTTCCATGTAAAGTAGGGTTTCTTTCAAGGTAAGTGTGCATAGTCTTGTAATCCTAGTACATTTTGGGGGAAACGGTATGCATGAGTTAAATCGTACTGCAAAATGCCCCATAAACCTAATTGTGGATTACTTGATTTGGAGGCATTGTGTTTTTATGAGGGAGATTTTAACCAGAGGGTTGGCTCCTGTCGTTATTAATAGTAGAAAAGATGGATGGATCCTGGGCTGTGGCTTCTACTTGGGGACACAACTAAGGAGACTATCATGATGAACTCTTGTTTACTACTACACTACTGATCATATGTGCTGTCTATTCAGTCACCATATGGAAGTAAACATCATTCCTCAAGTGAGTTACAGGTTATAGACTATAGTTATCATTGATAGGCTGATAATCTGCTAAATCATGTATTGCAGATACTGACAATGTGTTTGCCTATATAAAGAACTGTATCCCATGAGGTGCCCAAAAAAGTGGTAGAGATTAATCCTGCCATGCTTTGCATGCTATAGACCAGCCTCTCCCACTTGGCATACTCCCATCACCCAGGGTCTATGCTGTCTGAGGATTATGGAAGTTGTAATCCAACATATTCTAGGGAAGGCTATGAAGATGATATGCATACCTACCTTTGTATCTTTTCCAGCTGTCTACTTTCAGTAACCATAAAGGTTTGGTCTGAGCACTTTGTTGTTTGCAGGATGCAGCATGTGCCCATTTTTACAAACACCTTTCTGAGCATGCTGGTTTCTGAATCATAGCATGTGCTTTAACTCTTTAAAATAAAATTAAACATTTTTCTTATGTTAAATACATGTAACATCATCTTTTCCTACAAATAAAATATGCAGTACTTAAACCTCCAGAAGTACTGGAGCATTAAATGATGTGAAAAACACAGAATCAAATCCTGAAATCAGTATTATTAGGTTACCTAGCATCCGGGACAGCACATCTGCTTCACTCATTATTTCTCATGGTACAATTTATTTCTTATAGTGATAATAGTATGATAAAAAATAAATGATTATCTTGTTTTTTCCCTAAGTTGATTCTGAAAGGAATAACCCTCAAATTTGCTTATGATATAACTTAATTCTAGGCCTGCGAATGTCCTCTTTACTGGAAAGGTCCCTTATTTTATTGTGCTGGAGGAGAGCGAACAGGATTTATATCAGTTCATAAATTTGTTGCAATGTGGCGGAAGTAAGTATGGTTTCTTTGTGAGTCCATGTCATCACTTTTTAAATCAAGTAATTAAACTTTTCTAGGAAATTTCAGCTCTAGTTGAAGGAATACATCAAGAGTTGAACAATATCTTACAGTCGCCTCTTGCACAAAATAAATTAGATTAACTGTAAAAGTATCCTAGCATTTGAGCATTTGGATTGTTTCAAACTGAATGTTTATAAAGGAGAAAGAAAGCAAAGTAAGACATGGTAGATTTCATTTAGAAGGAAAGTCATGTAACACATTTAAGCCTGTCACATTCCTAACATTGAGGAGAGGGCAATTTAAGGAATTTGGGATTAGAGGTTTCATTCATGCTTATGAATAAACCTTGAGCTCATTTCCTGCTGAAAAAACAGGCAATATAAATTTACCATACTTGCTCATATTAGCTGCATTATGCTTTCAGGATACTGCAGACTTGCCATGATGCTGCCACCAAGTTTGTTCATCTTCTAAAGAGTCCTGGGTGTAACTATTTGATACAAGAAGACTTCATTCCATTTTTACAAGTAAATTACTCATTCTTAATTACTACCATTATCTCTTAGATCTTCAGAAAAGTTTTCTAAATCAGTAAATCTTAAATCATTGAAGGAAGGAAGGTGGGTGGGCCTCATGTGCTAACCCACTGACATACTCACTGATGGATAAATAAGCTGGAACTAGTCCTAGGCACCAAGCTTACTAGAATATCTGCAAGAGAGATTGTGCTATCTTTCTCAACCAAAGATGATATGAAGGCCATTCTCTTCTCCACAGCTTTCTAAAGTGTCTTTAGTTCCTTTCTAACCATCCAGGTCACATGTGTTTATGTTGCCCTCCCCAGTCTCTATTATTCTTCATCTTGTCCCCAAATGTTTATTGGCATTACTCTTCTGCCTTTGTTGAAGCCCTTCCCAAATAACTATATTTTTACATGTTTTTAAAATTTGTGTTGCAGTTTTCTTGCACAGATTGAAACATACTCGATATGTCATCTTACAGTAATGTGAACATAATGGCATTGTTACAGTATACAACAGCCACCCAACCTAGAGTGCTTGAAGTTTTGGATTACATCTCCCTGCTTTCCTGACTTTAGGCCTTGCTGGCTGGCTGGCTGGGACTGATGAGAATTAAAGTCTAAAACATCTGGATGCCACTAGGTTGGGGAAGCTGGTATACAGTAAGATGCACTTTAATATTGCAACTTATAATTAGGTTTCATGAAAAATTGTGCATTAAAATTGTGTTCACTTCGCTGGCAATGAGTACCAACTGCATGCCTCTAACCTTCATGCTTCTTTCTTAGGATGTGGTCAATAGTCATCCTAGTCTAGTCTTCTTAAAAGAAGCATCAGAATTTCATTCTCGGTACATTACAACAGTAAGTGTCTTATCTATTTAAAAGAAAAAATGTTTTTTTCTTGGGTTTTGAACAAAATATGCTGGTAACAGTTGTATTCAAACACGGATCTGCCTTAATGACATTATTAAGCAGTGCGTTTGATATTTTTTTTAATATCAAAAATCTGTTGAACCTTCCTCACTTTTCTCCCAATCAGACACACTTCCAGTATTAGAACTTGGCTAAAGAAAAAACCCCTGGGGCGTCTTGCTAAAGAGAGATACACTGCAGGCAAAGGGAGGGTGTGACACTTCTTTTTTGTTTTTAAAAGTAGCTCTCTTCTCCCTGTTTGTTGGTATTTGGGACAGATCTCCGTCTGCTACCATTGCATCTTTAGCCTTTGCATATTAATAAACAGTCTGTTACTATTATTACTATTCCATTTATATCTTTCTTGATCCAGCACTGTCATTAGAGGAATAGGTGACCTCTGTGACTCAGAATGTCTTTTATCGGTTTTAACTGATAAGGCAGCTGTAAGATTACCTGGATAGAGGTAGATTGGTCATAATTAACCATGAATTTGTTCTTGCTCATGCTCCCTCGCCTGTGTGTGTGTGGGGGGGGGGCTGCCTTTAAAAATAGTTCAGAAATTGCAGTTGGTCCATATTACAGCTGCAAAGATATTAACTATGTGCTTTGATCATATTACACCTGCCCTTCTCAGCTACACTTGCTTCCAGTCTATTACCAGGTCCAATTTAGTGCTAGTTTTAAATTTTAAATCCTTAAGTAGCTTGGGACCAGGTTACCTGAACGATTGACTTCTCTCATAAGTGAGATTACAGTTTTTAAGATCTTACTTCAAAAGCCCTTCTTCAAATGCCCTCAGACACGAGGAAGGGGGCCCTTTTTGTCACACTACTCTGACTATAAGCAGCCTTCCCAGATAGGTGCACCTGGTGCCATCCTGGCATCAAGTAAAGACCTTTGCTTTGATTGTGTTTTTACTTTGATTATTTTAATTTTAGGCTTTATATTTCTGTTATTGTGTTTATGCTGCAAGATGCCCAGAGAACTTTTATTGTGGGGATGCTTTATAAATAATGAAAAGTTTTGCATACTTTAAATGGTGTCACTGCAGTACATGAAACATACCTGAATAAAATATTAATTCTCAGATCTAACACAGTAAATTAGGGGACCTTCTTTGCATTTGAGGAATGAACCATAATTGTCCTATTCTTCTAATTCCCAGTTTAAATACATTGATTGGCAGGCGGACTAAAATCTGTGGCATGAATATTGAAATTGCATGTGTGTATCATGTTCGGGCATTTTTACAGCCTATCCTGAGGGTTCAACATATATATCTGCTCTTCCCTGTTGCAGTTAGGTAAGTTAGGTTAAAGGGCCCATTTACATGCTCACTCCAGCCAACATTCCATCCTCAGTGGGTTCATGTGACACAGTAAGCCAGAACAACAACCTGCCATAGCTTAATATTTGAAAAGGTCACTGGCATGTACTGCAACACACTATGGCTTTAATAAGATAGGCTGTGGCAATCATGTGAATGGGAAGAATATGATCAAGACAAAACAGTTAAATGGGTTTCTCTCCCCATGTAAAACCAGAATTTTCAAGAATGAACTAAGCACCTACCTGTTAAGAATAAGAGCACTACTCCAAGATCCAGCCTGTATGTTAACTTGTTCTATATCTTCACTTTAAACGATAGTAACCTTTCCCAACCTGGTGGCCTCCACATGTGTTAGACTACAAATATTATCATTTCTTGCCAGCATGGCCAGTGGCCAACAGATCTGGAAAACATCAGTTTGGGGAAGGCAACCATATAAAGATCTTTCAGACTTAGTCTACAGTTAGGGTGCATCCTCCTCCTCTCAAAATTAAGCCTGCTTCATAAATAACAAGTGAAAGAAGAATGTAACAGGTAATTTAATCATATTTAAGTATTCAGACCATTTTAATGGGTGCAGTTGGTACATCATTTATACTCTTCTTGCAGGTAATACAAAGGATATTTTATACAGTAAATAGGTCATGGTCAGGAAGAATCACTTGTAATGAACTCAGAAAAAGCAGCTTTTTGCAGGTAAGATATGTGTAAAATTTTTGGGAACCTTAACCATAAACTTTGTAGGTTGTAGGAAATGACACTAAAGTTACTGTGGGCTGGACTAACTTAATGGCTACAAATGTTTTTATCTCTTATTTCTACTGAAGAGTAATGTTTTATCATATGAGATGGATTATCACTGGCTTGTTGAAAACCTACAGAACTGAAGCCATATTTTTGCAATTTAGGTTGTGATAACATTAACTTTTCCAGTTCAACGGGCCTTCTTAACTAGGCCTCTAGTAAAATGAATGTCTGGTTGACAGAACAAATATTGCCTGAAGGGTTCCTCAACTAGCCATCCAGCTTTTCCCCAGGCATGTCCACAGGTTCCAAGTTATTTAAGAAAAAAGTTTCTCTCTGTCCTGAGCAGAGAGGAATTTCCTGGTTGAGTGGTCCAGTCCCACAGCTGATCTCTATGGATCTGCTTTTGGGTGAAGTGAAGAGGAGGTGTATGAATAGGCTATATGTGTGAATGGGGAGCCCATAACCATGTTAGATTTGGGCCATTCCAGCTGCTGCTATGCAGTGCATGAGAGTTCCCCAACCTACAAGCACAACTTCTTGTGACTCCCAAGAATATTCTTGACACTGTTGGTGTAGACTGACCCAGGTCACATGGCATTGCCTACATTGTTTAATCCAGAAATTGCTGTGGCTCACTACAAGCAAGCAAGGTGCCTCTGACCATGGCAGAGTAGACTTCGGCTTTCAGTCAGCAACCTAGGAACACATTACTCCTGGATTGTTATTGTGACACCTGAACCCAAGAACTCTGTGTTGTTTAGGCATTAAACAATCCAGAGTTAACCCAACAATTCACCATAATTTATTGCTGGGTTAATTCTGAGTTGTTTATAATAGCTTGACTGCTAAGTAAACAAGTGTAGTTGATAATAAACAAACCATGTGGATAAGATACTGAGCTCTTCCCTCAAGCTGCTACTATGAGTAATAGAATGATACTCCTTTTAAGATATAAGCCTGTGCATATTTAGATAGAAGTCGTTCTATAACATCCAGTTATAGAAGTCATCACTCACAAGCCATCATTTACAAGCCATCATGTTGTAGGACTTTTTTCTTTTTAAAAATGCATAGAATTGTACCCTAAGTGACACTTTCTCTCTTTTTCTCTCAATAGAATGTGGCATTGTTGGAAGAAGAAGTTGATATTAATCAGCTGACTGAATACTTCTCTTATGAACACTTCTATGTAATTTACTGCAAATTTTGGGAACTGGATACAGACCATGACCTTTATATAGATCCAAAGGATTTAGCTCGGCATAATGATCATGGTATGATCAATTTAAGCAATATGAGCAATGTAAATCCTGTGAAACAGTTCATATTAAATCTCCAGGTCATGGATATGTGTGAGTTATACATGTAAAATCTGTGTGCATTTCATGACTGCCTTTCTAAGAAAGCCAGATTTTCTTGCAGAAATAGTGCTCAGAACCACTATGGGCTTTGTGGGCACTATATTGGGTATGGGGCTTACTGCAAAATAATGACAGATGCCCAGAACTGGACTTCTTCCATTCAGTGTAATCTTTTCTTGGCATGAACAATATCCAATGGTGTCTTTCCACAAACTTAAATAGGACTAGTTAGTGTGAGAAATCCAGCCAGGGACGGGAATCCACTGGATTCCCTGGGCTGTGTTTCACTAACACTAGTCCACTTTACAGCAGCCTGAAGTCCAAGTTTCTGGGCCACTCCCAGGAATAAAGCCCCATGAGCTGTACAAGCAGTGCCCCTCTCAAACACCAGGAGCAGCCACCATACCAGTGGCTGCAATTGACACTGAAGAAGATTGGACACGAAGGGCTTGCCAAGGAAGCAATATCATTTGCTCTAGAAGAATAACACTCCATTTCTTGCAACTCCTTTTCTCAGCGCTTACTGTGTTGATTCCCTGATTGTTCGTTTTCCTTGTTTTTCTCCTTTTTGGGGATGACTAGGAAGTAAATGGAGAAAAAATGTGGCAATTTAAAGGCTGGGAAGTAAATTGAGGGTGAAGTTATACACCATCAATAATGGCTGTGTTACTGCAGGTGTGCAAATATTTCTTCCATTTACTTCCCATCTATTTGTATTTGTTTTCCCAGTAAATTTATGTTTGTGAGCTGCCCGAGGCTTCGGCAAATGGGGCGGCATAGAAGTCCCCTAAATAAATGAATGGAATGGAATGGAATGGAATTGTGCAAATATTTCTGACAGCTATTTTTAATGAATCTTAAAAGTGACAGAGCAAGATTTAGCAAGCACCTGCAATACTTCCACCACCAATAGGACTTCATCTTATCCCGTCCATTCAGCTGCTTTCTCGGAGCATTTATTTAGAACTGTTGGAGAATAGCTATAACCACAGCAGAAGTAACTGCTCTGAAAAGGAGCTACTAAAATGCAGGAAACCAATATGTATCTGGAGTTTTGCTGAAATGTTGAAATAGTAGCAGACCCTGAGAATTGTTAACTCAACACTTAACACAGATGACTGCATGCTAAGTGAAAGATATTGTCATCTGTCCCATCCCCATTTTCCCACCATCACCCTGCTTCAGATGTACTTTCTTTTGCTGCTTTTTTTAGCAGTCAGTGCTCTTCAGTTATGACTTGGCTTTTGGTTCCTGGCAATTGTGTACAAATTAACCAGTATGTAGTTTTGGGTTGTCAATTTCCAGGTTTGTTTGTTTTTGGATTTATATGCTGTTCACTAATACTAGAGGAGTCCCTAGGTCAGCAATCAATATTATAGATATTAAAACTACTAAAAACAATTGTGGTTGTTATATAAAGCTAGAACAAAATAACACTATGTCATTAAAATTATATCAAGTGAGCAGAACAACAGCAACTTACCAACTCAATTTTGAATCAGTTATTAAAACAATTCTTAAAAGAGATGTTACCTACTCTAATATTCCTTTTGAGATGAAATGTACAAGGAAACTAATATATTCCCAGCAGCCCTTTCAGCCTCTGCTAAATGGGATGTATTGGGTGGGGAGGGTAGAAGGAAGAGATTCCAAAAAATCAGAGGCACCTGACTTTTAGGTGGCAGAATTTAGATCTAGCTCCATATGCATTTAAGCTAATAATAGGTCAGAGAAAGAAAAATGTGTTTAAAATGTTGTAATAATCTGTAAATATTGTAAGTTACCTATAAGAGACAAGGAATGAATATATAATATAGTATTTCTAATAACATTATTCTGCAGAGTTTTTACAAGGCTATAAATTAATTTTGATAGATATGAAATGAACACACATATACTAAATTGAATGTAATAATTTTGCTCTTTCGCAGCTATATCTAATCGGATGATAGAGAGGATTTTCTCAGGAGCTGTGACAAGGTGTCTTTTTCCCCTTATTTATCTACATCATAGAAATACAACATACTTGCAGTTTAATTGGCAAAGTACATGGAATAGTGGAGTTTTAAAGTGGAACTCATAATTTCCTTTTTATATATTAAATTATAATATATAGCTAAGGAAATTATATAATATAGCTAAGGAAAGTTGTGACCTGTCTCCATTAATCAGGAATAGGTATTACATTTCAAGATTAAAGTCTGTTGTAGAACTTATCAGTTTGCTTACTGTGCAATTGACATTTAGTGGAGTTAAATGTTCCCATAATGTTTCTCATGCAGGAGTGATATACATTGCGGTTGTCTCTGGTTAAATTGCTCTCAGCCAATATCATATAGCTGTGTAGGTATCCTGTGATCCACCAGTGCAGCCCCATGTTTATAAATTGGGCTCTTAAACAATGTCATTGACAAGGGCCTTTCCATAAGCCATAGATGGCAATGAGGATCTCACTCTGCGTGCAGGTGTTTGATTTCAGCCATGTGATATGGTATTTCTGGTTGACCAGAATGGGAAATCAGTACCACCAACCCATCCCATCTTGTTTGGGTGGACCATTTTCCTAAAAGGAAATCAGTGGAAATTGTACTGCTGTAAAAAGTGAGTTGTAGAAGTGTATTTCTGTGGCAAGCCTTTACAGCATGTGAGAAATCCAAGATCAGAACCCCAACTTTAGTTATAAAGGTCACTGGTGACCTAAGGGAAGTTGCTATCTCATTGCTAGCTTCCTTTGCAAGGTGGCAGTAATGCATCATGCATCCCAGCTTGATCCCTGCAGGAAGGGCAGGATGCAAGGAAGACGGGGAAAAAACCCTGTCTTCTGCATGTTTTTACTAATTGGCAGCTATGTAATTATGTTTTGGAACACTGATTAAAATACACTGTGTGTGTACATTCTGTTCTCCCTCTATTTTAACCCACATTTCAAAGAGGAAGGAAAGTACAGAAAGAAGGAAAGCTCAGCTATGCAGACTTTGTATGGTTCTTGATATCAGAAGAGGACAAAAAAACTCCAACCAGGTAAGAATAAATGTTATTCTTGTACTTTAGTTTTATTTATTCACAGTATTTGTATACTAATCTAAGCAGATTCCGAAGAAATGTACAGTACAAATCTAAAACAAATAAGAAAATGCATTTTAAAAGATAACATTATGGTCAGCAAGAAAGGATTCCAGGAACCAAAATGTCTTTAAGCAAGTGCCAAGAATAGTGCAGTGTTGGTGCTTGCCTGAGTCTCCAAACTAAGGAATGCCATAGAAATGGGCCCACCACACTGTGAAGGGTCTCCTCCTGGTGAACAACAGGTCTGCGTGGAACCACAAGGATAATGGCTTCCAGTGACCTCAGTGACTGGGCATATAGATAACAAGAGAAAGCATTCTCTCAGATTCTCTGATCCCAAGTTGCTCAGGGCTTTGTACTTAGTTCTAGAATCTTAAATCTGGCCTTGTAGTGAATAAACACCCCAATGCAGTTTGTGCAGCAAGGGAACTGCACACTGAAAGAAGCAATTCTAAGTAACACCCAGGCTGTAGCATTCTGAATTAGCTCCAGCTTCCAGAGCAGACTTAAGGGAGGCCACACAGTGTGCTTTGCAGTAATCCAGTCTTGAGCTTACCAGAAGCCTTTTATGCAAAATCATAGGGTTGGATGGATTATTCCTCTGTTACTAAAGCTAGGTAATTAAAATGGCATTTATAGGTCTTCATTCTATTAAGTACTAATGCAACATTATCATACTTCTCAGATGCTCACAACTTGAAGGAAGGGAAAGCTAGGGAGTAGAGAAATAAGTTCCTAGACCTACCATTCTTTCTCTGGAACAGTGCTCCATCTTGCCTACACAAGGGTGAGGAGCAAGAAACCACATCTTTACTGTAGACTGTGGGTAATCTTTATATGGGTTTGTTGTAGAAGGTCAATAGCAGATTCAAAGTTCTTGGCCCATGGCTGTGTACTTAGGAGAGAGAGAATTCTTGAATTTTCAGTTATTTGCATATGGGACTTTGTGTTTCATTATAAAATGCAAGGGATACAAAAACTAATTTGAAATAAAATGCTAAATTACTGAATGGCTCTTATTTCAGCATTGAATACTGGTTCCGCTGCATGGACCTTGATGGGGATGGTGTATTATCTATGTATGAACTGCAATACTTTTATGAAGAACAGTGTCAAAAACTAGACAACATGGCCATTGAACCTCTGCCATTTGAAGACTGTCTTTGCCAGATGCTTGATCTTGTAAAGCCAGAGTGTGAAGGTGATGGCTTCTTTTCCATCTTAACAGCAATCTCTACAGCAGTGCTTTTGCTAACACAGATAATACAGCCATTTTGTTTTTCTCACTTGTCTGCTCTATGAAGTCACCTTGCCTAATGTTTACATTTAGCAAACAAATGTATGAGATATTGTTGGTTACTTTAGATGTTCAGCTGTCATTTTCACAGACTCTGGGAACTGGCAAAATATCACCTAATCGGGGTGAGTCAAAATTAGCAAAAACTTCCTAAAATGCCTGATACATCTTCCCAACAGAAAGCCAAGTCTTTCCTGAAGCAGAAGATAATTCTTGAGCACGATCCCATCCCTGTTCCTGCCTGAGGGAGTTAGGTTATGCTATGAGGATTAAAGTCCTACTTGTAGGCATATACATATGCATAAAGCAATATTAAGGATACAGTGGTATATTTAGACAGAAAAAGTTCTACAACTCCCAGAATGTTGTAAAACTTTCTCCAGTTATAGTATTGTACTTTAAATATTTTAATTTTTCCACACTACTTGCACTGCAATCCCAGATGTATAAATGTTTAAAACCTTGTTTCTCAACTTGTTTTCTTACAGGGAAAATAACTCTTCGTGACTTAAAGAAGTGTAAGATGGCGAATGTGTTCTTTGATACCTTTTTCAACATCGAGAAATATTTAGATCATGAACAGAAGGATCAATTTTCTATGTTGCGAGTAAGTGCAGTTAGTGTTGAACAATATATAGTTCATAAGCTTAATGAATGGCTTTGTTGATTAATTCACTTTGCAGTCTTCAGTACTGTAAGCTTTATGATCATATGCTTAGGGGGCTGAAAATGAAAACCAAGAGATGACGGATTGGGAGAAATACGCTGCTGAGGAGTATGATGTGCTAGTCGCTGAGGAAGCAGCTAGTGACCAGTGGAATGATTGGTAAGTGTACAGGGTGGGCTGGGATCCCTTTGTGTTGATTTCAGTCTCTGAAAAAAAGTTTGACCATTCTCTACCTTTGTAAGTAGTGGAAATGCTTACACTGACTATAACAGCACAACTTACATGAGCAGCTGCTTGAGATCTATATTCAAAGACTGGTTTGGATACTCCCCAACATAATTCCTCGCTATAAAGCAAAACACTAACTGTCCCCTTCTGTAAAGTTTCAGAAATTGTGGTTTATTTTACTACTTATATTGCCCACAGCTAATGTTGAAGAAAAAACATAAAGGTAAGAATACAGCTTCTGAATAAGCAGGTGAATGGGGTCCTCACTCGGTGTCTTGTTTATCCTATGCATGATAGTCTTTCAACTCTGCTGCACCTTCACTCAAGTAGCTGCTGTTCTTTTTTTCTTCCTAAGCACAGGTGTCCCCTAGAACGGCATCTCACAGGCATTATCTGCTTGGGGAGAGTTCTGTAAGGCCCAGCCATTCCTCTTCCAGGATCCCATTAACAAAAGCAGTTGGCTCATTCAGTTAAAGCTGAAAACAAAGTCCTGGCAGAGATCAGCAGCAGTAGGAATTTCTACCTTTATGTATAACACAGCTCACATGTAAAAAGTCCCAACACCATGGATTATCAGGGAAATATTAAAACAAGTGGATGGGTGTGCTGTCTAGATCTCACTGTGTGTAGCAGTAGGCTTCTTGGTGCCAGTGGACAATCTCCCTTTAAAGTTTGTTTGACATTTTGATGCTTAATCTAGGCACAGATTGTTGCCTAATAACAAAAATAATATCTATTAAACACTACAGATGGCCACATTTTTGATTAAAAATGCACAGAATTGCCTCCGTTATTTTTAATAGCCCTCACATGTTTAAAAAATCTTTTCATTTTAATAGGCTATAAATGTACAAGATATTCTCACAACTACCTACATTCTAAATTAATCTTACCTTTTCATAGTTATGAACCTGAACTGAACCCTTGTGATCAGAAGACCAACATACTAAAATATCAAATGGAGAAAAGGCCATTCTTTGACATGCCTTCCCATTTGGCAGATGTTGACTTGGATGAATTTGATTATGAAGATGACTTTGAATAAATTGTGCTGTTTGTACAAGAGGAAGGACTGCCTGCAGCAGGTCTGCTAACCCCACATAGGGCTTGTTTCCAGAAAAAGTAAATAGTTCATTGTGCTTCAAAATTTAATATTTTAATCATTTAGTAATTTTGGAAAACCAGTGAATTTGTATGAAATGACACCTCTTTTGTATTTATTCAGTAGATTGTTGCCTGTAAAATAGACTTAAATTATTTATAGATTATTCTTCCTTTAAGGAATGACAATGTATCTTGTTTAAAGTAATTTTGCTGGCTTTTTTGTACAAGATACTAGAATTTTCCCTTTCACCTATAGGTGTAATACAGAAGCCCTTACTCCTGCAGTTTCCAAGCAGAAATCTAGTAACTTTGCCAAAGCCTCATTATACAAGCTAGATACACTGGTGCCCATAGCAGAAAAGAACTTGTCTGACACAAGATGTCCTCTTTCTTCTCCCAGTCTTGTTATTCCTTCAACTTTCAGTTTGGCCTCCCAACTCCCCTTACGAAACCGGCTTTTATCACTCATACTTGACTGCAGTGGATGTTGTACTCCATGTCAAGGGAATCAATTTTTAAACCTTATGTAAGTTTTACTTGATCTGTGATGTGCACTAACCTTGTTATGGGCATTTAGCATGTTTCTTCAATGGTTAGCTAATGACACATTCCATGAATATTCATACCAATGGTGTCATCCGAGCAGCTGAACAGTTTGATGCTTGACTTGCCTACTTAAGATGTGCGAGACTGCTTACTGGAATGGATGTTGTTACTCCAGTTTTTGAAAACGTATAAGGTTTGTAGTGCCTTAATTTTCCCAATGTTCACATGAGAAACTAAATATTAGGTGTTTAAGCAAAAGTCTTGCCATTAGATTTTTTCATGTAAAACAAAGATGTAAGCTATTTTGTTTGCAGTGCAGATCTGTTAAAACATTTAATATATCATGTTGGTATTTTCAAATAAAGTTTTTCATATATGTAATTTTTATCATTCCCTTTAAAATGCTCTCTCTGAATGTATGTATAGGTTTCCCCCAGAGCATTGTGGAAGTCAGATGCTAATTTGCCACTGGTGTGTTTGTGTGAGAGACAGACAGACAGACAGACTGACTAGATAACACCATCTTAATTTAGAACATATCTCGCTAACTTGCGGTTTGACTGGATCACACTTTGCACTTTTTCCATTCAGACAGATGTTAATTCTTGCCTGCAGAGCTATGCTGTGCAGAACCAGTGATACTATAGCAACCTAGTCATACTTCAAGTGTATAATGCATTCATGTACAAGATTTAAAACCACAGCTGTTTACACACAGACAAAATACTGTTACTTTCATTTCAGGGGTATTGGGGTAGTAGCTTTTTTATTTCTACTTCAGTAATGGCTTAGTTTAGAAACTTAGATTGAACTGATCACACATTTCATTTTACAAACCTCTGAATAAAAAAGTATGGAACCAAATAGCTGTTTTACAAGCTCTGCAGTAATTAAGAATTAATCATTAGTAGCAAACTCCTATTCTGGCATAAACCTGATACACAAGGAAGTACAAAGTAGAAATTGTGTGTGGTTGTTTTTCTGTATACAAATATGCTGTCTTTTTCTCTCTTTTTTTCACTTTACAACCCCGCTTTCCTGACAAAAAACTGACAGAATTCTGCTTGCTACTTAAGAGACCTACAAAGAGGTCTTGAGAGGCAAGTAAGGGAAGAGGTGCGGGTGTGGACTCAAGCTGATTTGGAATCCTAGCTCCTTCCCTCTCTGGCACTGTATCTATATGGCCAAAAGCAGCCATCTAAAGTAAAATACCCAACATGGAAATTGCCACTACACCTCATTCCAGGTATAGGATGCACGGAAGCTTCCAAATTCAGAGGCTTACATGCAGCACTGCACCCTAAATGTAAAAGAACGAACATGAACATCATGTGTAGTTAGAAAAATTGGTGTAGACAGCATCAGAAAGTAGGGAAGCTATGGCTGTAGTCATCATATACATGATTTATCTGGTTTATACTCAGGTCATACCACATTATGCTCCTAGAAACCCCACAAAAACCATGGATGGTCTGTTGCACCTGTCTGTTCTTGTCTTAAGTCCATGAAAAAGGAGAGGATAGTCCCAGCTGTTTTGTTTCTTAGATCTCCTATATAATAAGCAAATGTTAAATAAGATAATTCAAAATAGTTTATACAGTGCTAATGTAGACACTGCTAAAATAACCTCCTTAAGCAATTACAAAAGCTCTATATTATTTCAGATATTATATATACATAGCATATAGCTGTAAAGACATAGTTGCTTACCATGATGTAAATAGTAAGTTTATGCACATGCACCGAGGGATTATGTTAGGTACAAATGGGAATCTTAAATCATCATTTTCTTTTGCTGATCAAAATCTTCCTGATGTACTTCAATTTGCTGCCTTTTAACAATACTGTAGAACATTCTGAATGAACAGATGAATCCTGTGGGAGAGGACCGTCGGTAGAGGAACCACCATGTCCAAAGAAAGAGGCAAGGGCAGGGAAGATAACTCTTTTTCTTAAACCCTTCTACTGGCTGTGGCCTATATTTTTGTTTTCCCTTCCATTGTTTCCAATAAAAGGGACAGTAAGTTAAATCAGCTCTAGGGCTACAGTTCGCCACCCGGTCTGGGGGTGGGGATCATGGGCAAACTGGAGGGTTTTCAGTTAGGTGAGTCAAATGCTACCCCAACATGGCCCTGATGGCATGGAAGCCTTCCAGCCAACAAGTAGGGCTTTTATCAACAGACCTGCCAATTAACCAGTGGAGAGGGATATCTGTATTTGCCTACGGCCCCCTATCTTGAAAGTGATACATCTATTTATTACATTTGTATCCTCTTCTCCTCTCCTCTTTTAGACAAGGAATAGTTTTAGCAACAGTACATATCCTACTGTCCAGCTGAAGTGCAGCTAGATTTGTATGAAAATGCTTTCTGAGCTTCATTAAAAGTAATTATTTTACATCATCACCAAACCCGTCCAATGACAAAGCAATTAGTGGTTAAAACTACTGATTGCTTGGCTAGGTTTTCAATTCAGGAGTGCCTGTTAGGACACATTGTCTTCTTCTCCAGGTAACATTCCTATCAGCAGATATAATAGTACCACGGCAGCTACAAATAGATCTTCTCAAAGTCCCAGCTTTTTCTTTTAAGTGTGTAGAACAGTAAAAGGTGCAAATTACTCTTGTGACAGGAATATATGCTTCACTAGTGTGTGATGTCAAAACATTCAGGAGTTCTGTGTCAAGCCATCAGTACCTGTTCAGCACCAACAATATCAACATCAGTATCTTCAGTAGCAACCTCTGCTGTAATGTCTGCCTCGACCATAGCTTGGGTACTGCTAAAATAAGAAATCGATAGATTAGTTTCTGGCCTTGGAAATGAATTCTTGTAATTTAAACAAGTCAGAATAACTGAACTACGTATACTACGTTTTCCTGTGAACTTCTGCCAAAACAATCTAAATCTGCCATGTGGGCCCTTAAGTCTCCCAGAAAGCAGTTTTCATTCAGACAGAATTTGAATTAATATTTACACTTTAAATGAATTTTGTCCACTGCATTTGCAATTTTATGAGGCCAAATCCTCTTTTTTTTAAAAACCAACTCAGTTTCTGAACATTTTTGGACCAACTTTGAATCAACGCAAGAGAAGAAAAGCAAGCTCCTTTGGAAATCTGTAGTGGAGGAATAAATTGTAAACAGGAGCATCACTTCATTCTTCTGGTACCCACCAATACCAAAAGCTTTGGGTATAGCAAACTCCACTAAGCATGGTTTAGAAGTGCTCCCCCTTACACACACACACACACACACACACACACACACACACACACAAACACACGAACAACACTGAAACAAACAACATTGGGCAAGATATCCCTTCTTTTGGTATTATCTGGTAGACAAGAAAGATACAAGTGAACAAAAACTCCTGGTCCAAGAGAGCATTAGTTCTTGTACCTGAAAAAAGAAGCTCTACCAGAAAAAATGGATTCAGTAATACACACCTGTGTTTTGAATATATAGTGTAACTGAAGTTTTCAAATGACCTAGCAACTCTAGACAAGAAAAACATTCCAAGTTATAAAAATGATCCAAGCTGCCTTTTCTCACCTATTTTTTCCCTCCAGAGTAGCAGAGCCAAGCAATGGTGAATGTTCTTGGTGAGAACTGTCATGATACTTTAGCCTCTTCCCGCTTCTCAGTGGCAAAGAAGGGAGAGAGGATGCATAATGAGTATCTGAAGTTTGGTTAGCTGTCTCAATGTGGCTAGTTTTGGGCCAGGTTCCTAAAACAGACAATGAATGATATCCTTCATGCTTTTCGTGCATGAGAAAAGACTAGACATGGTAACATGCAAGGTTATAATGCTTTCCTAAGTCACTGCCCTTGTTATTTTTCAAGTGGTAGCCACTACAGAAATAACTCAGTGTGTGAACCACTCTTCTCCTATGTCTGCCTCCTGCCTCACCTGTCACACTTGCCTCCATCCTCCCCACCCACCTGCTGTCTCTATCTCCCTTTCTCCTCCCTCCATACTGTATGATTGCTGTGGATGCAATCCTTGCTGCACAGAGCTAAGATTTCTGAAGCGCTACATTGAAAAGCCTGCTAGTGTAGCTCTTCAGAGACATGGCCATTCCCAGATACCAGGTTACTGCTCAGATCCAGACATTGTGAGAGAAGGGACACCCCTCTTCCCACAAAAGCCCCCCCTCCAGGGGGGTGCAGGGGCAGATGCTCCTGGCAGGGTGACGAAGCACGCTTTTCATCACTCCCCCATTCCATCCCTTGAGATTTGCAAGCCCCCAGTGGCCCATGATTCTTGCTGCACAGACTGAGATCCTAGATCAGTGGTGGCAAACCTATGGCACGCATGCCGCAGTGGGCACACAGAGCCCTCCCTGTCGGCACCCAAACCGCACCGCCCCAGCAGCCGAGCATCAGATAACAGCACACACACGGGCCATGCGCACGCTCGGAAAGGAGCAGCAGCGCCAGGCAATATTGTCACGAGTCATGACTTACTAGCCATGACTCATCTGAGCTTTCACATGGCTGGTCAGTGCACTGCCAAGGATAGATATAGATATATATATATAGAGAGAGAGGCTTAGACTGGCTGTGACTTGTTTTTTCTAAATTAAAACCTCAGTATTCAGGTTTTATTGCAGTGTTGGCACTTTGTGATAAATAAGTGGGTTTTGGGTTGCAGCTTGGGCACTCGGTCTCTAAAAGGTTCGCCATCACTGTCCTAGTTTATCTATGCCATTACATAACATGAACACTTTATATATGACCACTAGCAAAATGGCAAGGAAATTTTACCTTCAGATAATTTTCTTTTAAAAGAAGGTATCCTAGCAATGTGACTGGGTGGCCATTCATTTAAGCTGCTGTTAGCAGAACTCTCTTCATCTTCATTGGCCAGCAATGACATTCTATACCAACCGATAGAGTACCAAGAATCTTCTTTACAAAATGCTGGTTCTGGCATATATCTCAGCAAGTAACTGTATCTTTATTTGAAAATGAGAGGAAAAGTATAGAACTGAGATGTCAGATACTCTTCCCTGAGAAAAAGATGAATCACCCTGTCTCATAATCCTTATTTTCATTAATGTGGACAAGATAAACTGAACTTAGGAAAAATTCTGCTCAGAAAACATTCAAGAAGTGGCATCTTAACCAACAATGTTGAACATGACAGCTTATTGTAGTAAGAGTGTATTATTGCAATGATTTGTGTATGCCAGAAGTTGTGTTCATCTTTTTCTTATAACATGCTCCTTGCCAGCATCTGTACACATACAGCTAGGGCTGTACTTTGGAGCCAAGACCAAGGCTCCACAACCCCTGATGAAAGGAGTGGTAAGTGTAGAAGCAAACTTCAGTTTATTCCTGGGTTCATGATGGTGCTATGATTTAACTTTAAAATATAAAGCTGAATATGTACAGAACAATAGTTTTATCAGGGCTGGCAAACAGTTTCAGTTTTGTTTGAACATCTTGCATCGTTTTAATGCAGAAGCAGTTTTAATGGGATGAAATGGCAGTGGGGGAAGAGAAAAGTTAGTTCTGTGCTTTGGCTAATTATTACTGAAATCTTGCACATGGCTATTAAAGGGGATTTAAGTCCAGCATCTAAAGCTGTACCACTATGATACATACATACCTACAGAATGATGTGAAAGTATGAAGAGTTCTGTGCATATAATTGCATCTGTGCTGCTGAGTATGTGCAAGTAACATTTAGTTGAAACATGCAATATGAAGTGCTCTGAGATGTGCACAAGCAAACAAAATAACCAGACTATCACCAATCAAGCTCCATTATTCAAACTGTCTCTCTTCTGCAGAAGACAACAGAAGCAGAAGAAATGCTAACAGTCCCTGACAGAATCTTGAGCTTGACTGTCAATTGCTCACTCCATGCATAAACAGACAGCTCTTGAAGTGTGCAAGTAAAGGGATGCCATGCTTAACCTCACATGTGCCTCCTCTGCACATCATGCATTCAACACCACAGAGGCCCTTGTGACACCCCAGCACTGAACACCATTTGTTTTCCAGAAGCAATAAACACACAGTAAAACTTACATCAGTCTTTTGTCAGGCTTCAGAAGCTTATAAGAAAATTCAGCAAGAATGATCAGAAAGTTTATATTAGGAGGCTTTCCTTCCACTGCAGCTGCTCCTTGAAAGGCAAATTCAATACCTTCCCTTTTCGTGGGAGTAGAAAGAAATGCAAAGAGAGAAGAAAGGTTTACAATGCGGACACCACAGAAACAGAAGACCAAAGGATGATGTAGATTTGGCACCTACTTGTGAATCATGGCTACTGACTCTCGACTTTTCAGCTGGTCCGAGCCAAATGACAAAGCAAACCGTCGTGCAAGCTCTTTAATGTTGTTGAAGGAGGTCGAATTATCCACAGTGATGCAGCTGCCATCATCCTGGCTTTCAACATGCTTCTGAAACATCTGCAGTCAACAAGTATTGGCATAAACATTTCCAGTACTATAAAAGAAACCACAAAAGGACGTATCTGCCCTGCAACTGCTAAGCATCAATATATCTTGTAGTCTGATCAAATAGTTTTAAGATTCCCCCGTCAAGTGGAACACATATTCGAATACCATAAAGTGAAATCTGTAGGATAAGAGCAGAATGCACCTCACGCACAATTAGGAAGTAGACCTGCATTTACTACAAGGTGAGCAGCCTGTCCCTGTGTTCCATACGACAAAAGAACTGGGTAACTTTTGCCTCTGTGTGTCCATTTTTATTCCGGCAGGCTTCTACCATGCCAAGTAGCATATTGGGATTCTCAGCAGATTCCCCTCCATAATCATGCTCTTCCAAAGTTACCTCAGCTAGAAATAGTAGCTATTATTTAATTAGATATTTTCATGTAATGTGTAATTCCTCCCAACAAGAATACTTCTTTCTTTAGACTCCAATGTGTTTTTTAAAAAGCTGCCAACAGATCGTGCTATTTTTCTTTAAATCTCTCTTGGGATCTGTCAACAAACCACCTTTTCAACCCTTCCAAACCCACTGCCAAATTAAAGTCAGTTCATAAACTTCACTGGAAAACACTATGAATAAAACTCATGAATAGGTTCATAAAATTCATGTGTAAACACTATGAATAGCCTTCTGCAACATGGTTCTCTCCAAATATTTTGACTACAGCTTCTAGCAGCCTCCAGCCAGAAGGAGCAATGGGCATTGATGGTGGGAACTACAGTCTATGATGGGCACCATGTTGGAAAAGACTGGCATGAGAAAACTCATGCCCAGATATTCATCAGAAAACACATGTAGCCACAGCCTTCAAATATAAGTCAAGGAAAAATGTGCCCATAATGTAAAGTCTGAATCCATTCTTAGAGAGCAAGTCCATTTTCAGAAGTGTTCTCAGTGGCAGTCCCGGCAACAATTAAATTTCTTCACTTTGTAAATTTGGCAAACCCAAGCCAAAACTTTTTTTTTGATACACTTCAGGACCCTGTTACCTCAGGATTTTGGTGGCCTGAAACAAGCATATAACTGAACAAGGCTTTACTGTTTTGCTCATTGTGTATGGATACCTTCCCACATATTTTTATATTGTAACCTGGCATGTACCATCAGTTGATCTAGAAGTATTAATTAGTTTAATTACATTAACGAGTATATAGTTATTCAGTTTTTCAATTGGCAACAGGAGACAATATGTTCCATTTTCTCCAAACAAATTGGTTAGCTGGATTGTTCACATGCTTTGATCTGTAAACATTCAAGGTCAATCAACACCCAAATGGGCTGGTTGCCTATGTGATATGTAAACACAGGCTCCCAACTTAAGTGAGCAGAGCACAGCTCACAAAATGCCACTGAGCTCCCTCCAATCTCCGATTTCAGGGGGTGGGCCTTGGAGCTTCCTAAGCTCTTGACAGTATGTGTGAAATCCATGGGGCTCATATATCAGCCATTCAAAGGGACGCATTCTGAATTTGGGAGAACAACTTGGACGCTTGCTAACGGATAACGGTAGGCAAGGTAACCTTGGCTAGCTGAGGAAATTAAACACCACATGCAGTTTAGTTGAGGACTAGATCAGAATGACTTCTACAAATTCTTTCATGTGCAGAACAGCAGGCCTGAATCCAGCCACTAGTGTTTTTCTATCAATATTTTTAATTAAAACATTACAGGGCTACTGAAATGCAAAAACAAAAAGCTGGAGCTGCCCATAATAGCATTCTCACCTGCTGTAAGCAGAGGATCATCGTCTTTGCACTTTGAATTTTATCACTGAGCCTTGTCCGGTTCATAGTTTCTTTAATTATATCTCCAAAGTTATCATAATAAGCCTGTAAAATGGCAAGGTGAAAAGAAACTTTTTTGTATTAAGGAGTAGTGCAATCAAAAACACAAGAAGCAAAAGCTATTTTATAAAAACAGAAAAATAAAATATTTCCCTCCCAGACACTTAGAGAATGGTGCTTACATCGCAATGTGCATGTCTATGCAGAATTAAACCCGCAGAGTGTAATGGAGCATTTTCCCAGATAAGTGTATAGAATTATAGCTTGACGTTCTTCTGTGCTTTGCAATTAGTCCCTCATTTTTATTATTTGTCCAGTTTACTCAGTAAGCATTTAACTGAAAATCAATTTCACTGAATTTCGTCAGAAAAACTTCCATACATGAGTATTTAGGATCATAATTTGTATTCCTACAACAGAAACATGGGAGATGAAAACTAAAAAGAAAATCACACCCCTAGTTTGCTCTGTTTCAGAAAGGCCAAAGGAATGTTCTTCTCGATGCTACTACTGTGGCAACTGAAAAAGAGCTTGAGCAGGAAGGCATGAATTGGAGGGGTGTGCTGTGCAACCAAAAATACCTAGGTTCTAACTCTTGAATATTATGGGTAAGCCAATGGCATAGGGGCAGGCTACAATGCCAGCATGCGTTAGTTTAAATTTCTTACTGCTAATAACTGAGCAGCAGTAGTACCACCTGTTCTGCACAAAAGCCAGAAAAATCATCAAAGTGTGGTTGGAGGAAGGGACATGTCTATCTTGGAAACCCTAACAGGATGCCCTGGGGGTCCAGGAGGACCAGACTATGTCCCAAACCCTGAAGTGCTGCATCCTTGATATAAATACTCTTCCAGCCTGGCATCATTTAATTCCTTTTCATTGTCACCATTTAAATCAGGACAAACTTGAGGAAAATCTTTCTAAGGAGCAACCAACTAAATAAAAAAACAAACTAGAATACAGAGTGTATCATCCAGGCCAGTTATGATACACGCATCAGATTGACTGAACAATGATAAACTCAATGTGTGCTTAAAAACAATAGTCCATATAGTTCGATTTTAAAGCTTTTGAAAGACATAATTAAAAGGATTCTTTTATTACCTTTGTAAAATACTTATAGATTTCAGCAGCCGCAGCCATATCAATAACATTATAAATTATTAACTTGCAATAAGCTGCAAGGAGGCATCGCTTCCGGTGTAAGGCATTCAACCTCTGGACTTCTATTTTCTTCTTCGCCTCTTCTGTCCAATCTACAAGAGAAAGTTTGCTTAGGTTGCACACTACCATTGTGCTCAAACATTCATTTTAATCTAAACAGAAAACTTTGTAGCAATCTTCCTATTTTTGTTTAAGACTGTAAGGAAGTTATTTCTTCTTCAAACAGTGGGTTGCATCTAAATGCCAGTCCTACTTAGAGTAGACTCGCTGAAATGAACAGGGCTTAAGTTTAACTAACACTTAATACAACCCAGTGCTAACTCTATTCATGCTATTTCACACACGTTTTTTTCACTGTGGGCAGGTTCATATATTGCGAATAACCAACAGTGGAAGGACTGTTCACTGTCAAAGCACAAGCTTCCTTTTAAACTGGTGTTCTTGACAGGGTTAATAGGAAACAGGGAGAGTTGACAGAGATATGTGTATATGCATATCTCTATGTCCCTATCAAATATCCACTGCTCGTTCTTATCAAAAGCCCAGTTTAAAAAGCATGTCAAAGCTCCAAGCTCATGTGACAACTCAAGGAAGTGTAGAACTGCATGAAGACAATGAGAACACTCAGGTGCATCCCAAAACTTGGAGCATCTTCCTGTGAAAGGAGTGATCTAATAGCTACCCCCTTTCGCAAGCAAAGCTCATTCACAGCTGTGCTCTCCATTCACGGTTCATCTTTTGCAACTGTCAGGGGAAAGCAAAGTAAAAAAATAAGTCTCTTTCCAGCTCCTCTAGGTCAATATCCATGGTGTGTACCTGCTGTACTTAAGACAGCAGGCACCTTCCAGGACACGATCCAAGCAAGGCTGCTTATCTTGGACCACTCCACCCAAGTATAGCTATTAAAAAAAAAAAAAAACTGCATAAGCAGTTTGTACCTATTTCTTGAACTTAAAAAAGGGCAAACCAGTGACAGCCTCTTCATGGGTCACTTGATCACACTGGAGTTTTCACAGAATTTATTGTCAACTCCTGGAATAGATGCAAATAAAGGGGGGAGGGAGCAGGTAACCACAGGAGAAAACAGTAAGCCAATGGCAGTTACTGTGCCTTGGGCACCAGCAGGGAAAACAGAAGTGGCTCCCAGCAAGGAGTGCTTGCTGCTCTTGCCAAGCAGCTGGTTCACCACTTTCTTCAGTCCAGAATGAGGCTGGCTGGCTGCATTCAGATGATACAACAACCCACCATGGGTTCAACAATCCCCAAATCAGCCAATGTGTTATCATGCTGGCTTGTTGCCCATGAATAAGCCATCCAGTGGGAAGCAGTCTAAGCGTGCACAACAGGAACCCATTACAGCTTGTAACCCCCATGTGAACTCAGTCTGCAAATCCACAGATATAAAGTGGCAAAAGGTGTGCAGAAAAAAGATCATCCATACAGAAAAAGATCATCCATAACAAAGAATGTGATTGGCTTCCTATTCATATATTACTTTACACTGAGCTAGCCTAAACAAATACATGTGTAGACTTTGGTCACCTTGAGTAGAGCATTTTCTGGATTGTATCCCTTGCTGAATTATGGTTTCCATAAAATTGATTATTTCCCTCTGGTTAATCAATAAACTGAACTCATTCATTATAAATTGGACAATTTCAAAATACTGGCATTATTGTGAATGTGAAAGGAGGTTCAAGCAAAGATTTCCTTTCACTGAGATGGAAGTGATGGAAAGCCTAGAAATACTCTAAATAAATCAAGCAAGCAAGCATTTCACTTCCTTGGAATTGGTTGCCTTTTCTGCACTTCCGACTTGTATACTGGGAATACTAATGCAGGTGTTCTGGGAAGAACTAACTGTAACAAATATACATGATAACATTAGATATTTTCTGGAGTGAATTCTCCATCCTAAGTGCCAGAACCTTCCCTAGATTTGAACCACATGTCTGATTTCTGACTGTCAACACCTCCTTTATCCTGGGAACAAATAGGTGAGCGATTAAACAGGATTGCTGGAAGCCCTAAATAAATGTTAACATACACAAGGACAGACTGCATTGACCCTGTCAACTCCTGAGGTGTGCCCACTATATCCGCTTTGTACATTTGACCACTTTGCATAGAGGCATAAAACATACTTAAGTGCTGAACCATGCAATCTGTACAGTAGCCAGTCATGTTATACAAAGTGCAGTCTAGGCCTAAACTGATTTGGCTTTGTGTGTGTAAACAGCTATACAAACCTATGGTGAAACTTGAGAATGGACTGATATGAGCCAGGGACGGACAGCATACAGGAAGCAGGCAAGCAGGTATGCATTTTGTATTCAACTTGCATAAAAGTTCTGAACATCTGCACAGGGCTAAAGAATTGGTCTACTGTAAAAGATGCAAGGGCTGATCCTTGCTGATCAAAGGCAACAGTAGATCATAGTAAGATTAAAAACAGATGAGGGGGTTTTGGAGAGTGGGAAAGGAATCATGACTCAGAAACAAAAGAGAAGACTGGGGATATTAAAGTATATATTTATGTTATCTTTCTGAAAATTAGTTAGCAGCTATGGAAGCCCACGTTTCTGTCAGATCAACATGATTTACATGTTGCTGTTCAAAAAATAAAATTGTACGCATAGTAAAATTTCTCTCAAATATTGTGCAAAATTGTAAGGCAAAAACTTAGCAGCCCATAGCAAACTTCCCTGAAAAATTTACTCTTATTACTGGAAACCTATCCTGGGAACCAACAAATAGGTGGGTAATTGAATGGCATTGTTGAAAGTCCTAAACCAGCATTAACACACACAACTCCATGGAAGGTTCAACCAACTGAAGTCGATCGAGGCTGATCATTTCAGGCCTTCAGGAAAGCCCTTATCTCTTATTTTTTTTCATGGACTTTTCTGGGTCATGCTTTTGATAGGGTTGCTGATGTTTTTGACTACAGTTAGAGAGGTGGGTTCTGTTGTAGGATATCTGTTTTATTATTGACACTGGCTTTTATAAATTCTGATATTCAATATTGTGTTCAGTATCTTCTGAGCTGAAAATTATTTTATTAGATTTATTCCTTTATTTAGGAATAAATAGGCTTCCTTTATTTAAAATAAACAATGCAAGTATGAGTTCAACAGTGGCCACCAAACATTCAAAACCACCAATTTATTAATACTACTCCATCTACTTGTTACTTTTAACCTTTAGTTATGCAATGTTTTCTGGTGTCACTCTTGCCTATCTTGGGTGACTGAATACAAAGTGGAATGAACAGTTACCCCAAGGACAGTACTTCCTTACTGAAAGATATTGCTAACCTTTGGTTTCTTCATCCTCCTCACTGAAAATATGATCCTGAATAAATAAGCGCATTTTTGACTGAAGAGATGTACTGGGAAGGTACTCCAGTACTCCATCATCACTTGAATCTTGATGGCTTATAACCATTAGGAAGTCACAAACTATCATAAAAGCCTACAATGACAGACAACAAATACAACTTAAGCATTTTGGCAAGTGCTACCACAATGATAGTATTAGTGCTATTAATGTGCAATGTAAAGCCATTCCCTTTCCACTTCAGATTTGCCTGAGCTAGTTTATTGGAATTATACTCTAGAAAGCCAAAGTGCTACTTCCGCCATGTCAAGTCCACAGAGTGCCCATTAGAGGAGGCAATGTTCTATCTCTTTAACACCTGCACATCTGTTTGAGAACTCACAATCTAACATAATGAGTCCCTTAGTCAAAACAGCAATGCAGAGAGTCCACAGAAGGTACAGTCAAGGTTCCACTGCAGCTGCTCCATAAATGAGGGCTGGACCTGGCTTCTGGTCCTGACACGCCATAGGAGCTGCTGCTGGGACTTCTCCCAGGCCCCCATACTGCAGTGCTCTGTAAAGACCATCATGTTGTTGACAGAAACAGCATTCCTCCTAATGAGCATCCTGTAACTCTGCCTTCCCATATGTGGTATCTTATGGAGCTTTACTGTAATTCCAGAGAGAACTCCATGTTGGAGAAGGCTCCTACAGCACTTCCTGGCCCCCAGAAGATGGAAAGACTTATTCAGGCTTAAACCAAGAACAGTGAAGACAGACAGCAGGGATTTTCTGAAAGTGAAAGTGCTGCAAATTCTGTCCTGCTGGTCGTGAACTGGACAGAATTTTTATGTATAGCTATACACTTGATTCTTGCAAGAAAACAACTTTAGATGACCCGTAAGAACCACTGTTTCCAAAATAATTACACAAACACAAAAAGCTGAATTTGCAGAATAACTTTGCTTATTGATGAATCACCTGCAAAGACATCCAAACTCCAAAATTATAATTTCATATACTGAAAATCGGGCAGACTGAATATGAGAGGTTAGCTTGCCTATATCACCCAGTTTATGGAGAGGCAAGCTTTGAACTGGAGGCTTCTCAGTTCATAGCTTAGTCTCCTTAGTCATTATACTGCACCAGCAACTGGGTGGCATGTCGTGAGGAGGTTCCATTTGGGTCTAGTCTTTCGCAACATTACCATATCCTTGTTGAATGGAGACTGAGATAGAGGGTTCTTTTTATTTGTGAATGTACATTAGTAATACAGTACTTATCTGCATTGCCATTAAGATAAGGCAGACTATAAATCAAGATCAAATTAAATTTTGAGATTCTTACCTTTTCACGCAACTCCCTGTTGTAATGGCTGAGGTAGCATGTGCAAATGTAGCAATAGTGCTTCAAGTGTGTCCTCAAAACCAAGACATTTTCCTTTTAAGAAAAATCAGAGATTTGTGCCAAAGACTTTCCTTGGATAATTATCATTTTTAGTTGATTATTCAAATGAATTGTTTTCAAAGTGAGCAGCAAGGCTCCACAAGTGAGGAGAGTTTAACTTTGGGTGTCTACAATTAGATCATGAAGCCAACAGCCAGCAGTCAGTAATGGAAAACAATGGGTCAAGTCTTTTAATTTGTTGGCACCTAAATTGACAATAGCAGGGAATAATCTGTCAGATTCATATGCCTTTTTTATTGTACTAGGGGTGGAACTAAAGCATTCTTAGCATACCATATGCCCTATCCCTACATATACTATGATACTGGGTATAAGGAGACAGATGGCCACCTAACATGGGACAATTGGGGGGTGGGGGACAGCAAGGGTTTCTGTGACTCCCAGTAGGTAAGACTCATCTGCAATGCCTCCTAAAGCAGTCTTTCACCTGGCAGGGGGCAGAGGTGAAATTAACAGGTTAGGAAAGAGTTTAAAACTCCCTTCCCATAGGGTGAATTTTGGCTAGCAACCCTTTTCCTCACCCCAGCCTCTGCATTACAGTTGTAAGGAAACATGGCAGTTCTCAGTCCCATAACAAGGAAACATGGCAGTTCTCAGTCCCATATTTACTTCAAGTCCAATTCTATTCTTTGGATGCAATCCTAATACATTAAGTGAGAGTTAGTACAGCAGAACTAACTAAGCTTTCCAATTGGTAAATAATGCGTTGACCCTAAATTTGCTTGCGATATGACTATAACATCCAGATATCCCCATATTATACTGTTAAGTTCTGAAATGGTGAACTTTGTTGACAGGCAAGGTTACTTTTCCCCTCCTACACAAACTCTTTTTCAAGCATTACTACTTCACCTGGGCCCAACCATGGGAAAACAGCAGTTACACACTAGTAGGAAATGTAGGAATTACCCTTAAATTCCCCTATAATGCATTTGAAATTGAGAGAAAACACACACATGTATGGAATGAGCTGCTATTGTAATTTCCTTGAGTTTCTTGTTGCTATTTACCTACAAACAGATATATGAGGTCACATAGAAGCCAGTCACATGCATACCACATAAACTTATGCTGTACACTGGAAAAAAGGCAGCCTGAGACATATTGTTGTCCAAAGAATGATGCTGAAAATGATATCCTCATGGCAATAGCATTTAATTATTTAATAAAGAATTGAACATTTGCTGACCATCAGTGGTACTGCAAAAGCTGCCCTCCAGGCACCTAGCTGAATTGTAGAAACAGACTGCAGGAGAAGGTTTACCATGTGCATATGGTATTCAAAGAATAGTACAAGACTGACCTCCTACAACGCACACACTAACCCCAACCCACAGTGTAGATGGGTTCAAGGGAAAGCATGTCTCTTTATCACTTTTGGGTGAGGTATCCACTAATTTTATAGTATCTGAAACATATTTAAACATTTCACAGGTGACAGACAATCTTCCCAAAATAAGGTTAATCCTGACACAATTTTTACAAAAGCCAATACGTTTCTGCTGTAACGCAGGAAGCTACGGATGCCTCAAAAACATGTCCAAATAATCACTGAACTGGGAGTCTGAGGATGGTGTCAACCATGAATCGCATATTGTATCAGAGGCAGAATGTGAGTTTACAAGATTCAAATCATCCAGCAACCCACAGAAGGATGCAAAGAAACTTCAAGAAGAAATTTCAGGGCACGGGCTTGGGTCTAACCTTGGCTGAAGTGAGTTCCATCACAGATGTGAGCTGCCAAAGCAGTGCAAAATAAGCACACTCTAAAGCAGGCAAAAGAATCTGCAAAAGAAAAGAAAAGCTCATAATTTGATTATATCAAATACAGAACCCAGAAACTTAGTATGGATAGTCACCACTTTACAGGATACTACCCCCAAAATTTGGAAAAAGTAATCAGCTAAGTGTGGCCTCTGCCACTGAATTAAGAAACTGTTTTGATTCAAGAAACAAAGTATCAGCTGAAATTCAACCTAAAAGGATTTAAACCGGGATCCTGAAACTAGGAACAAATTTAGACTTGCATGCTGTTTTGGAAGGCTGAAATATGGCTAGAATTACCTGAACAGGTAAAGGGCTGAATTCCACGTGAAAGACAAGCATCTTAGACATCTTGTCATAAAGATTCCACTTTGTGAGATCATGGGCGCTACAAGTCCAAAAGGAAATGATGCATCAATTCAGGTATTTTTAAGTAGCATTGACAAAACAGTTCCCAGGAAAATAAGCAACACAGCCATATTCTTTCTTCTACATACTTTTGCCTCTAGAAATACCTTTTAATGTTTACAGTAGAAAATGGATGTAACTACCTTTTTTCTCCCTATACAGCCAAGTGCAAAGTGATTTTTTAGCCAACCTTTAAAGAAGGTTGTGAGTGGCTTTCCTCCATATCAATAATAATTATTATTACCTGATGGCACATAATCTGCTGCTTAATACTCCAGTCAAATTGTTTATGGTTGCTACCAAAGTTTTAGTAGTTCTACAGTCTGGTTGTATTTTAATGAATAATTGATGCAACTGTTTATAAACTGTTCACCTTGAGGGGTTTTTTTCTTTAGAAAGGCATGAAAGAAACTGTAATCAGTGTTATCAGTCTGTTTTCTACTAAAATATTTTAACATCAAAAATCAGTGCAGGTATGCTGAGATGTAATCCAAGGTCTAGTCATTTGCATGATTGCTGGCAATTCAAGAGGGAGACCCATCCCAGACGCTTAATAAGAATGTGCTAGAAAGGATAAACCAGTCATCTCAGATCAATCTCTTGACCTTTAAGTAGCATATAACTGCTAAGAATTCCATTCTGCCAAGTACTCAGCATTCTAGTCCAATCCTATGGAATAATTCAAACATACAAAACAAATAAATGAAGCAATTCCTATAATGGAATGGAAGTGTTTGGCTAGGCCAGCCAATAACACTAAATATGGTTCAAAGTCTTGTTCCTTGAAAATCCTCTCAATAACACAGTGATATAGGAGTTATTGTACAAAAGGGATTATCCAAAAAGGCAAATGCAAAACAGACTTTCTGCATGCCTCATAGGATCAGAGCAGTTGGAGGTTACGGCAGTGCTATCCATCTTGATGTGCAGTTACAAAGTGGTGTAGCACAAAATCATTTGGTAAACACCTAGTGTCTGGGGATGCAAGATCAGTTTCAGTCATGGGGAGGGACTCCAGTCTGAGTAAAAGTGCCTCTTTCACAACATAAAAGCAAAAGGAAACCCTGTTCTTGAATATAAAATTATAGCCATTATTCAATAGTCATTCATATGCCTCACTCTAAAGCAGATCTCACATTATTGAGATCTTGAGATATAAATGCTCTTGAGACAAAAAAAAGGAATCCTACAAGGAACTTCCAACATTCACTATGCCGCACAGGACTTGTAGGAACTTCTTCTATCTATACAGACATAGGTTGTTTTCCCCAGCCTATCAAAAAAAGAATCAATGCATGAACAGCAACGCATCAGTCAACAGTGAACTCCAGAAAATTATCTCATGACTTTGGAAACTCTGGGCCACTTAGCATCTTGGCTCATACTTGCAATACCTTTTTCTAATCCTAGCGCCTGCATTCCCAAATGCACTATTTGTTGTTTCCTGTTTTAGCTTTGCAATTAAATGAACACTATTCTAATTGTCCACACAACCTCACAAAGAGAAATTAGTCATCAGCATCAATAATCATCTCACTTATGAAAGGCTGCTATTCTTCGCAGAGTGGAGCATAATCGGTGAATCCCTTCTTCTTCTTCTGCACAAATACCTTCTTCCTAAATTGTATGCAGAAGAGACAAAAGAAGAGACTGAGCTAAAGTTGAACAATTCCTTCTAATTGCACACTTCCATTAAGAGTCTCTTTAACCATAGGAACCATTTTAAAGCAGTTTAAAATCATTTAAGTAGGGTGAAAAGAACCTGACTCTTCCACAAATTATGAAATACGCCCTGTGCATACATCTGAACCAATTAAGATCTTCTCCCCAGCTCTGAAGTAAGAGCCAGTGGTTGCTGCTGCTTTGGCAAAAGAGGCAGGCTCAGCTCCCACACATCTATGAAGGTACAAGCAGCACTCCTTCAAGGACAATGGGAATTTACTGCTAGATCTCCATTGCTTTGACACATAAGCAGCAGGTGGCTTGTCAAAGTGCAAGATTCCCTGCCCTTCCAGAGAGGCCCTGCAGGAGGACAAAAAGTTCCAGGGAGGAATAGAACCCTGAAGTGGGCGATGATTTCCTTTCCAGCAGGATTCAAGAGGATGCCCCTGACCGTCACTGTTCTTCACGACTGCATAGCTCCATTGTCCCAATGAACTGGAAATATGGCAGCAGAGAAAAAGAACCTGCTTTTTTCTTTGGATGGTATTTCCCCATGCATTGTTTTAGCAAATGCCCCATTCTGCTGAACTTCTACCATTAAGGTTATCTTTGTAATCCATAGATCTTCACACCAAAAACAACAAGCTGTGTGAACACAACCATGCATAAGAATCTCTGCTCACTCACCTGTCAATGTGTGATTTGGTGCTAGGACAGGGGCCTGAAGAGAAACTAATGAAGCCAAAAGGGGAGAGGCATCCTAAAGAGTGTAGACCATTTGTGAAACTATATTCCATAGTCATGAACTAGATGAGATGGTGGCACTACAGCACTGAGTTACACATCTCAACACTTACCCCGCTGCCATTAGTAAGCACGTTTTCTTGTATTCTAACAGGAAGCTGCCATCCTTTTCACAAACCCAGAGAAAAGTGAAGGCTTTTCCTGGTTTACAGCTTTTTGAGTTTCTCCGGGCTCAGAGCAATAGACACAAATCTCCAGTAGCTATCTCTAAGCTGTCTCACACGACTTTCCCCCCATTCCATTCTTGTGCCCTTTCCCTTGCTTGTGATTTATGTCAGTTCCTGAGACCTAACAGAAACAAATAACTGGCAATACATGCAACCCTAATGCTGCATATTAAGCAGATCTGCTTGATTCTTTCAGTGTGCATACTACATAGTTAGGTTATAGAAAACAGGGGTGGTGATGACAGAATTTGAATAATCTCATCACATAAGCCAGCATTCAGTTTCTTAGTTACCTGAATATATAACTGTGGAATAATTTTCTTTGATGCATTTTGCTGTTCTTCAGAACTCAATTTTTAAAAATCAGTATGAACTCATTTATGGTGGAATGACATCTGTTAGAAATGGCGCGGTTGATCAACTGTTGTTGAACTGCAGGCTATTCATATTTCCAACAGCTGCTCTCATATTCTTAGAACCAATGAAAACCTTTTCAAGTATTTCTGCAACCTCTCCTCTCCTCGCCACCCCACCAACAAACAAATGCAAAAGCCAATTTTAAGATTTAAAAGCTTTGCAAGATGCTTTAACAGAATCTCACAAAGTCAAAAATTTAAAAACTATAGAAAAGGCCTTCATGACCTCCATATGGAAAGGTCAACTTCATCTCCAAATTACTGAGTATTTTAAATTAAGTTTCTGACAAGATCATAGACAAATGTCATCAAGTAGCAAGCAGGCATCAGTTCAGAATGAAGCCTTTAAAATAGTCCAGAGTGGAATATAAATTCTTGAAATATGGACAAGAGCATTCAATGACCAGAAATCATACTGCACCATGTCAAGAGAGGCATATTAAAAGTATGTTCTTCTCTAGTAAAGGTTTGTATCAGAAAAAAGTGCTTTGAATATTCATGAGCATTACTGTTGCAACAGGACTAAAATTTTAAAAATACATACAAACAGAATGACTTAGAACCATTTTGCACATGATAAATTTTCACCCTAGATTGGATATATTCTACAAGTATACTCATCATGTACACTGGAGCAAATGTCACTACTTTCCCCAAAAGTAAGGTTGTCAACTCAGCTCAGAGATGCTTCTATACATTTAAAATTTCTGAGACAGCAGGGAATGGTTCAGCCCATTCCTCCATGGATCCTTCTCCTTACCCTTGTCTCACTTCCCATAGCCCAGATTCCAGGTTTTCTCCACAGTTTGAGTGGAAGAGGCACCAAAACACAACTACTGGAGGAACAGACAGGAGCTCCAAGCTATGATCTGGAAAACCACATGACTGCGTAGATATCAGATGAAAACAACCACATCGATACACTTCAATGGAATTAATTCCCAGACTAGACTGCTTCACATGTAAAACAGCAGATTATCTCTGTTTCCTCCCCTACGTACAAAATAAGCACACTTAAAATTTTACCCAAAGCCTGCTTTTATTTAAATTTTGCTCCAGAAGTCTAAACTCTCATTATGCACAGGTCTCATACTTACGTCATTCCAGAAGGCACCCAAGAGCTGGTTTAGGGTGTCCACTAGTTCGTTTACCAGTTCAGTTTTTGCAAGGCCCACTTTGCTAAGGGCAGCAAATTCTCCACTGCAAAGAACATAGTAGAACCTGGAACAAGCCTCCAGGACATTTGTGTCAGAATGTTTAGTTGCAATGGCTTTCACCTCTCTCAGCAATGCATTCAAATGCTGCAAGAAAGGCAAAAGTTGCATGCATGTCATAAGCTGAACTAGTGGCACCCATAGCAGTGTTCAGTTACCTAGGCTGTAATCCTTGTTTGCACATGGATCCATTATAGCCTTGAGCATAATCCATTACCTATCTGCAAAGTGAGAAATACAATAACCTAATTCATAGACACATTATTTTACCCAACCCTTATAGCATATGCACAAAAGATCTTTCCCCTGCCACTGACTCAGAACTCTAGCATAAAAGTAGATATTATTTTATATTATTACGATCATTATCATTCTCATCATCATCATTTCCACACTGCCCATAGCTGAAGGTCTCTGGGCAGTTAAGAAAGGGACACAGAGAAAGGGTGGCACAATTTAATCAGACAGGAAAATGACATCCATGCACAATGCAGAATTTCCCAAATCCACATCTGCCTTCAAGATCACCGCAGCTGAACGTGGTTTTGTAGTAGAAGCCAAGTTTTTTAAAAATAATGTCCAGGCTGTTGACTCCACCTCATGAACACTGGATTGCATTCAGTGCTCATTATATTTAGAGTAGCCCCATTGCAATGAAAGGGACTTAAACTGGATTAACATTGGATACAACCCACGGGGGTGCAGGGAAAGAGCCTGCCACCTGCAACCACTGGTTTCAGCACAGATGGTTGAACATGTACGCCCAAGACCAACCCTATCCTGCACACGCTGGCCAAGGAGACAGGCTATAAATTTCAGCAGTTAGAATGAATGACTGGCTGACAGCATACAGGGCAGTTTTACACCACAGGATATGCTATTGCATTTCGCATGAAATTTCTCCCTCCCGTCTGCCCCCACTTCTCTCTCTCTCTCTCGCTCTCTAACACACACATACACAATACTAATTCACCTTTTCCATGTGTCCAGCACTGTACAGTTCTAAATGAAAATACTGTGGGATTTGCAGGAGATTTGTCACTTTTTCTGCATCTACTGAATACTGTAAAAGAAAAAATAACTCTAAGCATGCTGCTGTAATTCAAATGAATTATGTAATATGCATTCACAAGAGCAGCCGATAGTTACCTTTGCCAAGAGCTGAGGAAGAACCACAATGAAATGTTCAGTCATTTTAGTACAATCTTCCATTTGTATCTTCTTCTCCTTGGTAGACAGGATCTGCAGACAAAGCACTTTGTTGCAATCATGGCATTAACAGGATCAATATTTAACCTAGCTGTAGGGTTAAACTTGTATCAGTGTTGAGATAGAAACTCTAAATTGCTTAAATATTGTAGTTCATTGATTAAAATGTTTGATTATGGGGCAGATAAGGTTGAAGCATAGTTGTTAGTTGGAAAGAAAAGTTAGCAGCTTTCAACACAGATTCTTTTCATGCTCCAAGAAGTATCCTTGTTTGAGCAAAGCAATATAGAGCACAGATTTTTTTAAAAAAATACTTCTAGGCATTCCAGCCATATTTTCCTAGTGAAATAGTTTAGCGCTTCTAGATTCTGTGAACAGGCTATGTAGATCTCTTGGCTCTTTCAGTATCAACAACCTTTTGCATTTTAAAATCATGGTTCAAGTAATACCAGCTGACATGTAATAAAACTAGCATACATGGATTCTGTGATATTGTGATGCAATAGTTCACTCACAAACCTAAGAACATCACACTGGCTGAAACTATAGTTTGATCATAGTTTATAATTCTGTTTTGTAGGGTTCAGTCAAATCAAGTAGGTAGTCTAAACAATGTCAAATCAGGAAAAATTCCATTTACGTGAATGCTCAAGGGACAGAAAAGAGGAAAGAGAACACTCAATGCCTTTTCCCATTCCCCCAGTCATGCAACCAGCACCACTGGCTTCACAGGTGTGATGGCTAAAGCAGAGGTGCCTTTATTTCTCCAAACTGGAGATGGGCAAGGGTCAGGCTTAGTCCCGTGGGACCTACAAGTCCCAGGGCCCCTGAGCACAATCTATGTTGGGGGTTGTAGGCAAAAACATCTGAATGGCCACAAGTTGCTCATCCCTGTTCTAAAAAATGACACATGGTGCTTAAAAAAATCTGAAGTTCCCCTACATAAGTAGAAATCCTTTCTTTATTCACAGTTCTCAAAAAGCACCCTCCACAGGCTGGGGCAGTAAATAGTAATACGAAAATGTGGTTAATTAGGGAATTAATTACCACCACCAGACCACACTACAGTGGATGCCTGAAGAACCAAATGGCAAACATTTATTTTCCAATCAATTTTAATAGTTGCTTGAAAAACTTCAGGAAAACTTGGTGTAATTCACACATTACAATATGTGCACAAGAGATTTTTGTCCATGATCTCATATGAAAATAGCCCTTTCCCATCTTTCTACTGAGGCAAAGCACAAGCTGCAGGTGAAATACACTACTCATCCTTCTACCGGGGGCAGGGAGGGGAGGGAAGGAGATAAGCTCTTGTATTAGCCAAGACAATAACCAAGTGTGCTTAGGACTGCATCCTTTCAGATTTGATTAGTTGTTCTGAACCACCCAGAGAATGTCGGGTATTGAGAAGTCTGGAAATATTAAATAGCTCAGAACAAATGGAAACAGGACTGGCTCTACAGCTGCATTAAGTTCTATGATCAGCCTGTCTACAGTTCCCCTTCGTTGCACTGGCTGTAGGGCAAGCACCATGTTTATCTTGCAAGCACAATTCCATTCAGTCCCTGCAAAGAACCGTGTTGCTGAGGGTGACTTGGGGGCAGTAGGCAATGAAAGGCCAGACAACCAATACAGTACAAGAAAACTCCACTGACTTTTCTGATCCCTCCTCTAAGAGGATGACCTTCAGCAGCTTCTTGAACAGTTGCTAGGATGATTTCAATGAGGGCGCTCTTTTGGGCATCACTCAGTGCTAAAAACAAAATGACACACAAACGTCATTCAAACTCATATAGCAAGTCTAGGATGGTTCAAGGATGACTTTATTCCTGTATTGTACTGAATTGTTTTTTCAACCATTTTCAAAGATAGCTACAAAAGGATACTAGACATTTACCATATTTCTTAAAATGTGTTTTCTTTACAAAGGATATTCAGTTATTCATTATTATTTAGCTATTATTAACATTTATAAACTACTTTATTTGCTTAAAAAACTATAAAACAGGAAGCAACTTAAAACAATACTACCAGAATGCAACAAACAGAACATTAGAAACATAAGACATTGACAGAACTGCATAATTTAAAAGGCTACATGTAGGGAACAATCCTATGGATCCTAGACATTGTCTGAGGGTCCTTAGGATACTGGATATCCCCCCATCTGCCAGTGTTTCAATCTTGGAAGGTGACAGAGACATCATCCCCTGTCCCTCACAGCTGCTGTGGAAAGAAACACACCTGCTGTCCTTCAAGGCTGGAAAGCCAGCCTCAGCATTTCAATGGGCCTATCCTGCAGCTTCTTCTACAGCACCACTCAAAACAGAACAGTTTCCAAAACGAAAATGGGAATGCCAGGCAGGCAAAATTGCCTTCACTGCTCCTCCCAGCTTGCATATTATGAGCTTAAGTCTCAGCGTCTGGGAGGCTTACAATCTTCACAATGGGCTTTTGCCCTAAAGTGATCAGTCTTCACACCCTTTCTAAAAGCCAAGAATGTGGAGGCCACATCTATTCTATGAAACATACCACCACAGGTTATAAAGAAGGACAAAGCTCTAAAGACATTCAAGAAGAAACCAGACAAATTAACAATGATAAAAACATATGCTAATTATATCTATCACTAAATATTAAGGATATGTATGGCCTGATGGATATATTCCTGTTAGGTTGTTAACAGGTTTATTCTGTATCAAATATTGTTTTAGCTATTAAATTGATTTTAGATTATGTATGTTGGAAAAAAATATTATGCTTTATGGTATTATGGTCCTGTTATATGAGCTGTTTAAACTGCTCAGAGAGCTTCAGCTACTGGATGGTATAGAAATAAATAATATTAATAAGAAGAAAATACCCCTATGCATACAGTACCAGTTGCTGCATTCTTTGCTCTGTAATACCAACAGAGCTCTCATTTTTACTGAGCAGAGAAGAGGTCTAAGTGGGGGACTGAATCTGCACTACCGAGGTTAAACATCACACTGAATTTTAAACTAGCATTTGATAATGACAAAGGATCCCTGTTCCTGAGACCTCAGTTTGACCCTTTCATCCAACCTGACTCCACAGCATGTTTCTGGGTGTTGTGTTGATGTTGTGTGTGTTTAGCTGACAGTACTCAACTTCTTGGCTCACCTACCTCCTTCATGATCCAGTAAGAGATCCGTCATGCATTCCCAGTCTTTCAATACGTCCCACTCCCATAGGCTGTCTACAAGGTATGCAGCGTGATTATGTAGCTAAAAAAATAAAACCACTTCAGTAATCCTCTATTTATATCAACTTTCACCATGATCCAAGGAAACTAAAATATGCACACAACTGTCAGGATTCCCCCACTGCCAAAGATCCAAGCTGCCTTTTAAATTCAGAAGTGGTTTATCTCTTCAGCAATGAAAATTGGTATGACAGCAACATCAAGCAAAATGCTACCCGTGGGCATAGTTCTCACCTGCTGAGAGTATTGTTCCTTTTGATTGCAACCTATCATATTAAGCTTTTGCCAATGCATACAACACAAATAACAGTAATAGGAAAGTTAGAATGTGAAAAAGCTATGGGTTTTCTTACAGGATTGTTCATAGTTAATACCAAGATGTATTATTGAAGCTCCATAGAGAAGTCAAGATAACCCACAATTTTACAACTCATACAATGTAGTATTCTTATGTGTGAATCAGGCCACCATCTAAACCCAGCTTTCTAGCAATTTCAATCATTTTTCTATAAACATGATCAAGTTCTTCCCTAGTAAATCTTCATACATCCCCCTTAAAAACACTTTTCCTAAATGCTTTATTGCCTGGCTCCTCCAAAATATCTAAATGTGTATATCAGATATTGACCCATTACCTTCCATCATACTTAGGAGCTATTTTTAAATATTGTAGCAATTCTCATTCCTGCTCGAAAACCTTCAAATTCACTCTATGATTTTATTAGTTGGTCCTGAAAATAATCAAAACCTGTTTGTACCAGCTAGAGAGAAGATATAAACTTATCCTCACCAATCTGTTTATCCACCATAATTTGTATTTTCTTTACCTCACTTTCCAAGAAGAAAATGATCAGTGCTTTCAACTGCTTGACAACAAGTTTCTGGTTTCCTTTCTTTTTGGTAAAAACTTCTATTTCAATTTCCTGGTCAATCAATCTGCCAACAGAAAAAAACAGCCAGATTCCATCCCTTAACTCTGAGTTGGAACAAGCAATTGCTATGCCTTTCTAGGTTTTTATGGATTCTCACTGCACAGTGCTACAAATATTCACTCAGAAATAAGTGTCATAAGACTTGCTTCCAGGTAAGTGGGTATATTATTGCAGACTAAAGCATTTATTATATGATCAACAAACATGCACTATTCTAACATATTCATTTCTTTCAAGTTCTTTGGAGTCATCTCATTTCCAGTACCTGGAAATCCAATCACTTTTGGGGTATTAAACATCAAAAAGAATTAAACTGGACGCATAGAGATATGTATTGCTTTGATTGATTACTCCTTTAAAAGGGATCTACTTTAAGCAAAGACTGAAAGCATAAACGTGTTAAATAAATGTATCTCCTTGCAATGATGAATGGAGCTGGTGCATACCACAAGTATCATAGCCAAAACAGGACCACTGATATGTAAGAGGTACATATCATGACCCAAAGATACAATTCAAGGTCTGCAAAAATAGTGCAGCAAAGCACCTCAGAAGGCAAAAAACAGACTAATGAAGGTCAACATGCTCAATAGCCAGAAAATGTCCCGTGACAGCTGGAAATGGGAAGACTGGGAAAACTGCACAGGGCAATTCCTTTTAGGAAGAATACAGTGCAGACACCATGTCATTCTAAAAATAAATCCATAATCAATCGATCAATCATGCCTTAAAATCCTACCGAAGTCTAATGTTTCATAGTATAGCAAATCTAGTTGCTCACAATCATGATTGTATGCACTGAGCTACTCCACTGCTAATTCCAGAGTGACAACTTTTCACTTTTAACTGGACCAAATCCCAAGTCCATGTAATTAAAACATCTTTGAAAATATGAGAGCAATGTCTGCTATAGATTTTAGTCTTCATTTCTCCTCTATAAAATGCATTGCTTGTGTCTTGACATTAACATTGACACTGTCTTTGTAGCATATTATTATTATTATTATTATTATTATTATTATTATTATTATTATTATTATTTCTTAACCACCTGTAACCAAAGCTCTCTGGGAGGTTTACAACAATAATCATAGAATTATAGTCAAGTTCACTCCTATGTATCACTGATATATATTGGTACCTGTAGGCACCAACATGTTCATGCTTTCTTTGGAACACACAAAGATATCCTGTTCTTCCCAATTTTATTTTTAAAATAAAAATAATATTATTTTTATATTATCTGCCTGGAATTATTTGGAAGCAAATTGGGGGCTGCTAGCTGCTACCATCTTAATTTCCCATGTATGTCTCTGAGCAGGCCATTTGTCCTTTGTAACTAAAACAATCTCTTCAGACCTTCCTAATCAATATTGAAATGTTGAGGGAGAACAAGCACCCTTTTCAGCATCACTATTTTGAACAAGTGAATAGGGATTAAGTCATGATACAATGAGGAAATTCTATGATGGCAGTGTTCATTTATCATTGCAATATTTTATTAATAAATGGCAATATTTAATATTTAATTCATTTATTACTATTATAATACAATTACAATTTTATTGATGGCGGCAATATGTATTTATTTATAAAATGCATACACCATTTCATATCAAGAAAACTCAGGGCTGTGTACAAGTTAAAAACAAAATTGAAATAATTGTTTCAAAAAGCAAATACTTCAGTAAAACTAGATGATTGCAATTATCCATCAGGTAATGTCTGTCTGAAAATAATAGTCTTTTAGCAAATGGTGAAATTGATTTAATTGTGGATAGAAAAATAAGAACTGAATTCTGGCATGTTAAATGGTCACATAGCAAAATACGGTAGCAAGTGGAAAGGGGGACTTGTGAAGGTAGAAGGAAGGATGTCACAGTAAAAACATAAAACAGCAGAGAGTTAAAATTTAGTGGCTAGCTAGCACCCGCTTAGATTGAGAGGGAGCCTTCATTCTTAGGTTACTAACAAGGGTGCTGAATCACTCCTGAAAAATCAAAAGACGGATCATACATTTCTTGTCATTATTTTTTCAAAGAATCAAAAGGAAATATGAGCAACAATTACCTAAAAATACCCTCTTTCTTGGTACACAAGAATGCAGGTGCCACTGAAAAGTCAGGGACAGGGGCTAAGACTCAAAAGTAGGCCAAAAGAAACTTGTTTAAATCAGGACCAAAAAAATCTTGTTTAAAAACAGCAAAAATGGAGGAATCGGGAGACTGAACTAGCATTCCAGATGGATGACTGACATGTTACCTTATCTGTTAGTCTGCATGTTCCTTAGGAATGAAAAACAAGGGTGAAGGGACAGAGAAAGACAAAGAGAAAGACAAAGACACTCACCCAAAGAAGTATGATTGTGAGAGTGTATATTTGGGTGTATATGGGTATAAAGGTCAATACTCAGTGCCACAATTTTATATTGCTGCATATACACATTAGATCCCACTGAATGAAATGCAAGAATCAGCTGAAAGTACAATCACTCAGAAGAAAACTGGGAAAAAGAATTATGCATCATTTTGATTATAGAAGATGAAAATATAGGACCTGCAAATATGTAGCTAACAAAGTACAAGATAAAAACAGTCATGTAGAGGTACCTTTTATAAAGAAGTTCCCCAGCTGCTACAGCCAATGGTCGGTGACTGGCATAAACAAACCGATATAAAGATTCATACTCTTCAGGTGACAGCACATCTTCACAGTTCCTGTACAGAGACATAATATTAACTAAGTTTTGTCAAGGAGGATAGTTGTACATAAACTAGTAGTACAGGCCTATTCATGTTTACTCAGAAGTAAGTCCCATTGCGCTGAATGTTGGTTTTTCCAAGGTAGCTATGCATAAGGTTGCAATCCTAACGCTATAATACTCTGGTTAGAGCTTAATTCCTAACTGTCTTTTAATCCATCTGCAATATTAACAAATATGACCCATTCAATTAAAGTGGCTGCTTTTTATATTCTCTTGGCCCAAATACTTATGCCAACCAACAAATGCAAGACAGTGGAGGATTTGTCTTCTGGGCATGTGGCAACAACCATAGAATATCTGGTGTACTGTGTATCTAACCAAGGAAGCACTAGGAAAACAGATCATGGCCACACCTATAGCATTTGTCACTATTTTTCAGATAAATGCATTATTTAGGTATCTCCCCAAACACCAGAGGACTAAAACTATGTAAGGACAAGACATGAAAGCCAGACTTTCAGCATCCCCATGCCCACAGCTCTTCTTCAGACCCTTATGTGGACCTATGCAGTGGATGCAAAAAGTTTCTAAGTGTGTTTGGCACAACAAGCTTAGAAAGCTCTACACAACTGGGAGCCCCATTAAGTAGCCTAAAGGAATGGCAGATTTCACAAAATCTGTTTGGCCAAACCGGCATCCAATGTAAGCAGAGATATTTCTGTTCTTCATTAAGTATAGATTCAATAAAAGGTCAACAATGCACTTTAATTCAAACATTAAATGAGGAACGAATATTAAACACCAAGCCTGCAAACAATCCAGCCAACGTCCATACTGAGAGCACTATGCTGCTTGAAGGTTAGATGTCAGCTCCTTAGCACTCTTTCAATCCTTGGCAAATGACTGTCTATCAAAGTCAAAACCTGCCACCCTCCAATCCTGTCCCCTAGCAACTAATTAACTTACAGAATGAGCATCTCACTAACAAGTAGTTAAATTGGACACCGAGTTTCTCTTGGCAGGGATTGCTGCAGAGAAAAGTTCTGGAAACTATACTTTGGCTAAGGACTAGTAACTACCAAGATGGTAAACAACGTAAGAGTGGAGGGTTGGAAGTGCAAAGGGATCTGATAGAACACACTGCCTTGTTGACTTTCAGAGACTCAAAAGCTTCCATAAAATTACAGGATGATCATTATCATCCTGTCCATCATTTGAAGGAGGATATCTGTTATTTTTGAAATAAAAGTTTCACATTCCTCTTAGGCTGCTCTTGGTAAGACCTTTTGCAAACTACAGTAGCTATGTGGCAGCATATCAAGCAAACAATTTTTCTGAAATCTATAAATGACAAGACATGAAAATGTTCTTATATAAATGTAGTTCAGTAGTGAACAGATAATACAAAAATACTATTTAGCTTTTTTAAGAAATTATGCGTGTTTAGGCAAAATAAAGTCCTGCAACTCCCAGAATTCCCTAGCCAACAAAACTTCTTTCCTTATTTAATAACACAATGAGGACTGTACACTGGAAGACCTATAATAGACAAGAAGCACAATTTCTGTATACATGACTATTTACTAAGACTAGAATCCTAAACTCAATAATAAATGTCATTTATTATATGATGTAATCATTGGATTATTTAAATACTTTTTGCATAGAGCCGCATTTAGTTACTTGGAAATGCCATGGCACACAATATGTCCTGTAGCCAGTTAACATATTTAGGATTGCACATGAATGCTTAAACTAAATAACTTAAAATAAGCTGTGTACAAAACTGTTGGAATAATCCATTTATAAGTCAAAAATACATGAATAATATAATTTAACATAAATAATTTGTAAGGTAAAATGAATCATAGATCATGGAAGAGTTGGAAGAGGCTCAATGCAGGACTCCAAGTTAAAGCATCAATGCTTAGAGTTTTGAAGATGCAATGGAATAATGAAGATAATCAGAAGTCAATATCCTTTACTACATAATAGCATATGAGTACACAACAAAAATATAGACAAAAATAAAGAAGCTTCCTTTACATCACAAGGTGTAAACTGCAATTCATATTGTAGAACTGCAATTCATTCTTAGCCACCATATACAACAGTTAGGGATTATTGCTGCAGTGCAACAACATGGAGAGCTACCAACTGGTCACCCTGACTCACATTATAATCAGCTTTCCTTATCCACCTCCAGATATTTTAGACCACAATTCCCAGCATTCTTGACCATTGGCCATGCTAGCCTGGGACTCACAGTGGCTGAAGTCCAAAAACATCTGAAGGGCACTAGGTTGAGGAAGACTAAGACAGATACCCATACTACTGTATGCATAACACTGGAAGCATCATTCTTTACTGTTCTCAAACACCAAAGTCACCTCCAACAGAGAATGTGGAGTTTCACCATATTCCTCACACTTTCCCAAGCTGTACAGTAGACCATCTACAAAGTACCCAAGGGATAGGGAAGTGCTCTTGTCAAAGCAAGGTGCTTTTTTGGGCAAGGTGCTGGAGCGGGTGGTGGCGGGACAACTCCAAGCTCTCTTGGATGAGACTGATTATCTGGACCCATTTCAGTCTGGCTTCAGACCCGGGTATGGCACTGAATCTGCCTTGGTCACCCTGTACGATGACCTATGCAGGGAGAGAGACAGGGGGAGTGCGTCCCTGTTGGTTCTCCTGGACCTCTCAGCACCTTTCGATACTATCGACCATGGTATCCTTCTGGATAGGCTAGCGGGATTGGGAGTTGGAGGCACTGCTTTGTGGTGGTTCCGCTCCTACCTCGACGGCCGATTCCAGAAGGTGGTGCTGAGGGACTATGGCTCTGCGCCATGGCAGTTATGCCATGGAGTTCCACAGGGGTCCATTCTGTCCCCCTTGCTCTTCAACATCTACAGGAAAGCACTGGGAGAGGTCATCCGAAGGTGTGGGCTGCGGAATCATCAGTACGCTGATGATACCCAGCTCTACCTCTCTTTTTCAACCAATCCAGGTCAGGTAGTGGCTGTACTGAACTGGTGCCTGGCTGAGGTAATGGGCTGGATGAGGACTAATAAACTGAGGCTCAATCCAGAAAAGACAGAGGTCCTGCTGGTAGGTGGTTCGAACTCCTGGGTAGGTGACTTGGATCTTGTCCTGAATGGGGTTGCATTCCCTCTAAATGACAGGGTCTGCAGCTTGGGAGTGCTCCTCGACCCGGAGCTGACTTTGGAAGCTCAAGTGTCAGCGGTGGCAAGGAGCGCTTTCCATCAGCGTCCCTACCTAGAGGACGACTGCCTAGCGACAGTGATGCATGCATTGGTTACTTCCTGGTTGGATTTCTGTAACATGCTCTACGTGGGGCTGCCCTTGAAGACAGTCCAGATACTTCAGATGGTGCAAAATAGAGCAGCCAGGTTGCTGACAAGGACTGGATGTTATTCTCATACAACCCCAGTCCTCTACCAGCTTCACTGGCTTCCCATCGAAGTCCGGGCTCAATTCAAGGTGTTGGTAATTACTTATAAAGCGCTTAACGGCTTGGGACCCGGATACCTGAAGGAACGCCTGCGGCCATATTTGCCCTCCCGCCCCTTGAGATTGGCAGCAGGGGCTCTCCTCCGGGAGCCTTCCGTAAGAGATATCAGGAAGCAAAGTAGCTGGAGGAGGGCTTTCTCTGCGGTGGCGCCCCATCTGTGGAATGCGCTCCCCAGAGAGGTCCGCCTGGCGCTGTCGTTGTTTGTTTTTCGGCGCCAGGCCAAGACCTTTTTATTCAAACAGTATTTTAATAATCTTTAATATTTACAGTTTTAATTATGCAGCCAGTGTGTTTCCAAGTTTTAATTGTAATTGTAATTCTATTTGTTTTATTTGTTGTTGTGAGCCATCCCGAGGCTATGTAGCAATGGGGACGGCATATAAAAACTTTAATAAATAAATAAATAAATAAATAAATAAATAAATAAATAAATAAAGCCAGCCAGCCAGCCAGCCAGCCAGCCAGCCAGCCAGCCAGCCAGCCTCTTCTTTGGAGCCCTCTGCCATTAAAGGCAAGGCCAAGTTATGATCTAATACAACCTTTTTGATAGAATCACTCTGTGTTCAGAATGCCTTCCACAAGCAAGGATCACCCAGCAGCAACTTTGATATCTTTGGGGTACTTTTTATTTACAAAGACTTTCTAAATTCCATTTTAAACTTGCTTGGCCCTGACGTTTAGCTAATTTTTTGTTTTTATTGTTTGCTATTTATTGCGTCTAAGCTTTTTCCTTGCTTGCTTTAGCAGCTCTGCAAACCCTTAATGGTTAAAGAGCAGGAAATTAGTGCAAGAGATCAAGTACTGAACCTTTTTCTCCATGTAAGCCCTCACCTGAGAAAGAAGGTATTGATCAGAGCATCCAATTCAAAAGATGTTGACATAGAGAAGTCTGGGCCAAACCTCTACCCCTTCAAGGTGCTTCCAGCTCACAGCTGAGACAAAAGGTCTGGTTTATTTAATCCATGGGGGCTCTGTTTATCTTTGGCCTTTGTATCAGCAATGTCTCCTGCTTCCTGTTAGCTCTTCTAAAATGTGTGGGAACCTGCCCCTGACCTACTAGACATGAATTCAATCTTCCTGGGCTTCTCTAAGTAGCCATTCTCCCTTTTCCTGGCCTCATCCCCTTTCACCCAACCGCCAGTGACCTGGCAGTTTCCCAGCTTTTGTACAGGTTCTCTCCTCTTTCTTAAAACGCTTCTCCTAGGGCTTAATTATGGGCAGTAAGTTAGAATGTGTTGCTAATTTCACCTCAGCTGCTTTGCCTTCAGCCCCACCCATCACCGGCACGCAACACCCAAGAACATCTCCAAAATGAAATTCTACTCCCAGACTGAAAAGCATCTAACAGATCCTGTTGCACACAAAAGCATCAGTGCTGCCCAATGTTTTGCAGTGGAAAAGCAGAATGTTTGTTTGACATCAAGTGAGCAAGCATGGCAGCGAGCGAGCCATATTCATCCTTGCAGGCATGCCTTGTCAAGGGACTACATGAATGCTTAACTTCGCAAATGTACATTTTGCTATCATTCCTAAGTATGTACATTCAATTTGCACATTTTCATTCTTTAGTAGCTAGTAATACACCACCCTTGCCCAAACTGAATTCCTCCATATGTTTTGGATGTTAATTCCCATCTGGTCCAGATAGAATAGTCAATGATCAGGAATGCCAAAAGTTACAGTCCAAAATATTTGGTGAATCCCAGGTTGAGGAAGACTGCATAATCAGGACACATATGCTGTATCTACAGATGTAGCATGATCACATTTTTTAATCTTTCCCCTAGCTCTAAAACACAGACACTCCCTGAAAGTATGATTCCCACTGGGAAGCCTTTTTCTAGTCTTGCTTGCAAGAGACTGCTTTGTTCTTTTTAGATGGGAAGCTACTTCAAGACTGGTTCACCTACTGCCTCAGCTGAGGACCAGCTTCCTCTCTGAAACATACAACTCCATCCACCTAGGAAGGCCTTGGCAATTATAGGCAGCCATGTAAATAAATAAATAAATCCACAGCTAGGAAATAGTCATTAATCCTTTATGTTATTTTACAATGGAGAGGTACAACTACAAGATATGCAAGGCGTCCTGCTGATTTATACCCTGCCAGAAAAAAACAGGGACAAAGCAAAGGTCAAGAAGTGTTTTGCTGACTACAAGCAAGTTATTTTCGTCTTTCATGCAGTGATTTCCCCTAAACTTCGTTTAGTGTTATCTATTTCTGTCTAAAAGTTATGATGAGAATATGAGATTGCAGGTGGAAAACACTGCCTACATGCTTACAATGGAGCACAGGCAGATGCGGTGGTGAGAGGTAAGAGCCACTTCCAACACACACGCATGCACGCACGTGCATGCACGGAGGGAGGAGGAGACAATTAACCTGTCAGACCTGAAATTCTTTTAAAGACAGGGAAGGAATAAGTTTGTGTGTTCAATTTGGCAATTGTTTACCAGAGATACAAGCAGGAATACAAATAACCAGGGCCAGCGTCAAAGTTGGCAGGGCTGGGCACCTACTGAACACCCAAGACCATTCCAAAAATCAGATTCAGGGCTATAAATAATAGTACAAAGTAAAAATAAACAGTAATGGAGTCTGCTCCGTGCTATACATCAGCTCCTAACATTAATATAGTTCCTGAATGGTGTCTTATTTTACCTCAGAAATAGCAGCTTTCTTTTGTATGTCATGAGCCAGAGATCACACATTCAGAGAATACTTTGTGAAGAGCAATGCTTCTGCTGCAAATATACGAAATGCCAAGTGCCAGATAAAGGTTAAGCCAGAAGTGCCTGCAAGTATTTAGCCTTCCAAAAATAGCTTGGCCTTCACATACCAAATCCATGTTATAGCATTTTTCTCTACATTTCACCATGACCAGGCATGAATGGAATATGCAGCACAGAAAGGAAGATGGAACTCTCCAGGCAGGATGTAAAATTAAATTTCTTCTGGATATTTAGCTAGCTTTAAAGTACCTTCATTGATATATACAGCCAAAGTGTAGTCCAAAAGAACAAAGCAAGCTGATGACAGACAAGGAGACAAGTGATGAGAAGGATACAAAAGACACAACTTGGAAGAAAAGTGACACTTAAGTTATATACAAATAGCATTTTATAGCACCAGGATGGGAACAAACTTTGCAATGCAACAGAGGCAATGCAATGAACAAGAATATTTGCAACCTTGCATAATTTCTCCTATTACATCTGAGTATACAGAAACTGATTTTAAAATGGGTATATTTCATTTTCAAGAAAAGCTTATAACTGTTAATAGTTTGCTACCAGGATTGCTGCAGGAGGATACAAGAAAAAGGTGTGCCTCTCATTTAGAAATGAAGTACACACTACTAAAAGGGGAAATTTCCTTTCGCTATCCTGCCAAGTATCATTTTTTATCCCCCATCTAAGTGGCTTTTTTCTTAGGCTTTTTTCTTCTATTACTGACCCAAATCTCAGAATTAGGGCAAAAACACAAGAATTTCTTACCTGGATCAAACCAAAGGTCCATCTAATCTAGCATTCTGTTTTAGGAGCGGAGAAAGCATATTCTAAACCAACCGTGACCAGTCTGGGTCCCTCCATTCACATCAGCCCAAGCCACCATGATCAATGGTCAGGGATGATAGGAATCACTGGTCAAAACATCTGTTTTCAGGATGGTTTGTCAGAATGTCTGAAACCAGCAGAATGGGTTTTTACAATAGCAAGTAAGCCACCTGCCAAGAATTGCAAAAGACCTTTCTGACTGGTATTTGTGATCTTGCTAATGATATCCTTTCTCTAGTATACCTTTCCTTCCCAAAACAGTGGCACCCTTCCTCCCCACTCAGCCCCACCACTTTTGGGGAGATTTGCATATAGTTAACTTCTATCTTTTTGCCTTTGAGGAGATATGCACATATATAACTCTTCAGCTTACTATACTGTAGCAGATTAGTACAGGAGAGTTAAAATATATAGTTAATTTCCTCAACAGTGAAAAGATATATAAATCCCCCTCTGTACCACTAATATGCACAGCAAAATAGGTTACTGAGGTTGTGAGGCAAAAGTCTATGAAATATGTTCTAGAACTAGATGGGAGAACTAAAGTAGAAACAAGCCATGGCAAACCTTAAAAACTGATTAACTGTTGGAAGTAATATGGGTGAATGAGTAAACAACCAGCCCCCCATAGCCTTTTTTCAGAGCAATTCATTATGACATGCATAATAGCCTTCTCTCCTTTCTGTATCAGTGCTTCCAGAGAGAAGGCTTCTGGCACTAACTATCAACAAGCATTATGCTGTTATTCCGTCTTTTCTTCTTTAATAGCTTTTCCTGGTAAGCAAAAAGACTGGAAGAACAAATAGGAAAACATGAGAGGCCTACAAATGTCACCTGGGCCCTTTCTAAAATCCCAATAATAGGGAAGTATGATTGTACAATAAAAGCTTTGTCTGGAAACACAAGACACCCCACACCACTCAATCACAAGGCTGCCCAGATGTAAGACGATGAAAAACTTGATTGGCAGTCCTGAGGATGATCTGAGTGTCCTACCTTATCATAATCTGGCTATGGCTGTTGGGTCTGCTGCTAAGGCAATAAATATGCAATTGTAGCAAAATACGCATATATGAATTAACCAAATATTTCAGAGGTTTTATACAGCAAAAAGGGTTCTAGGCTTAGTCTGAACCCAGTGTAACACAGCTGAGCATTTGAAGACAAATACTCTAGGAGAAGAGCATCATGAACATACTAAGTTATCATACATCCTGCCACCTGGATTTGCATCACTCCCCTACTGTATAAAAGCATCCCAATGCCATGCAAAGTATTTGTACGATTCAAGAACAATTAATGGAAGTGAAAGAATCTCATTCTGCACCCACATTACAAATGGGCTCTTTCAGAGCTTGAAAAGAAAGATCCGAAACTAATTTGTCTATCACTTGGTTTCATCTGTTAACCTAACCCTGACCCCTATGGAATCCCATTGGGCTCAAACAGAACAGAATTCCCAGCACTGTACATCCCCTACCTGGGAGTAAGTCTTGAGCTGAATAGGCTTTACTTCTGAGTATAGTCATGAGATTAGTCTGCATGCTTCCTTTTTAAATAAAGCAGTTCTACTTTCACAAATACAGTTGCTTCTTTTTAAATAGCAAACACACAAGTTATAGTTTACACTTTGCAGGAACAACAGCAGAGTCAGAAATGCAGAACAGCTGCAGCGTTACTGCAATACTTGCCAGTTTAGATGTAGAACAAGAGTAACATTTCACTTAAAACAGCATTGTATCATAACAAAAGAACATTATTTATCCTAGTATAGGGCCAGAATAAGCACAGAGAAAGCTGCACTGTATTTAATTCTACCATCTATGTATAAGGAAAAAACAAACACCACAGAGAGATGACAATATGTTATTGTTACAAAGGGTTATCTGTCTCTTAGGGGAATCATTTGAACAATGCTACCCTCCTCTCTTCCCAATGGTTGGGAAAAAAGCAGATTGTGGCATGAAACCAAAGTGAACACTAAACAGATAACAAATGCAATTGGCATTTATTCAACATTGTGATGCATCTGCAAACAGAATTCTGAAATTACCCCAGCTTTGATGTCATGCCAAACTGGATGAGAATCAGACCTTACAAGCCACAGACCATAATGTTAAGAAAGCAGAACTTGTCCATAGGAATAAAACAATACCCTGAACTCAGCTGACCACATCCAAGAGAATAAGGGAGCACATGCATGCAAGCCTCATCCCCCATTGTTTGCATGTTTGTCACTGGGCCTGAAACACTACAGAAAACTCCTGAAGCTTCCACAAAGCCACGTGTGAAAGTGGCAAGCCTACAACCTCCCTAGGAAATTGGCTCCACTGTCGTATTGCTCTAACAATCAGGATTTTTTTCTTAATATCTAGTTGGAATCAGGCTTTCTGTAACTTGAGTCCATTATTCCATGCCCTGCACTCTGATAGAGACAAAGACTCTAAAGTGCTAGCATAGCTCCCCTCAGCTTCTCTTCTCAAGGCTAAACATGTCCAGTTTTTTCAATTTCTCCTCACAGGCCTTGGTTCACCATCCCTGGTCTGTCCTTGTTGCCCCCTCTGAACTCTTTCCCACTTGTCTGCATCCTTCTTAAACAGTGGTACCCAGAACTGGACACACTCCAGATGATGCCTGACCAGTGCTGAGTAAAGGAAAACTAGTACTTCACTTGATTTGGAATCAGTATTTCTATTAAGGCAGCCTAAAATAGCATTATTTGTTAACTAGCTATATAGAATTAGAGTATATTTAACTTTTTAAAAATTAAAAAATTATTTACTGTGACATCAGCATCAAGAGTTTCATGGCTTGAACCGCTACTTCATGGTCAATGTCCAGAGTCATAGACACAATTCGTTCCTAATACACACAGAACAACAGTGACAGAGATTTCACACTTTTTGTTCAGATAGTCTTTGAAGCAGGAATTGGTGATTCTGACCGCAGGCTTTGGAGATAGTACTGACTGGTCTTTAAATGTTACTAAGTTTCAGTAACACTTCCAAGATGTACACAGATAAACACACAAAGAACTCTTTAAAAAAAAACAAGCATTGTATTAGTGACACAGAACTCTTAACACAAAACTATAACTTTTTTGTTTAAGTTTGGATGATGATGACTGGGGTTTACAGAAGATGGTTTGTAGCACCCCCTGCAGGCTTTAATGTCAAAATTCTTCCTTTTCAAGATATCAGTGAGTTCTCAAACCAGTGATTCTCAGATGTTCAAAAGGACAACAAAGTTGTATTAACTATAAGAAAAAATAAACCACTTAATACTCTTTAAAGAATGAGTTTTATTTTCCAATTCCAAAATGATTTCAAAATTGTACAAACTAATCCTGAGAACTCCAGATATTACTTTCTTTTCCAGTTCCTTTTTTTAAAGTGAACTAGATCAGAACAAACAAATCTACGATGACACACAGAATTATTAGCAAAGTTATTGTGGAAAGAATGAATGAATCTATTTTCTAGTCATCTCCCTAGAGAACCCTGGGAGCTGTACTCCCATGGAAATTCATTCAGATTTCTAAGATGGAACTGCTAACATCACCAATCCAATTTGTAGTTCCGTGAGCAGTTATACAAAATGAAACCACACGGGCTTTGGGGTCAGGATATGTGTGCGCGCCTAGATCAATTAAAAGGCAATATCATGTTTGACACTACGAATAAGATAAGTTACAGTGTACTAGAGCAGCACCAGAGTTTGCTGATGCGATGGGGTTTCCCAGAAAACCTGTAATACCAGCAAATGCTGCTTTACTTACAACAGCACATTATTTATGTTAGTGAGAGTGCTGAATAGAAAACTACCCGAAGTATCATAAATCTGCTACGTGCCTGCAGCATGGATCAGCCATAAAACATGTCCAATGTAAATAAAATAACCTATCAAAAGTCAAACATTCGCTATACAGGCAGAGCCAACATAATATTATCTAGCGGACAGATCTTGGGACGATTTCTCATGCATGAGGAAAAAGCAACTGGACCCCAATTTCCTTCTAAAAATAATCAGTCTACCATGTCTATAACAAATGTTCAAATTGAAAAAAAATCATGTTAGCTTACCTTGAACCTGCAAGTGAAAAGCTCCATTTTGCATGCATGCTCTTTTTGGCCATATATTCCTTGTAGTCCCTGAAGGCATTTCAGTCGGACATCTGGATGCTACAAGATAGAAAGGAACAAAGAAAGTATAATATCCACAGTTGAGGATATAGGATTACTGACAACATTAAGATGGCAAAGAATATTCTTCATACTAATAGCAAACTCATTACCTTAACTCACAAAGATTCTGCTTATGAAAAACATATTGCATTTTTCTATTGTTTAGAAGAGATAAAAACTCACTTTGTCATACAGCATCCATCCAATATATTTCAAGTAACTATCATGTAAGAATATATCAGGGTCAATTTTCATCCAGCTGCCAATTTCTTCAATGCAAATAGCCCGGATTTCTGGAACAACATCACTCCAAAATAACAAAAATAAACAGCGTTTGTGATGTACTGCAAGCCGGTTTACAAACACATGCACACACCTAACTTGTCATCACTTGATTATCAACAGGCAAACACTGGCAACTGACTGTGTAAACAGACTATTGAGAATCCCTGTGAGTTTACGCACATTTGAACATCCCATTCACCATGACCAGTTGCATATATTAAGACCAGCATCACCTGAAGTTCCAGAGTTTAATAATCAATGTGTCCTTGTGAATGAAACCCAAGGATAGAGAGCACAGAACTTCAGTTCAGAGGCCCAGTTGACTGTGTTCCTTTCCTCTGCCCTCACCCCCTTTCCCAAACACTGACTGGATATTTTCCTGCTTTTCCACATTTTCCCCCATTCTAAAAGGGCTAAATGCCTCTCTCAAGGTTTACATACAGGCAATAATAGCTTTAATAGAAAATATGCTGATAGTTTTGGATTTTGGCCTTGGCCCTTCTGCCTTTGGCCCAGACACATCTTGCCTTGCACTGGAATGCAGTCTTAAGGTCTTTTATGAACCTAAATTTAGGCCTTGGACTGAAAGTAGTTCACCACCTTTACCTTAAATGAATTATGCCTCTCTTCCCATTTACACTGGAAGGTGTCCAAACTCTTATTAGAAGCTTCTCCCAAGCACATAAAGATTCTTACCGATAGCGATGCAAAAAGGTCCCTTTGAAAATAGCATCCATCATATTCTCTGTATCCGGAGGTTTTGGTTCAAACTGAAATGACAAATATTGAGCTTTCTTTTCCCATTGGTAAGAATTTATTCCAGTGCTAAAGCTAAGTTTACTGACATTTTATTGAATAAATATCAAATCATGCTTTAGATCAGAGGATAACCAAATGTTGGACAGGATAAAGATCCCATATTGGCTAGTGATTTTTTTTCCCCTTTTCCTCAATAGCTTGACAAAATATGCTATATTTTCTTGCTGCTGCACCAACTAATCAACATTCTGAATGGTGGATGATTGTTCCCATTAGCTCCATCAAAAATCAGCCATGCATTTCCAACTACTGCCACCATCTTGGTCTATTATTGCCACAAATTTAGTGAACACACACAACTAGCAAAGAACAGATTCCTGGATAGCCTGATGTTGAAGATTTCCACAAGCCCCATTCCAATATTCAAGGAAGTTTTCATGTTCCACTGCTGCAGTATAACTCAACAAGCAACACAATTGTTGAACATGTGAGGGAGTTTAAACTGCATAAAGGGATGCGGCCACATACACTGTTCCCCCCTCACATCCCACTCTCCCCATCTTCAGCATGGAGGTCTGAGGGGTGTCCTTCTTGCATAATAAAGCAAGGATCCCGAATGCAAGCAGAGCTAAAACAAAGTAGAACAGCCCTTCAGGTCCTCTTGCTTAACACAGAAAGTTCAGGGACTGAGACACTGGGGTTACAAGAGAACACAGCAAGCAGAACCAGTTTGAGCAGTCCAGTTCATCTGCGAAGTTTAAGCCCTCACTCATTTGGGCAAATGCATACACAAGGCGCTCAGTTTTACAGAATTCATTAGTAACTTCTTAAGAGTGGAGGACAAGAAACGCTTTGTTTGTGAGTCCACTCCTTGAATCTACTTGTAGCTGGGAGTGGTTTCTGATAATCACACTGATCATGTGACACCTCTGAAGTACAGCCCAACGTCAGGGACTATTTCCTGTTCCCTTCTCCAATACTCTGTCGTGCTTAGTGTAGGACAGGGGCCCAGAAAATCTGGAATTAAACCCTAACCTAGGCACGTTCACTGGGTGACCTTGGGCCAGTCACTCAGCCTCGTCCTGCACAGCATTGTTGCAAGAATAAAAAGGTGGGAGGAACCATTTATGATGCCTTGAACCCCTTAGCTGAATGATGGAATTTTAGAAAGAAGTCAAAAGTAGTAAACAAGGACAGCTCACCTGTGTTGCCCCGCAACTCTGTTACAAGCTTGGTAAATTTAATACCACCACCTCAAAACTTCTATATCCAGCAGCTACAGAACAGGCAAATGTCAAGAACCACCATTTCTTTCCAGTAAAAATCTGGAAAACCTCTCTCCTTTTCCTCTCTAGCTGGTCCAGTCTAGAATTGGTCCCCATGGTCTTGCTCTTTTCCACCTTATATAATCATTCCAGGTTATGCTTACTTACATCTAGATTTAGATTGGCGTTTAAAAGTGCTGTCAGAAGCTTCATAGCTGGAAATAAACAAAAAACAGAATCTCAAAGTCAAGTCTGCATCTCATTGTTCAGGATTTGAAGTCACTGCTGTGTGTGTCTGTGTTAAAACAGAAATCGGCCTAGAAATCAGCTATGATTTCCCTGAGTTGTCTGATCATAGCCAGAACTGTGTATCTTGATCATAACCAAAACCGTACCTATCACACCATACTCATTTTCTTCAGGAAAAGCTTCTGATGTAATTTATTTTAGTGCCACAGAATACAGACAGTCTTGAATAAGATACTGTAAACTATAGAGTTAAAAACCTTCAATTCTTTGATTCAAGAATTTCCTGAGGAACCACTCACATAAAATTCTCTGAAAACATGTTATTAAGCTAGATATTTTTCTGTATGGCTGATATTACAGGTTATTAAAGTGTTGCATTGTAGTGTGTTTTATGAAGCAGAATGTTGTTCCTTTTTTTAACATAAGATCTACCATGAATTTATTTTGCAGTGCCTTATATAAGTAGCATTTAATTCACAGGATAAAACTATTGGTTATATTTAATATTGGCTCATGTATCTATTTTTTCAACCATTCCAAAGGAAGATTTTGAAATGTATGAACTGCTTTACTGCCTTCAATCTTCCTAGGGCAGAATTCACATTTTAAGACCGAGATTCACCTCCTGCTTTATTTCACATTTTTGGGTGCTTCACTCCCTGCTGCTATACAATTTGACTTTAAGCAAAGAAGGAAATGTTTTAAAGAAAGGGTCCCCGATTTCCACATTATTACAGCCAGAAACCAGTAGTAAAAAAGATTGTCTTTAGGGAGGAGGTGGAAAATGTCTCCTACCTCACGTAAGACTCCCTTACAATAATCTCTTTCCTAGAGGAATGATTTCATACCCCATCAACCTGAATCTGACCCACAAGACACATCAACAGAGAAGCAAACTGAGCCATTTCAATGTGAACCCTCTGGTGGCGAAGCCACTGCGTAACCCATCTGCCACAAGGGATGACTGGGCATGCCATCCTTAGGAAACATCTCCCTTAGACAGCCTAGAGAGTTAGAGGATCTGGAAGAATCCAACTGGTCATATCCTCCAGAGTGGACTCCTTGCAACCAATCCAAAGACTTCAGGACCAGCACTAGTGATGTATCAGAGACAAAGCTCTGAAGAAAAGGCATAGCCTATATGTGGCAGAACAAGATCTTCCATCTTTGACCCTCTGCTCCAAAGGGTTTGAAATGAAGCAACTCCTGAATATGGGACCACTGAAGCAGCAACGGGGCAACCACAAAATCAATCACTTGTTTGTTAGTGAAAATATTTCACTTTGAGTATAGCACTTCTTTGGACTTGTTAAGTTTATAGAGTCCACCAAATTATTCATTTACTTACTTATTCATACATGACAAAGTTATAAAGATGGTGCATAACAATGTAAAAAAGACATTAAAACAGTAGAAATATTAAAACCTTAAAAACAACATAGTCTTAAAAGACTAAATTGAATATGTGTATCTTCTAGAAGCCAAGACAGTTGGGACATATAGTTCTTGAGGGAACATATTTCATACTTCGTAGATAACACAAGTGAAAGACCTTCTATATGTGCCCAACAAACAGGTCATGCAGCCCTGAAAATTAAGCGTGTGCTGATCTTAATACCTGGGCAAGTTCATGGAGAGACAAATAGCCCCCTCAGTGGCTAGATCCTAAACTGTTTAGAGCTTTATAGGTTAAGACCAATACTATGAATAAGACTTAACACTATAGGTTAAGACCAACAAGAAGTAACTGGCAACTGATACAGGCTTTCAAGGAATGTCTAATATAGTTTGATACAATGCATCAATTGGCAACCTAACTACCAGGATGGAAAGCTCTCCTGTTGTCTTTATCACTTTGTAATGAAACCTGCTTCTTATCTTATTGAACAGCTTTCCTGCCTTGCCTATGGGGGGGGTGGGGGGGGGTTGGTGAGCCACACAGCTTCTACACTGGTGCAGATGGGATGAGACCACTGAGAGGTAACAGATAGCACTTCCCATTCTATCCATTTGCAATAACTTATTTGGAAAAAATACATTGTTTGCTAAAAAGGTGCTACCATGAGCTCAATGGCAACCCCCAAAAAATCCATGCATACATTTTTTTAAAAGGTACCCTTAAACACTACAAACCTTTGCAATTCAGAACTCAGCTTTCCTAAGCTAAGATGACCACATTTGCCACATCACACCCATGCCTTTAATACTTGCACAGATGAGGAGATATTCAAGAACAGCAGTTTTACAAGCCACTGCTTTGATAAAAGACACCAGCTGAAGTTTGGCAGACTGACTTGTAAGCTACTTTTATGCCATCTCCTCCCTATCACAGTCCCTATATTTTAACCAGTTTCATCAGTATAAGCTACCAAACTTGCTACCCCTCTAGTAATTATAACTGGGCCTACTGAATGTACCTGCCAGTGTGCTTGTGTGCCGGAATGCTCTGATCACGGAATCTGCCAAGCCCGTAAGGAGAGAGATGATTGTGTCCATCAAATAGCCATCATAGAGAATGCTGCACTGCCGCTGCTGGACGAGTACGGCAATGAACTCACAAAAATTAGCCTTGAACTTCTTCCAGAACCCTGGTTTGATTAAAGGATAATCTTCACTATCCTGCATGAGGTAAGGAAGGAAAATAGTCATGGTCAAAGTTTACGACAGAAGGAGGCTGGTGGAGTGGAAAATGGTTATTTCTGTGACATCAAAGACTTCTTCTACAGAAGAAAAGGGACAAAGGCACCCAGAACAGAGCAATGATATGCACGGAGAAACCACAGTTCCTCTAACCCAGGCTCCTGCATCTTGGTTACCTTAACATTTGATAGACTGCAACCCACACCATTTCAGCTGCACATCTGGAGGGCAACAGGCTGAAAAAGGCTGGGTTAATGACTAATGGCTTACAAGCTGTGTTCAGATTGATTTGGACTCCTGTGCCACTATGTGGAAAAAGCTGTGTGTAGGCTAAGGGTAGCAAACATTGGGCTGGATCTAGACACAGACATGAGCAACTGGGTTGGTCAAAGTGGACTTCTTCCTATCCCTTCATTTCTATAGCAGATTCCTGAAAACACTGTACAGAAAGTGCAGGGTATCTGCTGAATAGGTTGAGTTGTGGAGAAAGGAGGAATCCCTGAAAATCAGGTGGAGAAAATCAGGTTTCATGAGCAGAACCCTTTGGTCAATGAAAAATGGATCCTGCATCCAACCCACTGACTTTTAAGTTTGCCCCTCTAGGCAAACCTTCTCCAAAACTTTCTGTGGCATATATAAAGTCAAGGTGCACACTGGATTGGCCTACATAAGTCTTTGTGTGCATGGCACTGGTGGATCAAAGTCAGCATAAGCAGCCAGTACAACATTAGCCACAGCCCTGACAATCAGCCCTGGGAAAGGTCACACTGATTTCAACACTGGGACACTACTTCACACCTTTCCCGTCCATGAGATCTGAGGATGGCAGCATGTACCAATTGCATAGTATCAAAGGAGTAATTTTATTGCCAGCATTGCAACCGTATTTTTTTTAAAAAGGCAAGTAATGGAGACATGATACAGGTGTTCAAAATAATCATGATGTGGAGAAAGGAAGACATTTTTCTTCCTCTCCCATAACTCTTGAACCCAGGATCATCCCATGAAGCTGACTGGTGGCAGGTTTAGGACTGATAAATGGAAGTACTTCAGCACACAGCATAAAGTTAAGCTATGGAATTCACTGCCATGGGAAGTGGTGATGGTCCCCAGTTTGGATGGTTTTAAAAGGGATTGGACAGATTCATGGAAGAGGAGGCTACCAGTGGCTACTAGCCTTGCTGACCATGTGCAGCTTCCTTTAACAGAGGTGGCCTGCCTGCATACACCAGCTGCTGAAGCACTCAGGCAGGAGGAGGTCTTGTACTCATCCTGCTGGAGGGATCCTGTGGGCAGCTAGTTTGCCCCCATGTGTATGGAGTGCTGGATTGGATGGACCTTTCAAGATCTTGAAAACACTTTTGTGTCATGTAAAGATGCTCAAACGAACTGTGGTGACCCTACTGAAGCCAAGATCAAGTTCCTTGATGAGTTAACAGCTGGGAACCATTAGGCATACCATCATGCGTTCCATGAAAGGAAGGCAGAATATAGACAAAATAAATAAATTACCAAGTTTACTGGCCAAGTAACAGTCAGAATCCAGGGATAAGCCACGAACTTTTTATACTGCAATCCAGATTCCTACAATATATAAAAGTGGAACAGAACTGAGGAACAGTAATGCCATTTTCTAATAACAGATGGGTACATACACACATGCATTAATCTGAAAGCTCCTGCATTAGTGAAGGCTTTCACATAATCTTCCAGATTTGGGCAACTTCCCACATGCACCCTCAACTCACATGCAGGACTGCTCCCAGTAAAAACTCATTAGCTGCTTCTGGTGGAGACTAACACTGTTGGAATTGGTTTGTTAACTTGACAGCTTTACTTCTTAAGGGCACAACAAAGGGGAGTGTCATGGGAAGTGTCTACACTATCAACCATACCATTACACCACTGTACATACGACTTAGAGTAAATTCTATAAAGAGAAACATTTTTAATTACTTTATATAAAAGAGCAATTTTCTGTTCAAGTACTCAGAAGCAGCAGCCCAAAAATGAAGGGTATATTTTAAAAGACTTTTAAATACTTTCTGAGAAGCTTATCATGAGTCATATGTTTACAAACAGAGTTCCCTTAAAGGAAGGGATACCTACGCTATCAAATGCTTCTGTCATTTTCTCCATCACCTCAGAGTTCTGGAAATTATGGAACATCTCTGCTGTAACCATTCCTGTGGAAATAACAATGGATGTGAAAATTAACCTAACATGATATGCTAACATACATTTCAATATTTCTGTGTGAATGATTCTTACACCTAATGCAAATTTTGTCTTAAGTTTTTACATGCAAGCACCACAAATCAATATAGTTTGTAAACATGTCTATTTGCATTTGGGTCTATTCGTGTCTACTTATGTTTCCCCTCCATCTTCCAGCTTTCCCCTCTCTTATATTCAGAATATCGGTTTCACCCTCCTATAAGGACTTTCACACCCTATTATTAGATCACAGGTTCTAAGTATGAGATCCGTTAAAGGGATAATTCTATGCATGTTTACACAAAAATGCCTGCAATTTCTAGATATGCTGGGTGAGGAATGGTGGTAGTTGTATGGCATTTTTCCTATCAAAATATGTATAAGAGCACATCCTGAATGAATTATTTCCACTCAGAACATTTTTTGCCCATTCTCGGTCCTAATGAAGAAGGAGTAGGTTTACCTTGACAGCCTGAACACTGGATGAAGAAGTTGATGAGGTCAAGAAGCGCAACATCTCGATCTGTTTTATAGGCTTCAACCCAGTCATCTACCACAGACTGAATCAGAAACATGAGATTTTAACCACCATAAACTGTTTTTATCAACCTCTTCAAACTTCACGTATAAACATCCAATCAACTCCACAGACATAGATGTACCTGAATAGCACTTTTGCCCAGGCTGATCACTTCAAATAAGGTAACAAATTCAACCTCTTCTCCATTTTGCAGCTGACTTGACTGTCTACTACTAGAAGAGTTTCTTCTTCGGTTTTCATGTTGTTCTTGGATTTCTCTTTTTTCTTCCTAAAGCAATAAAAATAAAATCTGATCCTAAATATTTGTGCAGCAGGTACAGCTGCCATCCAACCTATATTCACACACAGGAAACAAAATGGAATTACTTTTGACCGGAAATGAACGATTTGTTTGTGCTGAAATGATAAATGGGAAGCTTCAGTCCAAGAGTCACATTTCCTTGTGCCTTTCTCTAGGGCAACATGTTGCCACTGCAAAAGTTAGACGGGGCCATCCCACCAAGGGAGTCAGTTCATATAATCACCAGAGCTCACCATAGTTTAAAAAACCAATACCATGTGTACCAGCTATTACAGTGAATACTCAAGTCCTGGTAAGTGGGACCAAGGCTTATCATGATGCGTGAACCTGGGCAGGCTGGCTTACTAACACTGTTGACAAGCCATACTGCTTGTATTTCAACATCACAGCAAACTGCATTGCTGGGTGCAATTATGCATAGCTTCCCAGCATGTGACCAGTACAAGCAGACTAGTTAACAAACCATCATGGCTTGTGAACTGTCTGCTGATCATGCAAATTTATTTCAATCATGTGCACATGCATGCACACACAAAGATATGCACAAAACATACTTTTTTCACAGTCTAACTGCTGCTCAGGGGCAGGCAGGAAAATGAGCAGAGTGTAGAGGAGGCTCGATGAAGCACATTTGACTTTCCAGTCACCAATATCACATCCCTAGCTTAAACGCTTGAAGTAAACTGGTGCATATGTTATACATCACTGACAGAGGAGCAGGCTCACTGTACATTATTGACAACCTCCATTCTCCTTCATCTTCTTGCAGGAATCCTAGGGTACCCCACAGCAAGAATGAGCCCTTTCCCCTATCTCCACCACAAGCCATTTTGGGTTCACTGCAGTTTTCCCCCATTTTGGGGTGGGTGGCAGAGGATCATGAAAGCTGGTTGTCTTTTGGTATCTCTTGATAGATCACTGAATCCTTCGCTGAGAAGGGGGTGTTTAGGAGGGTTTATTTTTTCTTTTAACTGCTTTTTGGGTGCACATTTTATCCCAGTCTTGGGGAAGTACAAGTGTGCACCCCCTTGTTTCCAAGGGAGAAGGGATTTTGACAGTTGTCAAAACTCTGGGTCCCTTTAAGAAGGAAGTCTTGAGTAGGAAATGGGTGGCTTTTGACTGGAACATGCATCTATTTATATGTCCATCTTGTGCACCAGGATGGCATGTTAGGTGAGCCCAATCAATGAAGCAAACATCAGTAATGAAGCAAATATTTTGACGTGTGTGTGAACTTGCTTTATATGCACTTCATGTTATTTTTATGATTTTATGATTGGTATTTCATATAAGTAAACAAAATAATTCTTTAAAATTATTGTGGTGCACTCAATAACAACTTCATTTTTGTTGACATCAACAAAATACATATATTAACCATGACAAACTGACAGTATCCTCCAAAGATATCTAAATTACATAGTAAGGAGACTGTGAAACACCATTCTTTTTTCTCTTGTCTATCTTATGGAACATAACAGAAACTTACAGAAGTTCTAATGCTGCCATTTCTCAAGCAGTTGCCATCCTCTGCAGTGGCTTCAGGAAAAGTCTCATCATGGATTCCATGTTCTCTGGATCATTAAAAAAGAAGAGGGAATTAATAACAGGAAAGGAACAGCATAACAGGGGATGTGTACTTAAAATAACATAGACAGATATTCAAAACCTTTTTGAGGATCAATTTGCCAGTTAAAATGGCAGAACCCCCAAAAGAAATTTTAGTGATTGAAGCATTCTTTATTTTACAAAGAAAAATAAATCCACATTCATTCCCTTACTTAGATCAAAACTATTACTTTGGACAACATGAGAACAAATGAGCTTACTAAAAGTTGTACAAAACATCATGAACAGGAAAAGTAACTGCAGGAAGCTGAAATCACAAACAGAGAGGTAGCTAAAACCTCCTTCCTCTCCTGCTGTTAGTCTACCAAATATTCCTGCTAGCTGTTTATTCCCTTAAAGTAAAAAAATGTGATAATTGGATGTCTTTCCCATTTGGGGAAAAGCAGCTTTAAAAAAATCTAACAGATAAAACAATAGAAAGAAATTGCCCCTCTCCTTCCACTACTCTTCCACTCACAAATTTTATTTAAATAAAGAGTACATAAAATTAACATGAAACTGTTTTACAACCATGAAGACCTGGGAAAGGTGAACACAGAAAAAAAAAGGATGAAAAAACTTGCAAGGATCTTTAGAAAAATTGGTGGAAAAGCCTGTTCCTTATTTTCATCATTCCCCCCACCCGATTCCCTCCTTTTTTCCTGCAACACATCTCTAAACTGTTGTACTTTCTGAGTAACATCAAGTTTGGCCCATACTCTGAAGTCATGTCAATTAAGCCACTTCCACTCTTCCTAAATTTCTTTTAGAACTCTACTTACGAAAGCACAAATATTGTCATGGGAGGTTTAGTGCATTTATCTTTTACAGAGTTCCACCAACCCCTTTTAAAAGTAATATGAACACTAGCTTACTTGCTCAGGCTTGTATTTCTAGTTAAAAAAACAAAGCAGTAAATTTGAATGCCTGTTCCACCCAAAGGATACTAAACATACTCTGACAATTCAAGCAATTTTTACTTCTTCCTAAATAACACTTAGCAATTTACTTATGTCTTGGAGTAAAAATGTTTACACAACCATTCAGGTTTCAGCCAATAAAGAAACTAGGAGAGATCACATACTCAGTTCCATGTGAAGCATGTTATATTGAAAGAGACTTGAAGAAGAAGTTGCCAAACAGAGCGAGCAACCCTAGCCGAATGAACCATTGTTGTGACATTGTCTGATGTCTAAATATGACAAAAGAGTGTGGCAAGATGGTTAGAGCATTAGACTGGGCACCCAGGAGATCTGGGCGCTAGTTTCCACTGAGCCATGAAGCTCACCGGGTTAGAGTAGAGGGTTAGAGTAAGGGTTATGCAAGTTGTCTTGGATAAACCGCAACAGGAAAAAGGTAGGATATAAATGTAATGTAATAATGATAGACATGTAAAATCAAGATATTCTATGCAATATATTCCAATGATGTCAGCATTAGCATTTTCAATAAATGAAGGAATTCTCAGGTTTGAAACAGGGAGCACCTGGATGTTCAAAGCACCAATTGGATAGTCATCCACTCCCACCACTGCACATGGAGGAATTTTATAATTATTTTTAAATTGTTGGTGTTATTTTTGAAAACACAGTGAAAAAATAGCTCTATATACATGGACATAGGCTACCTCATTTCTGTTTCAAGGCAAGCAGCCCACCTGAATCATGAGCAAGAGTGCCAATATTTGAACCAGCATTACTTGTTAATACGAACACATGTAAAGGCCAAACTCAGAGTCCAAGTAAATCCCTGGTCTCCTTAGGCAAATGCCTGGGCCCCAGGTTCCTATATTAGCTACATGAACCCCATGTAATGATTTTTCTCAGTGCAGTGCTTTGAAGCAGTGTTGGATTCGGCTGCTATTTTAAGTTCTCACAAAGCCCTAGAATGACACTACATCAGGATCATTGTGAGAAAAGAAAATGGCAGGTACATCCAGCTCCCCAGTGTTGTTTAAGGCACTGCTATGGCCAAATAAGCCCACTGGAGCCCATTGACAGTATAGAAGGCTCACCGGAGATCATTTCATTTTGCTGAGGACTTCTAAAAGCTGAACTTCAGCTAAACAACTCATTACACTGTTTCCATGTGTCCTGTTAACATAATGGCCTATTTCTTTGCTCCAAGCATCCCCAGGAGAAGGCAATTTCCCGAGGAGAAGCACTGAAATGTAAGAAAGGCTTAATCTATCCTTTTTCACCTTTTCCCTGCATGTTACCAGCAGCATGACCACCAAGGTTCCAGGCCCATGTTTACCTTATTTCAGATCCAGGAGGGCTTTAGAACTTACACACAAACACACATCCACACCAACTGGCTACTTGTGCTAATATTGCACAGGATTGTAATACAGGCCTATAATGTAAACCAAGTTGCAAAACTAGGATCACATAGCAGTGAAGAACCTGCTGTGACCATTTTCATAATGCTACATCTAACTTTACCTTACCGTAGCTACCTTATAGTTGTCAGACTACAACTCCCATAATCCCAGATGAGTAGGACTGCAGGAGCTGTAGATAATCCCATGGGATAATCCCAGACTAGCTGGGAACTGTAATCTAAAACAACCGGATAGCACAGATTGGATAACCCCTGGGCTACTGTACATGCCTCCACAGCAACATCTTTTTTTTTCTTTTGCCACCTACTACTCCTTTTAAAATTGGCAACGTAATTCACAAGTGAAAGCAGAACCATACACACACACAACACACCCCTCCAAACCACAAGCCCCAACCCACCCCAAAAAACACAGGAAATGCATACTATAAGCTTTTCAGTAAAATACCAAGGTAAATATTGTATACCACTGTTAAAGTCTTACTTGCGGTTGGGCAGATGGGCAACGGAATTGGGCTCTGCTATCATTTCCACTACATCCTCTCAGCAGCACAGAAAGCAAGTTACCCTGATCAGACCACTTCAGCATGAAAAAGAATATAAGCAGCAGAAATTCGAATTCGCTTCCTTTAGGTCTTGTCAGAGAAGCAACAGCACAACTGTACAAAATTAAAGAAGCAGACAGTACATACCATAACATTATAGACATTTAAAAATATGGTGCATGAAGACCAAAATGCAAAAAAAATATAATTTGCAGTGAATCAAATGCATGCTACATATGATCATACAAGACAAAAAACAGAGTTGACAAAACTCTTTATGATGACAGCCAAAATTGCAGCATTCATTCTGCAAGCTTTTGTTACACAAAAAATTCTTCCATGGAAGATATTTCAATTCTATTTACCATAACTTTATTCCCACCTTCCTCTGATAAGCTTAGGTAAACTGTTATCCTATCTTATCCTCATAAGAGGATTGTGCCCTTAAATAAGTGTGAGCTATCCTATGTCCTATGACCACCAGGAGTCTAGCCAGCCACACAAGAAATCAGAGACCCACTTGAGAAACATACTCCAATAGCGGGCTATGGAGCACCTTCCTTCTGCCCTTACAACCAGCATGGAAAGAATTGTGTAAGCTGTGGCTTGTGGGGTCTGTGGTGTTTCTGGAAGGTGGGAAGGACAGGAGTGAAACTCTACAATGAGAAAATGCATCCTAGCAATTCCTCTGCCTCTCCTCCTATTATACCAGGGCAAAAGACTTAGATGGCTGAAATCAGCTTTCCTGCAGGGCAGGAGGAGCACAGAGGTTATTACTATATTTATATTTTGCCTATCCACAGTGATTGGGACTCAAACCCTTTTTCTCCCCCACACTCCTTCCACCTTCCATTGGCTGCTCATAATTATCCTAGTTCATAAAATGACAAGCAGTCATACTGGATTGTGCTGCCCAAGATTATGGTTGCTGAGCATGCCTGATAAACTTCATAACTGAGCAAAAAAGATAAGCATTCAAATCTCCCAAATCCAAGCCAAGCACTATATTCACTACACTGCACAGATTCTCAATGTCCATTCAGTTTGCTTTGGTGGTGGTTAAAAAAGCAAATTTTATGCTAAGGATTATTAGGAAAGGGACTAAAAATAAAGCATCTAATATCATAATACCACAGTATAGATCCCTAGCACAGTTGTATTTTGAAATAAAGTAACAATGTGGGCAAGGCACAGAAACAATCTATCAAATGAGGAAAAGGTTGGAGCATCTTCCCTATGAATACAGGTGAAAAGGCTTGGAGCATTTAGTTAGGAAAAAAGGCACACAAGCCAGGAAACCACCTATTAGTTGTGGAGGGAAAGGAGAAGGAACCAGTGGAAGGAAGTAGTCTAGGAACCAACAGGCCAAATTGAGAATCCCTGGAGGCCAGAACGGATCCTCAGGCCTGAGCTTCTACACTCTGGCAATAGATCTTTATAAAATTATTTATGGCCTTGTGGTATATATGGAAGTGCAGGTGCTCATCATGGCAGCCCCTTAATCACAATCCCAAAGTGAGTCTAAAATTTCAGACAACTGTGTTGATCCATGTCCAGAAACCACTTCTAGCCTTGTTCATGTCTACCAGTAGGTTTCTTATGAAGCTAATGGGTCTTAACTGCCTATTCAAAGTCAAGCCGCCCCAAAATAAAACAGGGAACAATATAGTGTTGCTGAGAAAACTCATTTTGCATCCTGGCAGCAACAGAGAACAGGAAATTCTTTGCACAGTTCAAGAGACAGGATAGCAGATGTCAGCCAAGTCCCTGCTAACCAAAAAATGCATCCCTGAAAGCCCTGACCCCATAGGATGACGTGGATAAAGAGAGTATTTTCTTTCTCATGTATAATGAAAACTTGAATATTAATTTGATTAGCACTATATTCAGAACAAAAAGGAAATGTGTTGCACTAATGTGTGATGAATGTATGGATGCACTGCAGAAAAACAAAGATTATACAAAATGATGGAGGACCAGGCCACTCGTGGTTATTAAGCCACAATGGCTAAATGCAACCTCCACCTGTTCAGAGGCAAAATTTTACTTGAAGGGAAGCAATGACAGTGTAGCTACCTTTTGCAGGCCCTTGGGTGTGGATATCTTGGATGCAGGATACTTAACTAGATGGTCCTTTGACTTGAGAACAGCCTTCTCACATTCTTAGGTTTCTTTTGAAAAACCTCAATGGAAGAAACACTGATAAGGACTCTCTACCAGAAAAATGCTCTCTGGTTAATTCTTTCCACATCCAGAAAATTCTTTCTACATCCACTTTCCCTTATTTCAATCATGGCTTGTGGTGCTATGATGAAATATAGGACAAAGGGAGAGATATCATTATTAGACATGTAGTTTATGAAGGAGAGGAAGGAGAGGAAGTGAAAACTATGTGCAAAAACCCTACTAAAAAGGAAATCTTACAGTATCTCTTGCAATCTGATGAATGCAAAACAAATGAAAAGACAATCATAGGTAGCAATGAAATGCAGGTGAGAGTGGATCTAAAAAAAATTAGGATGCAACTGTTATCCCTAAACTTGTAAAAGGGCAGTGTTGCTGCTTTCAGGGAAATGGAATAGGACACCTGTGTCTTTAGCACTGCAAGACCGGCAGAAAATCCATAAAACTTAATGTTTGTGGTGTCTGAGAGCTTGAAAGAAAAAGACAAGTTGGGAGAACGGCACATGGATAAGAAGCAACGGAAAATTCACTGCAAAGAACAGTGAGAAAGGAAGAAGCATTCACCGGATTAAAAGAGAAAGGGATCAGGGACAACGAAACTGCAACTCGATACCCTCCAGATGGTTCAGACTCTATCCCAGAGAACTGGCCAAGCTGGCTGGGGCTTACGGCAACTGTAGTCCAAAGCATGTGCAAGGCTCCGGGCTACCTTTCCTTAGGATGGGGCGCCTATCACATAAACAGCGGACGGAACACGCGCAGGAGGGGAACATATTGCAACACGGCAAGGGGATGGTCCTCCGCACCCCAGCCACGCTTGGGCGGCACCCTCCCTGACCGCGCGCGCCCCCTACCCAGCTGGCTGCAACGGTTCAAGCCTGGGCCCGGTCCTGAGGAGAAGGGAGAAGAGGAGTCCTGCAGTCAATTACGAGAGCAGCGGCATGAGCCGACCTACTGCAACTGCTACAGCGACAGCGACTACCGCCGCTCTCCTGCTGATACGGGAACTGCAAGTCCTCCCCACCCCACCCCACCCCGTCAACTTATATCACGTGAGGCGACTTACCCAATAGAAACTGACTTACGAGTTGCGAAGCCAATCCTGAGCCTCCAGCTTATTTTTGTTTCTGCTCCGGCAGCGAAAGGGTGGCGGTGCTGGGCGGAGTCGGAAGCGTGGTGCGCTTGCGCTGCGCAGGCAGGAAGGAGGGAGAAAGGAAGCGGTCCCTGTTCCCTCGGGGACTTGTTTTGTGCCGGAACCGCAGCGGGTAGGGGAAGTTAGTGAATGTAACACACGATGGCCCTCATGGCTTCTCGGTGGGGGAGGTTGCTACTGTTAGGGCAAACGTTGCGCACCGTTTACCCTCTTCCGAGAGCTACCTGTTTGATGTCTAGCCCGGTGAGGTTTTTTCATGCTACGGCCGTCAGCTGCCGTTTTTCGGTGTCCAAAAATGGACCTACTCGGGGAAAGAAAGGTGAAGTTATCAATGGTAGTAGTTGGAGTGCAAGAGACACCGAAGAAGAGGAGGAGGAGGAAGACGAAGACGAGCAGAGTATGGAGGATGAAGAGTTACTGGAGTCGGGACTGCCGCCTCTCCCGCTTGAAGCTCAGAGAATATTTATTGTACATCCAGCTGTGAAATGGGGGGCGAGCAAGCCGCAGCTTACCACAGGTGAGATGAAGACCGCCAAGTAAAGCCACATATGAGAAATCAACACAGGCACTTTCGTGTTTCTGTCTTGAGAGTTACTGCATGTAGCAACCAGAGTTCCTCGCTGAGTTCTTGCCTATAGTTTTGAATGTTGATTCCATGTGGAGAAATCAACATTATCAAAAAGTGGTACTTGCAGATGCCTGCAGTAAACCAAATTCATGATGTTTGCATGTATGGTGGGTATCCACAGAACATGGAACAATTACAGCAGAGTTAACAGGAAGGGCTAATTAAAAGCTGTAGCTGCTATTGTCAGAATAGGTCCTGATGATAGACAGGTACACCTGACTACAGGTGACAAATGTGTGTATGCCACTTTTGGATCACTTTACAGCACATTCTGAGTTTTCTATATGACCTCTACTTTCAATGAATATACATTGAAAGTATACAGCTATCAATAGGTAGATAAGTATACAGTATCAATAGGTATAACCTGGAATCATTGGTTCTCAGTAAAAATAACAGGTTCAAAAGTATTCTCAGTTCCTGAGTTCATAACAATAGAAGACAAGACAATATTAAAGTTTTTAAACCATATTCTTACAGCTAAAGAGCTGCTTACAGGGGAAATGGAAAGCTTTATAGTAAATGGCACAATTTGTTATAACGATATGTTATACCCTCTCCTAGAGAAAACAACCCAGGCAGCTTTCTTTTAATATGCCTAAAGTTCCATTGTTAATCATAACCCATGGTAGACTATTATATTTTCCAGAGTTTATCAGTTGTTATAAAAATAGGTTCTGTGAGTTTTGTTTTGTTTTTTAATTAGAAATGTAACTTAGTTCAGTCAGGAAACCTGTTTCTATAATTATGGGACAAGAAAGGACTCAAAAGAATACCATGGCCAATTAGTCATTTCTAAGAAATGCTTTACTGCTCACCAGTTTTCATTTATCCCACATATTAATCTTTTACAAATAAATATAGAATTCAGGGCATATTTTATCATTCATGGTATTGATTCAGGAGACTGGCATCTTTGCTGATAAAACTGTAATTCAATGAAGCAAAAAAGTGACCTATTTTTCATTGAAAGCATTTTAAGATCTGTTTTCTATACAATATGTACATTTTAATAGTAATTAAATATTCAAATATAGTGCTATGGCTATTCCACTAATTCTAATATGCATATAGTTAGATGAAAAACTTACTGATGAAATCCTAAATAGCAGAAGTGAACATGCCTCAAATGGATTGACAATTATAGGGCCCCATTACATCTCGTTTTCCTTATAATTGAGTATTTATAGATAAGCACATGTTATGTTATCATATATACATGCACATATTTTCCTCCTCCTCTCCCCAATACTATAGCTGAACTGCAGCTAGCTGAAGCTGTTGCTCTCATAAACACCATTCCAAATTGGACAGTGGTGGATAAATTAATTCTTTCTACAAAAAACCCTGACAAGAAATTTATCTTTGGCAAAGGGAATTTTCAGCTTCTGACAGGTAAGAAGACTTGAACTTAGTATGGACTTCTTAGAAAATGATATCCTTTTAGTGTGTAATTGTATGCCATGCTTTACTTTGTAGTGAAAAAACCTGAGAATCTTAATTATATATGTTCCTTAATCCAAATCAGGGCTTTGTTCTTACATACCATCATGTTATGGCAGCCTATGTATGCAAATCCTCCAAAATGTGCTATCCGTGGCAGCCCTGCTCAGCTCTTGTAAATTCAAGGCTGTGGCTTAATTTATAGAGTCAAGCCATCTCATATTTGGTCTTCCTTCTTCTGCCTTTGACTTTCTTTAGCATGATTGTCTTTTCCAGGGAGTTTTGCCTTCTGGTGATGTGCCCAATGTAAGACAGCCGCATTTTTGCTTCTAGGGGAAGTTGCAGCTTGATTTTAATGTTTATAATTGAACTATCATAAATATTAATGCTATTCTAAGGGTGTTTTTGGAAGGTTATGTTGTCTATATCAATGATGCATGTTAATGCTTTAATAATCTGAGTTCGAGCGAGCCAATTTATGATCTTCAATGCTTCACCCTTCCCTTCCCTTCATATATTGGCTTTGTTATTTCTGTTGTGATTCAGTTAAACCACAGTCTCACATTCAAATGGTAATGCTGGTTTAATCTCAGTTTACTAACCAGGATACAATACCAGGATCAACTATTTGGTAATAGTTCTTGTAAAAATTGAAAGATTAATACCATGCAGTAAAGTCAGACTATGGTTTTCTAATTGTCTTTCAACCACATTTTTCTGATATACCAAATATATAATGTTATAACTGACAAAAATGAAGTTTTTCTTAACACTTGAGTGATGGCAAAGCTGTTTCACATGAGTCGTGAACTATCTTTAGGGATTTGATGGATGAGCATTTTTAGAATGGTGCTGAGTGAATAGTAGCATAACCTGGTGAAGCTTGTGCAGTGCCTTTTTGTAGCAGAATAAAGTTTTCCTGTGTTACAAGAAATACAATGTATAAACCACTAATAATAGTTACAAAATTATGTATTTTAGTAATTTTCTTTTAGAAAAAGTCAAAGGATTGTCACATATATCATCCGTCTTCTTAAATGTAGAAAGGCTCTCTTCTGTGACAAAGGTAATTACATTTCAATCCATCAAGCTTCCAATTATGTTTTGAATTCTTCCTGTAGAATATGTTCTTATGATATCAATATCTCATAAATGTACCTGTTCTAGAAAAAACTGTAGCAGATTGAAGTCAGTGGCCCTGATAAGTCTGTTTTTATAAACTTGCTACCCTATTAAAGATTGCAGTCATATGCACACTTACTTGGGAGTAAATCTTATTGAATGCAATAGGTAAAGGACTTGAGTACAGTGGGGTAGTATGTTCAGTTTCTGCAGCACTTAATTTTACCTACCTTAAATTCATAATCATTTGATACAGATTTTGATGCATGTTACCCTATTACTACCTTCTCAGTTTTTACCCTCTAGCGCACACAGATTAGGAACTATTTTATTTTTATCACAAACAGTTCTTTGTGGTAATGTTCATCTGCAACATAACACAGACCATTTTATAAAATGTAATAAGGCAGTGATATCCTCAGGAAACCACAAGCATTTGTTGCACCACAAGCATTGCTGGTGTTATGCTAGAGACTGCTTTACTTGTCTCTAAGCCACTTCATGATGAGTTTCCCCCTTTCTGGCATATGCTGGATAGATCATGTCATCTGGCACTATATTAGTTGCATAAGTAGAGTAGCTACATTGAATACTACCCAGTGAGTTTCCTCACTCTGCTTCAGTATCAACCACTAGCAAGGCAGGTAAACTCAGCGATGTAGGACCTCTGGACTGTGGGTAATCCTTGCAGACGTCTCAGTTTGGCCTACAGAGCCCTCTTACAGAGTTTGACACAGTGGGTAAGACACAAGGGAATCCCTGCTGTTAGACAGAGCAAAGCTAATAGAAGGGATGCAAACAGTGGTGGATGCAGCTAATGTTGAACAAGTAGATTATGCAATAATGCCACATCCCATGATTTGTCTTTATCCAGCGTATGCTGGAGAGAGGAAAGTAATCACAATGAATTGGCTTAGATTCAAATAAAGCCAGGTCTAGACTAGCTCATAAAGACAAATATGAAGCTTCTTTTGTACCTTTTAGTGGCATGACTTGATCTCATGTGTCAGATCCTTGAAAAGCCAAAAGGAGAATTTCTAAAAGAGGAAAATCTTATATCCATATTTTAATTCCCTTTGATTATCAATACAATCTATGAGAAGTACTCTTGTTGTATATCCTAGGTACTAATCCATGGATGCTAACTTTACATTGGTACTTTCTTAAACTCCTTTATCCACTTAAATTATATTCTAAAAAATCTTTAACTTTATCTTTTTAAAGAAAGAACTTGAAGAAGCCTGGGAAGTGAAAGTTTTTGACAGATACACAGTTGTTCTTCATATTTTCCGTTGCAATGCTCGGACTAAGGAGGCAAAACTTCAGATATCTTTGGCTGAAATCCCACTTCTAAGGTACTTAAAGCTGTAGTAATTATCTGAAAGTGTTATTGCCATTCCATTGCAATACCGACTAAAATGATGGTGTGGCTCCACTAGTCTTTCTTGTGTAGTTACCTTTATACACACATTTTACTGTATTGTAAAGTTACATCAAGCTTAATCTTTTAAGAAAAAACCTCACTGACAAGCACATGAGTTAAATAAACAAGAATGGAAAATTGATAATTAAAATGCAAACTTTAACACTTACTTGAAAGAAATATGACTAACTTGTTCCATGGATTTTAATAAGACCTAAGTGTGAACATTGTAATTTATTGTCAAGAGACTTCTAAGGCATAATATTTACTTTTTTTTCAGGGCCAATATTAGAAATGAGGTTGCTCGGTTGGATCAACAAAGAGGTGGCTCAAGATACATTATGGGTTCAGGTAAAGTATGGTGGAAATAATCCAAATGAGTGTGTGTGTGTAAAAAGCTGCCTTTCTGACCCAGATATATCCAAAGAAGTGAACAAAATACAAGGACAAAAATATAGTAATGATGATTAGAGCGCTGCCTTTGTGTTTTCCAGGTGAAACTTTCGTGGAGATACAACTTCGCCTCCTAAAAGAAAAAGAATTTAAAATTCGAAAGGCCCTGGAAAGGCTTAGAAGAAAAAGGTGCTTACTTAGAAATCAGCGACAGAAGCGTGAATTTCCTACTGTTTCAGTAATGGGCTACACTAATTGTGGTAGGAAACAACACATATGTATACATTAGCATTTAAGTACATTTTAGTATGAAAAGGCCTTTGCGTAGAAGAATTTTAATACCTGGGGTTGTGTTCAATGGTGGTGCTCTACTAGGAAAAACCCAATTCCAAAATATGCACAAGGGGAGAAGCAATCCAAGTTGAGCTGGTGCAGCCCCTTGCAGATCTTAGGTTTGCTAAATTGTCCGCTAGTGCTTGGACAATGGGGAAAAACAGCATACCCCAGCAGTGTTGCCATTTCTTCCATTAACAATATGTTGGAGTTAGGCCTTGGACTAAGAAGTTTGTATAAATACTGTTCTTTCAACAGAGTTTTTTGTGGAATTCCATTGTTCAGGGCAAGCAGACTGCTGTTTTTGCAACTTAGATATTGCTTTGTTGTGTTTTTGCTATCGTTAGCAGCATCCATTCGGCAATGGGTGCATAGGAGCAGTGACTACTGATGTTACTGCTTCTTTGGCTGTCCTTGAGGTAGGTACCTATTCTGTTTAGGGATAATGATGAGAGAGTTTGCATAAGAAAGGAAAAGACTTGCTGCACTTTTAGCATGCCCCCTCCTAGTCATGGGAAGACTCACTATCCCACTTTACCGAGGTTTTTGATTAGACAGTGACCTCCTGACAACTTATTTTCTTAACGTAAACAAAATACAAAAAGAAGAAAAGTATATGTAAACTAAAGTAAAATCTCCTGGAAACTTATTTGCAATATCAAACTAGTGTGTATCATCAAATAGACTGGGAAATAGCAAGGACATGGATCATGCAACTACAAACATGAGGCTGTAGTTGTGCTGCTTATATCTGTGTAAGCCTCTGTCCTATTGACCTAGCTTTTACATGAAGTACACATACATTATTTCTCCCTTGATTTCTATTAGGGAAAACTACTCTAATCAAGGCTCTTACTGGGGATGCAGGACTACAGCCACGAGACCAGCTCTTTGCCACATTGGACATTACGGCTCATGCAGGCTACCTGCCATCAAACTTGACTGTTCTGTATGTTGATACTATTGGATTTCTGTCTCAGTTACCCCATGACCTTGTGGAATCATTTTCAGCTACATTAGAAGATGTAGCCCTTTCAGTAAGTATAAACTTTTTCTTGATAGAAAGGTAGAATGCAAATAAAATAAGCTTCCACCATCCAATACATGGAGTCTGAAAGCCAACAGACATCTTAAGACTGATGCAGTGGTTCTGGCTTTAATTTACCATGCGCCTGAGGGATTTTAGGATGATTTCAGGAAGGGATTGAAGATTGCTACCTAATGCGCTTATTGACCTGATTCATATGGCCCAGTGTAGCTCGTCATGGGTTGTTTAATCGATGGCAAGCCACTTTACATATATAACCCCTGCTCAGGATCTGTTGTGCAAACCCAGAGAGCATTGGTGTTGCCTCACTTAACCCATGGTCTATCCTAGGATTAACTAATCCTTGCATAACCCACACGCAATAGTTTTTGCATGACAAGATAATCCCCAAGCATGGGTTTGGTATGCCAAATGGTAGTAGCCACACACTCCCCACATTCACTGCAACTTAACCCATGGTGAGCTGTTGTATTGTGCAAACCAGCTCACTTTGTATTAGATGTTATACCAAATCAATCAGGACTTCAGGTACAGTTTTTAATAATAGTTTCAATTGTCATGATGCCATTTTGAAATAACTTTGGATTGATTTCTTCTAGTTATTCTAGTGGAAATACATAACCTGGGAATAGTTTTTATATTGACTTGCAGACACAATATGGATATATTGAAGCACTTACTGATTTTGGCTCTCAGGTTTTTCTCAGAAATAGGCTTATATAAAAATCTAGCCATATTACTTGTTTAAGGAGTGACTTGCAGGATTATTTGATTGAAAAAGTGATACCTTGGATTTAGTTTTGGTTCAAAACGGTATGTTTGAGTTAACATGAGTTTTTTCATGTGGTCTTGTGTGTCCTTCTGTTTTCTCTATTGTTGAAGGACTTGTCTCTAACCTTATCTCAACTGAAAGAACTGAGTCCCTTGAAGTCTATAATTAGTTTAAATATAGAGGAAACAGAAGGACACACACTTCTGTTTTATACTTCTTAGAAAGTACACTCGCATTAGAGAGCTATATAATGCTCCACCTAGACCTCAGTTTTAGTTTTACGTCATCAAATCACAGCAGAGAACATTTTTTTAATTTTTGTTTTCTACAATGCTTTTTTTCAGAAAAGTGTCTAATTGGGCATATATATTTGTTGCTAGGATTTAATTATCCATGTGAGGGATGTTAGTCATCCAGAAACCGAACTCCAGAGAGAGAGTGTACTATCTGTTCTCAGGAATCTTAATATTTCCAGCCACTTACTGGAGTCAATTATTGAAGTTCACAACAAAGTGGATTTGATAGACAGGTAAGAAGTAACAGAACATTCAAAATATTAGTTTGTTTTAGTTATTCCAATAAATAAGTTAAATCCAGGTACTGGAAGAAATTCTGTAAGTGATGGTTTCACATATTTGGACCATATCTGTATTTCTGGTGCACCACTTTAATTCCATTATGTTCAACCAGATATCAAGATGCCTAGTTTGTGTCTCTAAATTAGGGCAATAAAACCAGAAGAGTTAAACAAATAGTGAAATGCAGTGCACGCTCAGACTTTATATTCTATTGATTGCTTTAGTTTTAAACATACCTAAATGTAAATTAATGCATGTCTTAACCTGTATTTACTTGTGTATGACTTACTCCCTTCATCTGTATCCTTCAATGAACTATCACTTCTAACTGGACTCAGAAATAATTGTTCAAAAATTCTGGATACTAGGTAATGGCACATGATCACACACTACTTGATTTATGAAGTTTTGTGCTGTTCTAACCCTATTTGTTGTTTCTGAATTGTTCCAATTATTCCATTTAACACCAGTACATCCTCCTAGAACAGGGTGTTCAAATGACATGAAAGCACCCAAGTTAATATTTGCCTTTTATTTAATATGGAAAAAAACATGAGCAGCAGTTGCATTATCAAGCAGTAGTGTATGTCTGAAACACATGTAAGCCTTCAACTCTGATAAGGACAATCTAGTGCACACATTTTCCCACTATGCTTCTTGTACCAAGACCAGGGTTTCTTATTTATTCTAGATATATCCCAGCTAATCCAAATTCTATTGCCATTTCTGCACTCCTTGGGTATGGTTTAGAAGAGCTGAAAGAGGAAATTGACAGAAGACTTTTGACAATAACTGGAAAAAACTTTCTGATAATTAAAATCAATTTATCAGGCCCTCAACTCAGGTAAGCAAATATGGCTACATACAGTTCATGACTGATTGGAGGAAAGTGCCAGTCAGGCAAATGAGTATGAAGGATCTATTTCCATCTTCCCCAGCCCGGTGGCTCCAGCTGTATCGGACTTCAATTCCCAGAATCCCCCAGCTAGTTACGGTAAATTTGAATGGTACCAGATTGAAGGAGGCAGTTCTATTTTATTAGACATGGTTAACTTGGTGCAAGAGAGGAGTTGGTACAACAAAGCTAAACTTACTTGCATAAAGCCCCTTTATATGAAAAACTGCACCTTCTGCTTTGTTAGTTGCATTGAAACTAATGTGGAATGTGTTTCCCCTCTTTTATCGCTCTTGCATTATGTACAATATGTCCTCAGGTGTAACTCTGCCAATAGCTCATAACCAAGCTCTGGCTACTCCATGCAAATTTATGAAAGGAGAGTGATGTCTATTCATTTATGTAACGGTAAAATAAAGGCTCTTATCTCCTTGCTGTGCATCTCACAAAAAACATTTATATAGCAGCATCTTCAGCAAACCGATTTCACAAAGCTGTCACTCCCCCCCCCCACATCCAAAGCAGAATTGTATTTGGAAGGTTTGATCAAATCAGGTATCCATTAATTTGAGCATATCAAGGGAGAGGGATTGTACAGGCATAGGGTTTATTCCTAACCTTCCAGATGTTTAACATTGCAACTGTCATCAGCCCTGACCAAAGCACCCAATATTGAACAATTCTGGAGCATGATACTGGAGAAGACAGACGTGGAGGAGTGGGATGTTATGCTTGCAGGGATCCAATGGTTATAAAACTCTGTATTTTGCCTTTTCAGTTGGCTCTACAAAGAAGCAACAGTGCAAGAGGTTGGTGTTGCTGCTGACGATGGTACAGCCAATGTAAAGGTGATCATAAGCAACTCTGCCTTGGGCAAATACAGAAAACTATTTCCTCGATCAACTTATTCCTCTCAGAATTAACAAGATGTTCACTTTCTGGGAGAAAGCTCCTGCCTAGTGGATATTGCAGTTTTTTAATAGAATCTGAAATGAAGAGTGTGATTCAGTGGGATACAGAGCTTTATCCTATCCTGATTTCAAACTGACCAGCATCTGCCATGAAATGTTGATAGGAGCTCTGAAAGAACTTATCTTTGGAAACATTATGAGAAATTTACATCAGCCACTGAGGAATCACACAAGGCAAATGACCAAAGATGCATACTCTGTATTGGACACAGTCAGAGATGTGGTAAGACCAACAGCATCTTGCTCCATAATATTACAAGTGATCACTGTAACAACATACTAACATTAAGAATTAGTGTCTTAATGTTCTTGTTTTCCTTTTCCCTTCCGATCCAGGGCTACACGTTCACTTAAGAAAGGCCAAGTTGAAGAAATGGGTCTTTAAATGGGGCCTCCCAAATAGCAGTGGGGAGGTCATTTTGTTGGACACCTTCATGTATTATGTCAACAGCACATAAAGCTGCACAGACAATCATAAACTCCTTTCTAAAGAAAGATAAATATGGTAATTTAGTGCAGAACATCACTGGCTGTACTTACCTAAGCCTATGTATACCATTTAAATAAATAACTCTTAAATGTTACACTGGAAAAAATACCATACATCCAAATGCCCAAGCTATAGCACAGTGCTGCTTGTAACACTCAAAGGCTCAAGTTTGTTAAATACGCTGTTGTTAGCCCAAGTAGTACATTATTCACAAATATTTTTCCATTGACAATGCGGAAACATGCTTAGTTCCCTAAAAAGCCCATTTTAAGAAGCTAAGAGGGAATATAATTGACTTTAGGAGCAGGGGTTCAGCTAAAACTAGAAAGTTTTATCACAATCTTGCACATCACTGGCACAGAGTTTCTCTAGCTGAATTTGGGAGAGAGAAGAGCAGCCCTGCTGAATCAGACCATTCTGGTCCCTACAGTAGAAGGCCAGAGGCTTCCAGGGAGTTCTCAGAGAGGGACGCTGGCAGTGGTACTCCCCCAGTATTCACTGCTTCACACACCAGCTGTGTTCCCTTTTGTTTGTACAGTTAATATCCTTGATGGATCCATCTCCCATGAATTTACCTAACCCTCTTTTAAAAATACCTAAACTTGCCTGGTCTCTTTCAACTACTTTGAACCCCCACCAGTGAACATGTGAAGTTGGGATTTATCGATCCAGTTATATCACTGTACACACTTTAATTTGCCTGGACTGTTTTGTGTTGCAGAGTGGTGGTTGAAATTTAACCTATTCTTATCTGATGAGGTTCTTTATTGTTTACTGCAGTTTTCACCATCCTGAATGTGCTGGTGTCATCAGCACATTTGACTACCTTAGGTTGTTCATCAATATGTCAGATAGTAAAGTTCCCAATAAAGGAGGGGAGCCCACTGATTACTTCCATTTATTATGAAAACTGTTCCTGCACCCTAGTTAACTAATTTTGTAAGAGCATCTGTCCTTTTAAGTCCATGATGTCTGTTTACTTTGGTTAATCCATTTGTCAAGTATTTTAAAAAGAGAGGGAGTTCCCTTGGAGAGGGGATGTTTTTTTCCCTTAGAAAGGCTTGTTCTTTATGTTTAAACATTCTAGGTTGGATCATAGGTTTCCACCAATTTTCCTAGGAGATTGCCTCTGTCCATTTGAAAAAGAAATGCTGCTATATTGGCTACTTTCTAATGCTCACCAGACAAACAAATTTTAGTAACAACTTGCATATTTGTTAGAAGATACACATTCCAGATCTATTAGAACTTTTGGGTGTGTGCTAATTAAACCTGGAAATCTCTTCATTTGTAATTGCCATTTAGCTCAACACAACATCCAATTATTCTTACATTCCATTTTTTATTTGGATCAATTTCTGGCATAGAATGATATCAATTGCTAACTGCAAAAACCATTGAAACATAGTCAGTCATGCTGGGCAAAAACCCCAGTCTTTAGGTGACAGTTCCTGTGTTGTTTTTTGTCCCTAATTCTTCTGGAACACGAGTCTTTATAAATCATCCTTCTGAATGTGGCATTTGTCAGTGGCTGACTACATCAAGAACTACCATGTGTGACTACACAGAACAAATCTTCCCTTCAATTAGGTGATCACTAGCAACCCAGATTTGGCAGATATGCACAGACGGATCACACACTCAAGCAAGCACCCTATTGGAGCAGGACATGAAAATATAAAAATATGACAATGATGGATGAAATTCCTGGTTTTTTTTAAACATTGTATAGGCTTCCAGAGAAAGTAAAGGTTCTTAAACAGAGCCTTAGTCAGCTACACCTGAGTTCTGCATAACATTCCTGTGAGGTGGGTAGCTTATCACTTGAGAGCCCCCATCAGCTGCCTCTTTTTCAAACTGAAAGCAGCCAAGTGGTAAAGCTATTTTAAAAGTTTTCTGTTAAGACCTATCACATTCCGCACAAAGTCACTTTTTTCTATGAAGTCACCAGCGATGATGTTAATACAATCTTTCTTCGATCCAGGATGCTGTTTCTTTATCCACAGATTTAGGAATGGAAGAGCTTTAAGGGTCATTTGCTTAAGAGATCCATTTAGATGTGCCAGAATATACCCTAATTCTCCAGTAAGGTTGATTCCTGCAACAAATAATCCCGCTGAAAGAAAAACAAGAATCATCATTTGATATTATTTCTGTAACGTAGCCTCATGTGAATATGAGTTAGTGTTTTCCTACACCAGCATAAAGGTCCATTCATTTAAATGAGGGGCAAAGTTATTTTTACCAGTACACTTGCTTGGCTGTTCTGTATTTACAATCCATCTGTACTGAGAGCTCCTTGTGGGTTACTTGCAAGTAAGCTTTTGAACAAGACACATATTCACTAGCAGATCATCTACTTTTATCTGCCCAAGTGTCAGATTTGGGGATTTCTACTCAGATACAAGCACCCTAAAAAAGAGAGACATTTTCTCCCATACACAAATGCAATAGACTATCCCAGCCTTCACTAACCTGGCATCCTCCAGATGGATTCAACTATAGCTACCATCATTCACAATAGCCCTTCTGTCTGTGCATGATAGGAATTGTTGTCTGACATATATCACAGGCAACAGGATGGGAAAGCTGTACTATCCTCTGCCAGACTGGCTCTCCAATACCTTATAGATGACATGAACACAACCATACAGCTGGACTCAAGAATTAAGCTCCTTATTCTGCTGCTTGCTTGAATATTTTTGGTACCCTGATACAGGATAATGAATTAGCATAAAATACGTGGAAAGGTATAATGGATGACCCCTGATACTTCCTCAATCCATGCTAGGAATGTCATCCATCTATTCAGAGACTGACCAGCAATTAAAGATTTGACATTTCTTGTTCATTCACTCTACCAAAATTGTTTGAACAAAAGCAAACTTCCTCTATAACAGTAAAAAACAAAACCCAAGTTCTCAATTGATCCGGCTAGCCATCATATACCAGAGGTTATCTTTTGAATTTTTGAACTAAACTGAAGCACCTTACACAGAAGACAGTTTCTGCTTGCAGTCTGCAAATACAAAATGCAGCGAATACCTGGGCGTCCATTTTGTTTCCTCCGCTCCAAATACTTAATAAGTTTTTGTGCTGTGGTCTTATCTCCCCACCAATATGGAACTGCAGGCCACAACTCAGAATGTTGCACCACTTGTGAAATTTCTTCATATGACACAATAACTTGATAATCACAGGACCACATATTCCGCAGGGTCGGGACAACCTGAAAAAAAAAAAAAAACTCCTCTGTGTTCATATTACTCCAATCAAAGGGAGGTCAACTTCAGGGCAAGTCTGTCAAACACATTTTGCTCCCCAATTGTATTTTAAAATCTGTGAAGGTAAGAGGCTAAGGGCGCAATCTGATCAGAGGCTTACAGGCATCCTACAAAGAAATGTAGGAGGAGCAGAGATGATCCCTGCATCCTCATTCTTTCCATTTTGCTGTTTTCAACCATCTAGCTGGGGCTCTTTAAAGGGATAGGGAAGGTGGCTGCAGAAGATCTAGGATGCATCATACCTTGGTCTCTGTAGTCTGTTCCCCCACCCATGAGGACACCCATTTCCCCCATCTCAAGCCAAGATGCCACCCTTGGAAAGACCATCAGCACAGCTCCATCCACACCAGCTGCAACCAGGTGCTTGGCTCATAGATTCCCAGTTTTGAAGCTGAAGTTCTATGTCCAGTCCCGAGTCTGGGAATTCAGAGTAACCTATGCCACCCCAGACGATAAATAGGGGCCATCACATCACTCCCTCAATTGTCTAAAATACATGTCTCCATAATGCCAACAGTCACCAGACATTACAGAAAGCTTGTGGGACTGTCTCTGGAGTTCAGACTCAAGTGCGCGGCACACAGATTTTCTAGCTTCTCCAGTGGTGTCCACCCATGTGCAAAGAGGTTTTTCCCACACTGCTTATGAAAAATTTACTTCAATATTAGGCTTAGAAAAGGTCTTCCATTTGTGCCAGTGAAAGGCTACTTTGAAGCCTAACAGTTGCACAAGCCAAGAAAAAGAGGCCAAGGGCTGCTTGGGGGCTTAAAGGCCAGAAGTTCCCCAAAACTGACTTAAGGGCTGGCTGATTTGGCTTTATCTCCAGCTCTTCCACCAGCATCAATCCAAGAAAAGGCATTGTGTGGAGAAAAAGTTTCTTCCTCATAATTATTAAAAGCATATTACAGACATCGTCAATGTCTTTATAAATCCATTTACATGGTCAGCCGTTTAATATCTTAATTTGAATAACAGGAAAATACTACTTATGCTGAGCTTCAGCTCTAGAGTCCATTTTCAACAGCAGGACTGAGTCTTGGAATAGCTGAAATGGCCATAAAGTCACGAAGCCAATCAAGAATTTGTTTCCATCTTCATCTACTGATGATGATGAAACAGAGCATAGAGGACAGGTGAGAAGCTTCAAATCTCAGCATTTTTAATAAAAAAATAAGCACTGAACTGATATTGAATCATGGTACTTAAAAAAAAATCTACCAGAAAAAGGATATTGGTGTTCAGTATAATACCTTCATAATCTCATTCAATTAAAGTATAGCTGAGAGCTGTACATGAGCAATCCTGTTTACTTCAATGCAACATCCTAAAGAAGCCAGCATGAATCGGGCTTTTGCACTCTTAAAAGCTCAAAGCCAGGCATTCCAAGGCAACTTACATTTCTAGGACACAGTCTGGAACCAAAGATCTTCTTTACACAGGAGACCAAATGACGATGATGGTCTTCATCCAATCCATCAAAATTCCTGAATGCTAGAATGACAACTTCCCAGGGATGGTTTTTCAGCCATCGTAAAATATCCCACAGGACAGCCTCCAAAATCAATATGAGATGGGAAAAATAAGTGCTGTGTCATTGCAATAAACGGAAATCTGCAACTAGCTGCTTTCTTAAATTGTGCCATGTTGCATACTTCCAATACAAAAATGTTCTTTATACAGAACATTTCATATGACTAAAATTTCTTATTGGCATAGGCTTTCCTGTTTGACATGTACATTCTTCTAATGTATACATGTCTTCCCTGACTAAGTGAATTCGTGCCATTTTAGAAATGTACAGTATTTTTTGCACTTTTTTTGAACAATAACCTACTGTCTAACATAGATTTTCTTTCACAGAATTCAGTACAAGCTTATATTTGAGTAGGTATGCATAGGATGCATTGTTAATTGATGATATAGGTTCAATTTGATTTCACCAGAAAAAGATGTCTTAGATAATGTCACAGCCAGCATGGCTTGGTGGTGAAAGTGCTGGACTGGGCCCTGGGAGATCCAGGTTCTGGTTTCCACTGACCAAGTGATTCTCGGCAAGTCACAGACTCTTAACCTAGCCTACCTCACAAGGCTGTTGTGAGGATAAAATGGAGAGAACCTTATAAACTACCCTAGACTTCCTGTAAAGGAAGAAAGATGAGGTATAAATGTAATATAAAAATAATCACACTCATTGGCCAGGTCATATTCACAATGTATGCCACATATATCAGGATATCCAACCCATTGCCTCCTAAGTCCAGCCATGATAGAACATTCCTAAAGATCTCAGCTCTACACATGGTGTTAGTAATTTTAAAAGCCCAACACAAGTGCAGCTTATCACAGTGCATTAGGACTGACCCATGATGCCAGAAGTCCTCCTTGAAGATGGGGCATTGCATAGTTGACGGCAGACATTTAGGACATTGTGGCTGGAGATATGAAGAGGGCTGATACCTCTGCATTAGCACTTACATTGACAGCTAGATCGGAGTGCAAAGACAGAATTCCATTTCTCTGTTACATTGTTCATAAACAGAACAGACTGGATCTATTGACACTATTTCTGATCCACTTAAAGATTGCTTTGGAGACTGTGCAATCATACACACCCAACTCTCTACACAATATTAAGCCTATTGAGACAGCAACTTAAGTATGCCTGAATCCTATTTAAAAAGCTAATATCCCTTCCCAAGTATAATTATGTGATTCTGAGATGCCAATTCATATTTTGAACACTTGGTAGTTACAAGTGTCACTGTCCTATAATTGTTGCTTAATGTGTTGTGGAATCCTAACAAACTTCAAAAAGAGTAAAATATATAAATTGGACAGAAGATGTTACCCAATGTCTATATCAAAACAGACATTCCTGGATCTTTAGTAAGCATAAAGGAGTGAATCTCATCAAAATGGCAAATACTGGTGAAATAGCATCTTAAGATCTGTCAAAACAAGTCTCAGCACAATGGGTTGGAGACAGATAAATGCATTCCACTTTAGGTCCTGCTGAAATCAATGGTACAAATCAGTTGTGACTTCAATAAATTCCACTAATTTAAATGGGAACTAAAGGAAAGTAATACAATGTGGATCCATCAGCCTGACACCAGTCAATATTCCATTCCAGTGTGTCTTCATAATTTCCATATTCATCATGTACATACTACAGTGTCCCCAATCCAGAAAAGTTAGTCATACATGGGAACTATTATTCCATTTATACCCCATCTATCTTCCTTTTTGCAAGGAGAAACCCAAGGAGGCTTAGAAGTTTCTCCTTTCTCATTTTATCCTGTGATAAAGGACAACAACCCTGTAAGGTAACCCAGTGAGCTCCATGACTGAGTAGAGACTAGAATCTGGATATCTTCAGACCCAGTCCAACACTCTAGGCACCCTGCCACACTGGTTCTCAACTAGGAAAGCTCAACTACCTTCTTCTGGACTGGATCACTGCTACTGTATGTACAGAAAATTCCCAAATTGGATATGGAAGGTCAACCACATGCATACACACAGTGCTACCAGCCTGGCTTACTGCCACATACAGGTTACTCTTGTATGGATGCCAGGCAGAAGACTGTTTGCAGGAGCCTAAAGTTTGTTATTGCGGCATCTCAAAAGCCTTGAAGACATAGTACCCATCCCATTGCTGCTCCATTTAACTTTCCAAGAACTTGTTAGAACTTGTTGAATCCATCTTTCCAAAGTGGGATGGTGCCTCCCACCTCAACCCAGGCTATGGCAGGTGCATGAGAGTAAGGCATAGTGTGCCTTACTACACCTCCTAGATTTCTTCGCAGATGGGCTGGCTGATACTCATTATTGCTTATTTAATAGTTTGATCCCTGTCTAACTGAAACTGATTTCACTTGAATAACTACTTCCACAGAATTCATCTAAGGAATCATACCTCCACATCAATGGTTGTATACAGCATATGAACAAAGTACAAGTTCATTGAAGGATCATCAGGCTTGTGAGCAATCCTGAAGTCAAAATACCTAATCCCAGCATCCAGTTGTTCCAACACGGTCAGCACCTACATAGTTTAAAACAAAACAGTTGCTTGAATGCTCACAGGGAAGACATGTTTAAGGGCCCAATCCTAGCAGGGTGCCTTTAAGTAGAGGCCTATGGGCACAATGCAGAGCACCTCCTGCTCTCCATGGTCAATAGACAGCCTTGTTCACCTGCCTGGCTGGAGTGTCTCAGCAGAGAAAGGAAGGAGGCTACAGTAGCTTCAGGATACTTTTTATCCTGGCCACCTCCGTCTCCTCCCCCATCCCTTTTACCCTTCTCCGAGGCCACTTCTGCAACATCAGAAGCCAACACACAGTCCCAGTGTCTGAGACTGGCTCTAAGGAGGAATTGGAGATCCAAGTTTAGAGCAGGGAATCCAAAAGTCCGATGGCCCCTCAGAGCCAGCCATAGGATAGCTCCCTAATTTTCAGTTGGTGGTCTACTGTTTTGACTTAATGGTTAATATTTGCACTCAAATACATAAACGGAGTTAGGAAGGCACTATTAAGTTCATTATTAAGACAAGACAAAATTGGCCTTCTTTCTTCCAAATTTGTTCTGTATCTTCTTATGACCCCTGTCATAAGATCATTAGATCAAATACAAAAAAAAAAAAAATGAAAAGGAGGCAGCAACTCAAAATCAGTCAAACCAAACTTCAAAAATAAAGACATAAAACTTGTTTACCTGTGTTATGGACCAATTCAAAATGATTGGGTGCACTACGGAATGGAAATGTTTGTCCATAAACTGTAACAACTTGGATTCATTTATGCTTACTCTTGATTCCTTATCCAAGCAGTAAGTCATTGCATCATGGCTCCCTACATAAAAATAAAAACAAAAGTTAAAATGAAGTCCAATATTTGGTCAACTTCTGTATATCTTATCTTTGCACTTCATCTCTATCACTTATGACAGGGTGGGTTACATGCATGACTCTAGACCTAAATGTGTGGTTCCATAAGCATCTAACAAGGATTACATCATTATTAAATCCTATCTCAGTCTTTTATCCACAGATCATTAGGAGGTTATGCCCCATCAGCACTGAGGGGATGACTGGGTAAATGATGCAAGTTCCTCCTCAATGAAACAAGCCCTCCTTTGTCTTTGGTTTTAACCTCAGAGATCAGAGGTTAAAACCTCAACTCGAAGATTTTGGATCTTCTAGCTGGAGAGGATGGAGTCTGGGCAACTAATCATCTGTGGAATCTTCTACCGTCCACGAGTTTGTTCTTTTGAGGTCTAAGAATCCTACAAAAACTGGAACCAGCAGTGCTGAGAGTCACAGAATCATAGTAGAGTTGGAAGGGGCCATGAAGGCCATTGGGTCCAGCCCCCTGCTGTTGCAGGACACCAAGTTACACCATCCCACTTAGATGACTGTCCAGTTTCTTCTTGAATGTCTCCAGTGTGGGAGAGCCCGCCACCTCTCTAGGCAGCCGGTTCCACTGTCATATTGCTCTGATAGTGAGGAAGCGTTCCTGATGTCCAGCCTGAATATGAGTCATTGCACTCTCCCAAGCTTGGAGTGTTTGTCCCTGTAAAATTGGCATGGAAGGAGTGGCCTGTACTTGCCCCATCACCACCACCACTGCACTGCTGCAAGGGGAAGCTTTAAGCCAGGATTGCATAACCCACCCATAATACCACTGTTGGAGAAATGCACACATTCCAGCATCATCCTATTATATTTCTACCCTACCTATCTTCCTCTTACGAGGAACCTAAGGTAGCTAAACAAGATTTTCCCCCTTTCTATTCTATCATTTCAACAACAAATTTGTGGGGTAGGTTACGCCGAAAGTCCATGACTAGGTCAAAGTCACCCGGGGAGAACTAGAACCCTGAGTCCTGGAACTAGGGTTCCTCAGGATTTCCTGAGTCCTAGTCCAACACTCTATACACTGCACTACACTGGCTCCTGTTATGGTTTGCACTGCAAAACATTAAGCCAGCTGATTGGACAGCCACCTCTGCAGTCTCAGTCTCTCTTAAAGAGACCCTATGGGGCCCTAAAAGCTCATTATCAAATCCAGTGGCTCGACCATGAGCACCCCTTCTCAAAAACAACTGAAAAGAAGACAAAAACTCCCAAGGAAACTATGAAAAGAAAAAGATGAAAAACAGAAAGCTCCTCAATCCACACTAGCAAAAAGGACATGAGGAAGAGTAAAGATGCACCCAACCTCTTAATTTAAGTTCTCTGGCATCCACATCATCAGTCAAAGGGAACAGAAGGAACTCTGTGCTCTGAAAACTTCTGCAACCTGGCCTGCATGTGCAGACATCCTGCAGGTGCCAAAAGGAATCCTTAATCCTAAGCAGAGCACAACATGGCCATTAAACAATATCTAGCTGCAGTAGTAGCTCTCCTAAAAGGAGGTATGAATTACCTGGAAGAGATAGATTTGAGAGTGGGACACTCCAGAGACATTCTGGTAAATGAGACATCCACTGATCGCCTTCACACAGCAGGTCAATTGATTTCTTTTTGAGGTGTTCCTTCATTTTTCCCCTTGCAGGTTGTTCTGGAAAGAAGAAACAAAAGTAGACCTAACTCTGTACCACGATTGCATCTTTGATTTGCTTGCTGGGAAACAATAAGGAACCCCAGTTGAACAGCATAGACTAGACAGCACACAACTGAAACCAGTCTGCCACCTCACCCTTGCACACTCTTTTATATTATATCTGAATATATGACAGCTGCAGTCTGATTAATTTCTTTCAGGCAATGCTCCATTGACCTACTTTTGTAAAATCCCCATTCCAGTGCCTTGCCCATTGTTTCTTAAATAGGTCATTTCCTCCCCATAAGCTACTAATCAGTAATGCAGCATTTCTGGAATAGAGTCCTAAAGCTCTGGTATCAACCTTAGGATCCTCAAGCAGACACATTTGTATCCCAAGGTAGACAAACCTTGGCTTTAAGAACACCACTGCTTTGATTAACTCACCTGTATAATAAACACAGTCACCTGGATCCATCAATAAGACAGGCACTGCAAAGTCAGTTTCTGGGTCTGACCATATGCACACACAAAGCTATTGGGATGGTGTGAGGAAGAGGAATTCTGCATCTGAACCCAGGGAGCTGGGTCACACACTTGTACTGAATGTAGTAGGATGAACATTTGAGGGACAGCATCTGCTCCACCCTCATGGAGTACATCTGTTTAGGGGAAAGGATGCCTAGAATCCAGATGACCCATGCTGTAACCTTCAAGAGGTGATCAGGGTCATGCTTGCACCTCTGTTGTGATGTGCAGTAACAGCAGGTTCTGCAAGTCTAATATACAGGACCTGCTCAATCAAAGTCATTACATGGAAGCCCCGCTATCTACAAGTGGCACAATCAGTAAGATCTATATTATTTCCTATGGAGAAATGTCTCTGCTAGTCACAAGAGGCTATAAGGCAGTTCATCTGTAAGGGGATAAAATTAAACTGAATTGCAACATCTGTATTGAGCCCATCAATGACTAAAAAATATTTTTACCTTAAAATGACACTGACCCCCCCCAGCCATGTCTGCCCCTACTAAACTCCACTACTCAGCTCAATCATACTCCCACATAAATGGATACAGAAGGGGTGAGCAACCAGAAGCTGATGAGTTATTACTCCCAGACTCCCTTACCACTGGCCAGGCTGACTGGGCCCAACAAGCGACCTGGTTCCCCAGACCTTTTGCAGCCCCCCACAACTGGACCTGAAACACAGCTTGCAAAGGTTCTCTTCCTATTGGTCCCTTCTATTTCTAAGCCCTGCACTTTGAGTCATGTGACAATGCAATACAGTTGTAAAATCACAATACATACAACGGCACTAATGTATTTTAAATATGGTAAGACCTCAGGCCTGAAAGCTTGGACATTCAGAGCCTAAGTACAGGAGTGCCCCTCCCCCAGTGGCAGCCTTCCTTCCCACACCATATAGCAGCTTTGCTTGGGGGGGGGGTCACGGGGGTGCAAAGGACAGAGAGTTCTCTGTGCTTCATAGTCCCGATTCTGATCTTCTCCTACCCCTCACTGTGACTGATACTCAGCAAAAGCAGACCACCACAACAGACATTCAAGGCACAATTCTCTTTAGTGTGTTGTTTGGCCCTCAGATGCTCAGATCAAATCAGCGCATATCATGCCCTGCACACTCACTGGACGTAGAGCATGAGATGGGGTTGGGTGCATTTTTATATTTTTATTTATGTATTTAAAACATTTCTATGCCGCCCCCATTGCAACAAAGCCTCGGGGCGGCTCCCAACAAAAACAAACATACGCATATAAAAATTATACAATAAAAATATTAAAATATTACCAATGACTCCAAGTGCATGGGGGTGGGGGACACTCTATCACTGAAAGCAGTGGAAGGGAAAGGACGTGTGCCAACTGCAAGTTGGCACCATTTGCGGGCCATTGCAAAAGCCTGTTGATGCAGCAAAGGGACTTTGGATCCTGGGGAACTCAGCCACCCTGACCTGTTAATTCAACAGGAGCCACCTGTGCCAGCAGTTCTCCTACACTTGCAGACTTGAGGCAAGAACACCATGACCCTCTGGGCAGATGTATCACCTGTTCACCAGAGACTATTTTCTGCCGCATCTGAACCCCCTTCAGTCACAAAATAGAAGTTGGAAGGGGCCAGAAGGCCATCGGGTCCAACCCTCAGCTTTTGTAAGGCACAAGAACTTACACCATCCCATTCAGATGACTGTCCAGATGCTTTTTGAATGTTTCCAGTGAGGAAGAGCCCACCACTTCCCCAGGTAATAGGTTCTGTTGTCATCCATGCTAAGATTGTTCTGCCTGGGTGGCATTTACATATACATAGCAAAGACTTGAGTTTACCACCAAGCCAATCCTAGCAATTGGATGAGTATACCTCATCCAGAGCCAGTGTGGTGTAGTGGTTAAGAGCATGGGACTGGGACTCAGACGATCCGGGTTCTAGTCCCTGCTCAGCCATGGAGCCAACTGGGTGAGATTGGGCCAGTCACAGACTCTCAGCCCAACCTACCCCACAGGGTTGTTGTTGTGGGGATAAGATGGAGGAGGAGAATGATGTAAGCTGCCTTGAACCCTTTGTAGGAAAAAAGGCAGGATATAAATCGATAAATAAATAAATAAACAAACAAACCAACCTATGGAATACAGAACCTCACTCGTAAAGCACAAACAAGTCTTCAACTGAGTTACTTAGAAGGATGCCACAGAGCTCTGCAATTTACATAAGCAACTACCTCTCATTTGCGAACAGCATCCAGGATGTTAGAAACAAATCATGTTGTTACAAGTATAATAAATGTCACTATAAACAGAGTAATAAAAACTGACCGAAAACAAGCCTAAACCCAATTCTCAAATAAATAATAAATGACCGGACGCACCTTATTGCTGTTTTAATGCCAGAGTTAATTACCCCGGAGTTCAAAGCTGTGATATATTCAGCAAGGAGAAATATTAAGGTTGCAGCGCTACTCACACTTACCTCTGGAAGGAAACCTCATCGAACACAGCTAGGATTTGCTTCTGAGTGTCAACAGCCAGTCAGGCAGAGAGAGAACTCACAGCATCCTCTTGCTCTTCCCCGAAACGGGAACAGTAAAAAGGGGGAAGCAGAAAGAGAAAGAACTGTCAGCTATTTAGGAGGAGCGAAGCTACCGGTCAAGGAAGCACAAACATCTTATTCCAGGAACCGATGCAACTTTTTCCCGTGCAAATCAGCTCGTCTTATTAACAGTCACGAGTTACTCCGACTTGCGGTGTTGCAGCCAGCGTGCTGCTGCGGCTACTCACGGTGCGGAGCGGCGCCCGGGCTTCCGCATCCGTCCCGGAGAGCGAGCGGCTCGGTCCCGGCGCCCCGCCGAGCCCCTGCCCCGGGAATGAAAACAAAGGCACGCCGAGCGCGATTTGCATGCCGCCGCGGGATTGGGCCTGGCGCGAAGGCTCCGCCCCCTGCGTCGCGGACAGGTCGGCCGCGGGCCGCAGGTGCGCCGGGAGGAGACGAAGCGCGCTGTTAAGACGGTACCCACCGCCGATGCGGCGCTAGCAATGGCAACACAGGGGTAGATCCGGTTGCGTTGCGAGCGATTCTCCCCGGTAAATGGAGGCAGGGGGACAGCCGAGAATAAATAATTCAGTAGCCGTGTCCTGCAGTGTTCGTCTTAACAAACAAGCAAACTATTCTTTTCAGTAGGTCTTCTCTACGTAGGACTAACATTGGATTCATCTCTTCCAGGGCAGATTAGCAATGGCCTAATTATTAAGGGTCAGGTATTTGGAGGAGATAGATACAAGAACTGGGGATACTGCAAGCCTGTTTGCATCGAGGATGCTTCCAGAAATAGGTTTTCGTTGTGCGATTGCTTGTTCATGAAATTCAGAATTTTGTCCAAACAAAATCATGGTCTTATAACCTTTCTGTGAGATGAAGTGGCCTTTTGATTGGTTTTGCTGAGCTCTGCCCATCCAAAAGCAGCTGTGTTGTTGCTACGTGCCATCAAGGCATCTCCGCCTTACGACAATGCTATTTATGAATGCCCTCCAAAATGTCCTATGCTTGACAAACACGTGTAAACACTTGTAAACACAAGGTTGTGCTTTCCTTTGGGAAGTCGATCCACCTCATGTTTGGTTTTCCTCTTCTTCATCTTTGACTTTCCCTAGCATTACTGTCCTCTCCAGTGAGTTTTGCCTTCTCATTATCTACTCCAAGTACAACAGCCTCAGTTTCTTCTATTATTATTATTATTATTATTATTATTATTATTATTATTATTATTATTAATTGTATTTTTATACCACCCAGTCGGCAAAGTTTTCTGGGTAGTGTGCAACAAAGTATAAAACAAAGCAATAAAATAGAATGGCATGAAACAATAATGTTAAAACTGTTAAAATTGATATAAAATAGCTTTAAAATACTATAATACAATAAAAAGACATGGGAAAAAGAAAAAGAACCAGAATAATCCCTCAGGCCCCTGGATAACCAAGGAGATTGTTAAAGGCTTACACATTGACAGCAGTCTTGACCTGGCACCAAACCAATGGCAAACTTGGTGCCAGATTTTTGCTTCCAGGGCAAGTTCGGGCTTGATTTGATCTAGGACCTACTTGTTGCTCTTTTCTGACAGTCCAGCATATTTTCCAAGCTTCTTCCAGCATGTTTTCAACTCATCGATTTTCTTCTTATCAGCTTTTTCACTATTCACCTTTCACAGCCATAGACAGTGATCGGAAATATAATAGTGCCGTTATCTTGGACTTGCAGCCTTACTTGGAATAAAGCCAGAATACAAGAAGACTTGCTTTTGAGTAGCTATAGATTGGGTTGCTTGTCTGTAGTCCTGTGCCCCCTTAGCAGAGAAAAAGTCAGGACTTTCTTCCTAATCGGCAAGTTTCTAGATGGATCTCACCTAACACTACCAGATTGTGAAGCAATTCTCTCTCTCTTTTCCCTTAACAGATTTTCAGCAGTTAAAAAAAAGACAAAGACATGGGAAAAACCAGGATGTTTCCCAGCCACCACTGATTTAGTAAATGGAGAAAGTGGTTCAACAGAACTTTTCCCTAACATGAAATATAATCCAGAGCTCCAAAAACAAAGTTGTTTTGCTTTCTTTTTTAAAAGCAAAAGTGAGATTTGTTTGCAAAGTTAAACCAGAGCTGCTTGGATGCAAGGCTCACCAGGACTGCAAAGGGGGCTTGTCTGTGAGGAAAACTAATCTTTGGGGAGCGTATCTGTCGGCTTGCCACCAGGCAATTAGGAGCCATAAAAACAGGTGGTGTTTTCATTATATGCAGAACACAGCGGTGGCAAGTCAGAGGTTTGTTCAGGCTTTCCCCTAGGCACAATGGAAGCTGTTGTGCAACTCAGCCGGTTGACAACAAGTAGCGGAAGACATAATGCACTGGGTTCAGGGAAGAGGAGGCTATCTAGTCCAGCATGTAGTTCAGTATTAGCAACTAGCCAGATCCCACAGGAAGTAGGACATGGAGATTACGGCCTTCCCTGTGTTGCTTGGTTTGGTTTTCAGAGGTTCAAGTGGCTCCCTTAATATAGTGATTCAGAAATCCTCTTCTGGGATCCAGCCAGCCATGCCCTTTCTTGGATATTCCATTCTATCTCTTGTCCCCAATTTTCTATTTTGCCCCTTCCAGTAGATACTTGGCATTGTGACCATTGAGCATGCTCAGTCCCATTGGACTGTTTTAGTTACACCCGTACATCTACTTAGCATGTTATTTCTGTATATTATGGGTTTTCCCCAAGCCTGCTGATATCTGCCCTGCAAATATGGATAGTGCTGTGGTTTTGCTACAGAGCCAATGGTGCTCAGAAAACAAATTTGGTATGAGTAGCTATCAGCTTTCCCCAACATGGTGCTCTCCAGCTTTTTTGGACTTCCATTTGCTCCAGCCATAATGGCCAGTGGTCAAGAATGCTTGGAGATCTGATAGGAATGACTTCCATAGATGAAGCTTTGGTTCTCTGGGTAGGAAGAGGTTTCAGTGAGCAGAGGCAACTACAAACCCCATGATGTAGTATGACTTGTCTCCAAACAGCCAAGCGCAAATCCATCCAAGAACTATAAAAAAAACACCCATATGCATTTAGTTGCAAGTGGAACATGCCAGCATTCTGATGAGCAGAAGCAAGTGGAACATTTCAGCATTCAAAATGGATTAGCAGTCAAATTGCAGTCCTTGGTTTTAAAAAATGAAGACTGAGGTTGTCATTATTTTTAAGGCTCATGAGATCACTGTGCTAATTGCAAATGCAAACATGCATACATGTATATACCCAGTTAGTCATAAGAACTTGAAAATAGGCATGGTAAGAATGCCCTGTGCTGTTTAGTAACTTGTTCAGAGAGAAGATGCATCTGAAGATGATGGCAGGCAATTAGGAGTGACCTGTTCATACCTGCCTTCCTCAGTCATCTTTAGGATTCCTGCTGAACAGCAAGCCTCAGGGCTGTAGGAAACTATTTAAACACTGGAATAACAGGAAATGCATGGGGAAGTCACTCACTAGCCACCAGTGTTTAAGCAAATTAGTTCCTGCTGGACCCATGTATCGACTGGGTGGTTTTGACAGGCAAGGCTGCGATGTTACTCACCTTAACGGAAGTATTAATGAATCCAGGGGGATTTACTTCTGCATCTCAGTCCTTGCTATCCCCATCTGAAGCATGGAGCTAAATTAGAGTGGTCAGCCAGGAAGGATGGCTAAGGCGACTCAACTGAGGTTTTGCAAGCATTTAGGAGAACTGCTGTGTAAAGATAAAGTTCAGAAGAGGAGCTGTGTTAATCCATGGTAGCGAAACAAAAGTCTCTTGAAGTTCAATGCATTTCCTGTAGCTTGTACTGTTTTTGTTATGTTATTGCTGTATTATTATATACAAGGGCATTTGCCAGTTGAGCAGGGTATAAATGTAATATGTAATGGGGAAAGCAGTCCCTGCATTACTGGACATGATCTGCGCTGGGAGAACTGCTCTGCCATGATGGGAAGGGCTGCTAGGGACAGGAGCATCAGTCCAAGTTGCCAAACAACAGTGCCCCAACTTTGCTTGTTTCAGCATGTCCAGTTCCCCCCAGAATGTCTCTTTTTGACTCTCATATTGCATACAAAGTAAAAATTCCTGCTGAGCATAAAAGCTTTATTCAGCAACTAAAGGTGATTGACCCAAAGAACAAAATAAATACCACACCAATCGCTTGCTGGTTTTTACTGAACTAAGTTTTTGTACTGGAAAAGTATACCCAGTACTGATTGCTAATAATCTTTGTGGGGGGAAGAACTGATATATCAGTTAAATAGGTGTAGGCAACTATCCAGTTTCTTTAGAAAAACAACTATTGGCACCAGCAAGCACAGGCAATGGTCAGGGATTATGGTACTTGTAGTCAGTATGTCAATTTTAGTGCATGCAGACATAGATTCTTACAATTTTGCAAAAATAAAAAAACGGGAGGGTTGAACATGCCACTGAAATCAGTTAAATGTGTGCATAACCTACAGCAATGGTTCATAGAGCCTTGGGTCAAATCTTTTTATCAGTCAGTGTAATTATAGCTAGGATCAGCACCTGAAAATAGCATCAGCTATTCCTCTCCACAAAATGTGCTTCAGCTCTTTTCCTGGAAATGACACACTGTTCACAAAGAAGGGTGCCGTGAATACTGCCCTCTATTCGTGAAGGGCATGGCAATATGGGAACAGCGGCATACCTCTCATCCTAATGGGAAGAAGGCGTAAACTGGAAGCCTGTAGATGTCTCCTTTATCTCCTAGTGCAGTGGTGGCGAACCTATGGCACGCGTGCCACAGCAGACATGTAGAGCCCTCTCTGTCGGAACACAAGCCAAGTCGCCCCAGCATCACCCAAGCCGCCGAGCATCAGGTAACAGTGCACACAGGGGCCATGCACATGCTCGGAAGGGAGTAGCGGCGCCAGGTGATGATGTCACAAGCCGTGACTCATTAGCCACGACTCGTCCGAGCTTTCACATGGCCAGTCAGTGTGCTGCCAAGGATATATATTTTTTGCTTGGACTGGCTGTGAGTTGGTTTTTCTAAACTAAAAACTCAGTATTCAGGTTTTATTGCAGTGATGGCACTTTCTGATAAATAAGTGGGTTTTGGGTTGCAATTTGAGCACTCGGTCTCTAAAAGGGTCGCCATCACTGTCCTAGTGTGTCAAAGAAGAAAGATCACTCACCCAGTTTTCAGTTATATTTTTGAAAGCTATATTTTCGTTCCTTTTCAAGAAAGGGGCAG